TGGGAACAAATTTGGTACCCATTCACCACATCATGCTACAGGCCAATCTCAGCACGCTGAGCCTATTGATTCTTGAGAAGTCATTTAAACGGCAAGTTTATGCAAGGAACATGGCTATAGGCTGGGGAGGGAGCAAAACATACTGTAATTTTCCTATATAAAGTACATTAAATATTACCCCCTCCCCAGGGGAAAAATGAGACCCTGGGGTCCAGAGGCCCATGGAGCCTGTATTGACACCTGGATCTTAAGGCCCAGCACTGTTATACATGCCTATAGGTTAAGTATTTCAAATATTTCCAAATTAAAGCTCAGTCACTTAACCTCTTTGACGAGGCAATACCAATGTGTAAATTCTTCTTTCATTAGTGTCTTTCTCTTTGATTCCCAGTGACAGTTCGTATACATATGGTTATCAGGTTGGCATCAGTCAAGGTCAATATGTCAATCTCATTAAACTATTATCTTAAACTTATAATTCTATATCAGTTTGAACTATTTATAAATAATGTTCAAAAATGTGACTTTCCTCTATGAATTTTAGCAAACTTTACTCCTCCATACTGGGAAATGTGAGACCCTGGGGCCGTGAAATTCACAATTTTGATTAGTCACCTTAAGATGATTCCATCCATCAAGAGCATTTGATTCTACCATATCTTAGTGTTGAGAAGATTTTTGGAATTGAAGTAAATTTGACCCCTTTTGGCCCCGCTCATCAGCCCCTTGGGGTCAGCCAGGATTAATTTTCATCAATTTGTCATCCTTCACTCGTAATTCCAGCTAAGTATGAAATATTTCAAATGGAAATTAAATAAATTATGCTCAAAAATCTATTTTTTCTCTATAAACTACAGTCAGCTTTACCCCCTCCCCATGAGGAAACAAGTCAATTTGACCACTTTCGGCCTTGACCCTCAGACCCCTGTGTTGTGGGGACTTAAAATTCACGATTTTGATTTATCTTAGGCCTGGGAAGGTTTCTGCAAAGTTTTATAATAATCAGATCAGGAGTTTTTGAGAAGTAAAAAATGTTAAATTATTAATGGATGCACAGTGCCGGATAATGGTGATTGCATTAGGTCACCATGAGACTGTGTCTCAAGTGACCAAAAAATATGACCCAGAAATAATATCCCTTGAGGTATGCAACACCCAAGGGCAAATTCTTATATTTCAAATGTGTTTATCTTTTGATGCCAAGCAATTCTAAATATATATGGTTATGGGGTAGGGGCTTCAACTGTTTCAAAGATATCACCCAGAAATAAGTCAAGAGGGGTGGAGCCATACCCAAGGGCCAGTTCTTACATTGTGAATATGTTTATCTCTTGATGCTAAGTGTTGTCATATATGGTTTAGGGGTGGAGATCTCAACTGATTTAAAGATAATACCATGAAGCTTAGTTTCTATGATTAAGGCAAAACCCAAGGCCAATTCTTACATCACAATTGTGTTTATCTCTATGCCCAGCCATACTAAACAATGTTATGAGATGAGGACCTAAACTGTTTTCAACAACATTTCCCATATTTAGCCCCTCCCCTCAAACCCTAAGGGGCCCTCCCCAAGATCCACTTCTGACCAAATTTGGCTAAAATCAAATCATTTCTACAGATTTCCTCTCTTGGGCCCCATATTCACTTGTCAATAATTCAATTTCCGGCAACGCATTTTGCACTTAATTCATTTCCACATGCTTCACCGGGTTGTAAGAAGCAAATTATAGCTTGTTGTAAGTTTGGCCTGTTAATTATGGGTGGACATTGAAAAGATTTGATGATACTTCTCTTTAAAATCAAGAAAAAATTACTTACCACAAATTCTCTCATGTGAACGACTGCGAAATCGTGTTCACTAAAATGCTTTTTAAAGTATCATGTTTCATACTCTTGAAAGAAGATATAATTAGCATTGAAAATTTTATCACAGGGTGTTAGTATTTAAATTTTGAAGTATTTCAGTGTAAGTAGACCTCAAAAATTCATTTGCTTATAACCTGCATTTATCCTATAAAACATTTCATAAAACAGGACAAAGTCACTTATAATCCGTGTCACTGGTTTTATTTATAGGTACGAAGAAAGGAGAGGTAAGTAGTACCTGACAGTGTTGTTGATTTTAAGACAGGTGTTAAGAAATAAATTCCTTCTATAAAGTTGAAGTGTTAGATTGGAATTAGCAGTATTTTTGCACTTTTAGCATTTTTTCAGTTTATATTTTCCTATATAAACTACAGTAAACTCCCCCTTCCCCCAAGGGGAAATGCGAGACCCTGGAGTAATGAAATTTACAATTTTGGTAAAGCATCTGAAGGCCTTTCAATCCATGAAGAGTAATTGATTCTTCCATAACTTGGATATGGAAAGAAAATTTTTGAAACTTCTGTCAATTTGACCCTCTTTTGGTCTTGCCAATCAGCCTCTGGGGATCAGTCAGGATCCGTATATGCAACTCATTAAAATGTTATCTTAAACTTATAATTATATCCAGGTTTGAAATAATTCCAATAAAAGATAAACAAATGATGTTCAAAAATGTGATTTCCCTATATAAACTACAGCAAACTCCCCCCTCCCCATTTTTGGCCCTGCCCCTCAGGCCCCAGTGAGTCGGGGACTGTATAATTCACAATTATGGTTCTCTTAACCTGGGAAGGTTTCTGCAAAAGTTGAAAATGTTAAACAGTTGACCTAACAAGAAATCCCAGAAAGATCTTGGTGCCCACCATTGTTTGATCGTTATGTGTTCGAACATTCCTTTGCAGAAACAGCAACGAAAATCTTCACCTGCTTGGAAGCCATTTTGTTCCATCTGATCAATCCCAAAATCAAATGAGAACAAGGTGAGACCAAAAGGAACATACCTATGAAATTTGAGATATCCATTCAGTATTTCTAAAGAAAGAGGGACAACAATCTTTACAAGGTGAAATCGAAGATGATTGCCTTTCGAGCATTTTGTTTTTCTGATCAGTTCCAAACTCACACAGGCACAACTAGGGACCAAAAGGAACCTATACATGAAATTTGAGAAAGATTTATATAGTAGTTCTAAGAAATAGTGATAACAAACTTTCAAAGTCAAAATCTAAGATGGTTGTCTGTCTGCCATTTTGTTATTCTGATCAGTCTCAAAATCAAACAGGCACAACTAAGGAACCTACATATGAAATCTGAGAAAGATCTGTATGTTATCAAGAAATAGAGATAACAAAACTGTAAATTCAAAATCCAAGATGGCTGCCTGTCAGCTATTTCATTTTTTCTGATCAGTTCCAAAATCAAATGGGCACAACTAGGGACAAATAGGAACCTACATAGGAAATTTAAGAAAGATCCATCAAGTACTTCTGAAGAAAGAGCAATAACAAACTTTCAAAGTTAAAATTCAAGATGGCCATCTGTCTGCCATTTTCATTTTTCTGATAGTTCCAAAATTGAACAGGCACAACTAGAGACCAAGGGGAACCTACATACGAAATGTAAGAGAGATCTTTATATTAGTTTTCAAGAAATAGCCATAACAAACTTCATTGAAAAATCCAAAATGGCTGCATTTCAGCCATTTCGTTTTATTTATCGGTCCAAAAATCAAACGGGCACAACTAGGGACCAAACCATATCTATATATGCAATTTGAGAAAGAGCCATCCAATACTTCTCAAGTAATGAAAGCAATAACAAAAATTGTTAACGGATGGCCGGAGGACCAAGGATGCAGGGCAATTTGAATAGCCAACCATCTGATAATTCTGCATAGATAATGAAAAATGTTGAATAACAAGAAAATTAATGTTAAATATATGTGAAAGCAGTATCTATAGCTCAGTCAATCATTAATATTTATTTCTTCAAGCTGAAACAATTTAAATGACAATTTCACTTACTGTAAGTTAGATGAAGTGGTTTAAAGACTTTACCAAATTTGACCCCTATGACCTTGAATAAAAGTCACTGTCATTTCTTTTTGCGAAACTTTTTCAGCTTCATCATATGTATCTATAACCCAAACATGATGCTTCTGCGCCTTTTAGACAGTCAAAAGAAGTAATTTTAACATTTTAAATTAGAACCTTGTGACCTTGAATAAGGGTCGGTCCATTCTTTTCATAAACTTTCTCAGGCTTCATCCCAGTAACCTAGTCTGCTGGTTTTTGAGAAGAAGACACTGCTCATGTAGCTCTTTGGGTGATGAGTGTTGCGAAGATATTGTTCAGTCCAGTAAAGCAACTTACTGGCATGACAACTATTTCTGTAACAGTGTCTGTGATATAATACTAGCAGTATAATTTTGCGAAGTTTAATCCAAATCCAAATGGAGATGCTAAAAAGCATAATAATGAAACACTTTCCATCTTCAGGTACAGCCCACAAAATCAGCACATTACATAAAGTCACACATTTCTTCTGTAATGATTTTATTTTTATTTATCATTTGAAAGAATCATCCATTATTTTGTCAACAGATGATTGGCCGTCAACATATGCAACATGTATCCCATTAAACATTACGAGCTGCAACACTCACGCTAGTAAAACATTTTTTTTTTTTTTTTCAGACATGGATTGAACACATTTTCTTAATCTGACACATGGACCAAAAATGGGATAAACAGAACTTATTTTCATATTCACCAACTTCACTGAGAGGGGATAAATCTTCTAAATCATCTGCAGATCTTAACTCATCTAAATTTTGGTAATTCATCAAAACAATAGGGCCATATCATTCGCACTTTCTTCACCTCTTATTGAAGGTTTTTATATGAAGTATTTTATAGCTAAATATAGCAAAACACTCAGGGTACACTTTAAAATCACTCATCTTTAATCTGCTCATGACAAGAGTTCAGAAGACAGAGAAGTGGTCACAAATATCAATTCAGGAAAAATGCTCACCATGATATACCAGTAGGAAAAAAATGACTTTGTGTATTTGAACTTTTTTGTTCTTTGGTCTTTGGAAAAATTATTTAATCCAAAGAACATCAAAAATGTTATAACTTTGTGCAGTACTTTTGAAGAAATTTTGTTGTTGCCATAGAGATTTCTCCAGAAACAGTGTTTAAATTATCACAAGACGCCTGGTGTAAATACTCTTGTACTATGTTACAGTATTTTTTCTGTCGGCATGGTGACCAGTCTGTAAGCCTAACATCCAGTTCCTCTTGGGCTATCATCATGTATACCAGTTTATCTAAAGGAGTTTCTGCCAGCGATACCTGTCGGATTAAATATATGTGTTCATTAGAAAAAGTTCATATCACAAAGGTAATAAATGGCATTGTGCAAAGAGGCCCAAGGAGCCTACATCGTTAACCTGAATAATTCAGCTATTCTGCACTTAACAAAGAATTTCAAATATGACCAATCATTTTATCATCTATTGGGTCTCAGCCTTGCGGTCAAACAGAAGTCAGATTCATTATTCATGAAAATTGCTTCGGACCAAACTTGGACAATATCCTTGTATGGAAGAAAGATTTTAAAAGCCCCATTCCTCCTGTCCCAAGAGGCCAGGATCCACCACTTTTACAGAACTGATTTCCCTTAACCAAGAAAGCCTTAGACCAAAGGAGGGGTTTCCAGCAATGCTAATTTCCCATAGAGGTCGGTCTAAAGATTTTTTTACATTTGAGACCACTCATCGTTACATTGCTTTGTGTGATCAAAGTTAGTTCCCTTAGCTTTACATTTCATCCAAATTAATTGATAATGCACTTGCCTTATTAACTAATTACCTAACTAAATTACTAAACTATGAACACTGATTGTCACAAAACAGATAAAAAAATAACTAATAATCTTAACCAAATAAATTTGAGCCATAAACTAAACAGCAAAAATACTACAACAGTAGGTATAACGCCGATATCATTGATTTTTTCAAGCATTTTGTGGGAAAAACATCAAGCTCTTGTGAACAAATGACATTTTGGAATGTCTTCCATATTCAGTCCATTCAAAATTATTTAGCATATTGATAGCTTTATCTCTTACACTAATCCTGCCTAAAGAATGAAACTTCACCATTTGTGCAAAGTGTTCATTTTTGGCTTTGATGTATATCACCCCAATGACTTGATGAACCATAATGAACATAGGCAACCACTTAGTTACACTGGACACCTTCCTGTACACATGTGCCTTTCCTAATGTATACAACTCCTAACACACATACAAGTAATGCTGACGTGTCCTTGAATGACTATATCTGTCAATTATAATTAGGACGTTAAATACAATATATTATATGACCAATGGTAACTATCCAAATCCTCTAATAATGTCTTATATACCCTATACATCGGCATATCATCAATTGTTCTTTTGACAGTATTTTCTACATTTTTACTAGGAATGAGACTTTGACACACTTAATACAGTACCGTTCTCACAAAGAGAGGTAGATGTGTGGGTGTGGCTGGTAAAGATGTCTTTAGGAGAGACATTAAAACCAAGAAATCTGCAAGAAATATAAGACTTCCCCAGCACAATTAGCTGTTTGATGTTTTACAAGCAGATGGCAATAACTTTACTGATGATCAAGAGATTGGTATGTGTGCTGGGTGTTTTAAGAATTATCAGAAAAAAATACCACAACCTGAAGGGTCAAAACGTTGGTGATGGCGAAACATCCCACTATTATCAACAGAGGATCTATTTTATGGCAAGACTCGACCATATTGTCCAAGCATGCAAAACACCAACACATCTTTCATCACAAATTGTGGTGTCCTTAGTCCTCACTTATTTGTTCACATCATCTCATAGGGAAAGATGTTAACCTAACGTTGATGTACGCACTCATGAAAGAGAAATGTTGACATCCCAGCTACCTTCCAGATCAAAGGACATCATCAATGATCTTTAGGAGATTTCTTCTTTAACTCTACGTTTCTTTTGTCTGAATCATACAGATTGTAAAGCCTGCACTAGTTGGACAAGAACACAGTTTCTAAAAATTCTTTCTGATTGCTCATCGCCTGTTGGCACTGGTATTTACACTCCAGACCATGAGGATTCGCTAATGTTGTTCTGGATAAAAATGAAGACGGACATATCATGGAAACAGTGTTCAACTCTTTTTAACGTGTCATTTTCCAGCATATCGAAAACATTTCATTCCATAGTAAAAGCATTAGAAATAAGCATTGTTCCTTTGTTCCTTGGACATCAACATCTTACATGAGAAAATATTCTGGAGCACAACACTGTGTTCTCAGAAACAATTTTTTGGCCACTTGGCAACTGTCATACTTAACAGTACATATATCTTTATTCCTACGAGTTCTGATTACAAGCTCCACAGAATCTCCTACTGTAACCAGAAGAAGCAGAACTACTTGAAATTCATAAGCATAGCCCTGCCTGATGATTACATTCTAGACGCAGTGGGACCTCTTCCTGGAAGCGATAATGATGCAACTATTACAAAAGTCACTGTGGATAGTCTCTCCTGGATGGAGAGAGACAACGTCCTTGTTGATTGAAGGTTTAGGGATGTTTAGTCAGATTTGGAATCACGTGGTTTGACAACAAATATGCCCTCTAAACCTGGGCAGACTCAACATGACAACCTACAAGCTATCCTTGATAGACCAATAACTAAATCCAGATAGGTAGTGGAGTCCTATCATGGACAATTCCAGCAATGGCTGTTTTTTCAAAACACAACTTGGTTCCAACTATTTCATTGATGTCATCGAGGCACCCAGTAGAATAGTAACAGCCTGTCTTAATGCAATACGAGGACCCATATATCTTAGAACACAAAAGCAACATGCAAAGGATAGAGCACCATCATTTTATAGGCGTTAGGTACGGTCGACTTGGTCAATTAAAACTATATTACTGTACGATGTAGACCAACACTGACATGGTCAATCAGATTCTAGGATGAAGAAAACTTACAGGATTCCAGATTAGGTGGTTTGATGCATAAACCAACTTCAATCAATCATTCAGCATTCCTGTTCTAATATTGATTTAGCAGTTGTAAGAACATTTAATTTTTTGTGGTTATCAGGGAACGTGACAGCCATTTTCAAAGTTAAAATTTCACTTTAGTGGGTTATTAGTGTAGGTGACAGTCCCTTTGTACTAATAAAAACCAAGTGTAAACATTTTATTTCAGTTCACTTTACAATACTTCAATCCAAAACAGATTTTACCCATTGCTTTTTTTTCTAACAAAAAACATAGCAATATTTTCAATCAATTTTAATTATATTGCATAAAACTCCTAATCACTATTTTGGTGCAATTTATTTGATACTGTTTGAAGATTATTTTTTAGCTCATAATTACTAATGGACTCTAACAGGAAGCTGTATTTTTGACCTTCAGAAAATTTTGCTTCATGATAAAAGAGGATGCTCTATCTCAAAATCCATCATATTTTTTATCTCCTGTTCCCAATATATCCAAAACTGTGACTTCTTGCTTTGCATATATGATATAAAACATGTTGTTATCGGCATGTTCATGTTTAGTGTTCTTTAAAAAATGAAAAAATGATGTAGCATTGTCCAAAAACACTGTGGTTTTTTTTCTTTTTTTTTTGCACAAAAACAGTGCTACACTCTTGCATATGTACATGTTTGGACTTATATGCCTATTTGTAAACATAGGACCACAGAGGCTACCATTAGCAGATACAAGCCTTTGTATTTGCTTCATAGGCCATTTTGAAACTTTTGTTCAAAATCCTATCATTCCTACAAGACTAGTGGGATCTTATTTAAGGTACCCTTTTTGAGCCCTGACGTTACCTCTGAAAAGGGCAAAGACCCGCCATGTATACAAAATTGATTCCCCTATATCCAAGAATGCTTTGGATCAAATTTGGGCAAAATCCTATAATTTCTACAGGAGGAGTAGGACTTGAAAGAACTTGCTCTCCTCCTAAGAGAAAAAGTTGGCAGATTGCAGATGCTGCCTATAAGCATGCCTGTCCATCCAACTAGGTGAGCTAAAGACATGTAGCTAGTACAGAGTCAATAAGTATATTTTCACTTTACATATTTTCACATCATGTCATCATGAAAAAGAAATATTATTCTAACTTCAACAAAATTGTCCTTATTTTATTCATGTAATCTGCATGTATGCCATATATCTTTGATCCTATACCTCTTTTGAATTAAGACTAAAAAAGCTGTCCGAAATTTTTCCATTTCTAAAATAGTCCAAAAATGCCCTTTTTCCACAATAGCTGTTCATCCCCAAAATTCTAGATTAATCTACTTCCATAAAGAATTTTTCTTTTATGTACTTAATAATGAATCGCTGAAATCATTATTATTATTTTTTTAAATATTAAAGGTAAAATATCTAAAAGTCTTAGTTTTTCATTAGGTGTTTCTATTTCATTATTGCCTGCTTCACAAAAGCAAAATGATTCTAATGCAGTTTTCAACAAGTAAGAATTAAAATAAATTTTTGGCATCTCAATCATCACATGTTATTGAATTTGTAACCAAGCGGCCTTGATGGTCGCCTGAGATAAGCAATATCAAATAAGGGTTAAAGGATAGTTATCAAGTATAATGAAACAGAAACTTTGACACTGATTATAGTAAGCCAGTGTCAATACATGCATACCATCAAAACTGTCATCCTATACTGATCATTCCCACAAAATTATTTCCAGTGGGAAACAACCAACATTATGCTCAAAAATGTCAAATTACAGTAAAGTACTCCCCAGGAAGAAATGTGACTCATTTTGGTAATTAAAGCACATTAAGATGCATGAAGAACATTTGATTCTACCATATCTGGGTGCTGAGAAGAAGATTTTTGAAATTTAAGTTAATCTGACCTCTTTTGGCCCTGCCAATCAGCCCCTGGGGGTCAGCTAGAATGACTATAGGCATACCATCACTCCATCTTCCTTCCCTCATAATTCTAGCCAAGTTTGAAATATTTCCAATGGAAATTAAACAAATTATGCTCAAAAATCTAGTTTTTCTATATAAACTATAGTAAACTTTACCCCCTCCCCACAGGGAAATTTGAGACCCTAGGGCTATGAAATTCACAATTTTTTGTAAAGCACCTAGGAAGTATCCATTCATGAAGAAGATTTGATTCTACCATATCTGGGATTTTTGAAATCAAAGTCAATTTGACCACTTTTGGCCCCGCCCCTCAGGCCCCTGTGAGGTAGGGACTGTATTATTCACAATTTTGGTTCATTGTAGGCCAGGGAAGGTTTCTGCAAAATATTGAAATTGGATCGAAAATGTTAAAATGTTTACAGATGCACAATACTGGATGAAGGTGAATGCAATAGGTCACCATGAGACTTTATCTCAGGTGACCTAAAAAACCACAGATATGGTGGCATGCTTAAATGTATGTTAACATGTCTGTTTAACAGTTTTTAATTGCAGCAGACTCAAAGACACTGTACTGTACTACATAACTACATAATTTAGATGATAGTCAAATTGTTTTACCTTTGAAAGAACCTTCTTAAAGACATGCATTCCAGCACTGGCTTTATATAGAAACATCATAACTAGGTGACCAATGACTGTCTTTATTGCATCAGATGTGTTTTGTTCTGTCTCTATCACATACAGTAGGTCTGTATCCTCCAAACTGACTTTGGTCATCAGAGACCGCAAAGCCTGAATACAGCGGTTTAATATTAGCTGGAAGGAAAAAACAACAACAGTTCTTAGAAAATTAAGAGTTTTCCTTGACTGAAGCTATAAAACTGCATACTACTTAAGATATAAAGGAATTTGAAAATTTCTTTGTAGCTTAAATGTCCCTGCTCCTGTGCATGCAAGCATAAATGTTCAATGACCCTTCAGAAGTCGTCAAATGTGACCTTTGACCCTTTGACCTTGACCGATGACCACCTTGATGCAGTAAGGTGTAGAACTTGCTGTTATAATAATTTGGCATAAATATTAAATAAATCTGTTGACATATTCTCAGGATATATAATTCCAAACAAGACGTCATTCAAGGTGACGTGATGCCCCACAGTTGGACAGATGGACAGACATGAGTAACTCTATATGCCCAACATAAAGAAGTGGAAGGCATGAAAATTAAAACTGATATAAAAAATGTAGCATAAATTGGTCATATTTCTGACAAAAAAAAAAAAGAAAAATCCTACAATAAGAGGGAAAATTTCGAGTATACTACAGGAATATAAATCAAGAATTTCTTTGTATATATTGATTGCTTTCTAAGACAAAAGAGATAGAGTAAACACTGTCGTATTTAATCGCATAGTTACTAGTGTCCTTTACTCCTTAAATAAATACCTGGAGGTATGCAGGGCAATTTAGTCATAGTGTAAGATCATTAAACAAACACAATAGCTTCAGAGTAGGGTTCCTTTAGTTTATTCGTATAATTTGTCTACCTGTTATGCCCTTTTAGCAAGTTTCATTAAGACAACATTTCAGCAAATTCGACCCCGTTGTGCTATAATTGAAAGCACAATTTTCTGAAAATTGCTGATGATGTACAATCAATGTACATCTTAATAACTGACATAGTGAACTTGTTTATCAGTTGCACAATAACTCTAACTTAATATTCTCCAGGTGTCTGGGATGACAGTTACCATAATGTAGGTATTGAAATGCCTTCAATTTGTTTCTTAACACAGAAAATTATATAAAAAAAGTATACATTGACTGGTTGCTAATAATCTCTAATAGAAAATATAGCATACTTTTGTCTCCCTTTGAATTTCCCTTTGAACTGGATCCAAAATCCAAGACAGCAATGAAGAACATCCCTCTACAAACTGCAAAAAAAAAAAAGTAAAACAAAAAAAACTCAACTAATTTATCAATTTTGCATGCAAGAAAGAAATTTGAAGCTAACAGCTCTTAGTTATCATCTACAACATCAGGCCTGTGCATAATATGTCATTGTCTTCAGTATCATTGTACTGACAATTACAAGTTTAATATTACTAATCTGCATTGTGATTATTGTAGTCTCATTCCAGTGAAGTCAATCGTATATCTTTCACAAGATTAAGCTGATAAAATTTGAAAAATTTCATATTAAGAGATATCACATCAGGATTTCATGTTAGGACATCTACAAATTAATTTGTTTGAATGCTTTCTCCTTCAAATAAAGCCAAGAATCATGTTATGACCGTGTTATGGCTTACCTTTTTATGGCAGCACAGACAGATTCTGATCGTCATCAGATACAAGTGTCGGTGATATAACATGCCGTTGTGTAATGTTACTCGTCCACCTAACAACTGTTGCTGGTCTTCTAAACAGGCAACAATTCTACACACAGTGTCTGCACACATATCCACATCTTCATCTAAAATACATTTCATAGGTAAGTACTCATACATAACCACACCCTCACCTACAAAACATTACATAGGTCAGTACCTGAATGCATCAACACCATCTCCAATATATTTTATAGGTATGTACCCAAACACATCAACACCCTCATCTACAAAACATTATATAGGTCAGTACCTGAATGCATCAACACCATCTCCAATATATTTTATAGGTATGTACCCAAACACATCAACACCCTCATCTACAAAACATTATATAGGTCAGTACCTGAATGCATCAACACCATCTCCAATATATTTTATAGGTATGTACCCAAACACATCAACACCCTCATCTACAAAACATTTTATAGGTTAACACACAAAAACAGTTAAAAAAGAAATTTTAAAATGTGAAGCATTCTTTTTTTTTATTGTTTTTGTGTTGAGAATCCTTTATTTTTCATTATTTTCTTTTTGAAAATTAATTGCATTTTTTCAAGTGATAAATATTGCGAAAGATAAAATAATATTTTCTTACCAGTTTGAAATCCAGAAAGTATTGCTGAAATCACATTCAAATGTTTGGGATACAAAGCTAACATTGGAAAGTTCTGAAATTAATACAGAAAACTTGTCATCAAAATCAAAGTGGAACAAACATACCCTGGCAAAATTATCTAATTTAGCAAGCATTATCACATTGCTGGGTTGGGGTTGGGATAGGGGATATAATAAAACGAAACATTTTTATTTTGAAAATGCCTTGCATACCGGTAATAGTACCATAGTTAACGTTTCACGAAGGTAGACAGCACATGTATTAACACACGTAGTACATATACATTAAGGATAAATTTCATTATCAATAGACTTTCAAGTAAATTTGTGAATAATTTGTAATATGGTGTCTTGTAGCTAAGAATAACATCATAATGATATATCAAATATAACTCATTCTTATACACAGGAGCTTTTTTCTACTTTTTCCTGCCAAAAAAAAACTGTAATTAATAGAAAATCAAGTGGTTTTTCAGTAAACAACTAATATTTTGTTGGAGTTATAGATAACAATGATGACATACATGTACATTTATGATCTCCAACAAGAAACAGCTAAACAACTTATAAATGTAGCTCAATAACACATTCATGTTACCCATTTCCTTGTATCATTTACAGTCTAAGGGGAAACAACCCCATTCTATACATACACCTGGATAAGTTGACTTGTATCAAAATAACAGATTCCAGAACAAGGCAATCTTGCTCTTTTATTCAACGAGGAGTAAAGAAATCACACATCAAATTAAATGACACTGATCATTGTTTCTTTTTTTTCCCAATCTTAATCTGAATGTTCATCTTAAAATTTCAAGGACAAAAGCTTTCAATATAAAATACACAGCTGTTAAAACAGGACTGATTTTACTAAATGGCTAAAATTGATCTTGACCTTTAACCCATGACTCTGAATATCAGTAACTTAATTTCTTCCTTTTACAAGAAGGAAAAATTATGCGAAGTTGATTATCCTTATTGGCATGATATTTTCTAAATCCTGGTGAAAACCTCTTCCCAGACAGACAGATGCATGGACGTGGATGGACTTTGTTCAGTTTGAATAGACTGCAAGGTTTCTGATCATGCTAGATTCATATGTAGAGAAATGTTGCATGAATATACTAAAGAATTTGGGAAAGGAACCAATATAGGCATGTTTTCTCATACCATAACATGTATAATATTGTTGAATACTGAAAAGAAATAGTGTTCTAACTTACAAGTATAAATTCATTTTATTTTCTGTATTGATTTTCATCACATTCTCTCTGGTTCCTGTAAAAATATAATAACTCTATCAGACTAGTTTTATAGGGTATACATACATAATTCCCAGCCAGAAAGCATTGCTCTTGAAGAAGTTGATAAAAGACTGCTATAACCCACACAATCTCACTGTTAGCTCCTGCATGCCTCATCAGTTCTTGTAGCATCTGACAAACAATCTTCAACAACAGAGGTTCTTCTGAGCATATCTCTAGCTACAATGTAACATTTGAGGAACTGAATAATAGAATTGATAAGGGAGGTGTATCTAAGTTTAGCTTTACTGAAAATTTCTTCTGTTACTATTTCAACAAGAGGTAAATTTTTTGACCAGCATTAGATTGTCAACTGAGAGATCAAGAGGGTCTTCATTAGATGTTTCTTAGAGTATACATTACAGTCTTGCCAACTAAGCACATAAATGTAAAAAAGATTTCAATACTTACAAGAAATTTTTTTCTGAGTACATGCTTTACGGAAGAAGGCAGTCTGACTTTACAGGTCTGATCAAGAATGTCAAGAACTGTGGACTCCAAAGAAGGGAGGTAACTCTGCCAAAGTAGTCTATATCCGGTCTTACTTAATTTAATATTGCCATTTTCATCTAGAAACCAGATCATAAAAACTGAAGCATTTCTTTACTAGGATTTTATCTTCAACATGACATTAATAACTTTTCACAAAACAGTTATTTTCTTGCAATTAACAGCATTTACAGTTCTATAAATTCTTTTTCAAATTACTTTCAAAATTCTTGCATAAAAAAAAATTTAGCAAACATGGACTTTTTTCATTAACTGGGTTTATTGCTCCTAAAGCACATGGTGTGATATTATCTGGAAAGAGTCAGTAAATGTTTTGGAAACATGGTTTGTGAAACAAGACATACCATTCATATTACTGTGATGAAGATTTGATGTGATCTTCTGATAAATGTCCTGCACCCATGGTACCTCAGGTCCAAAGACAGACAGGATCCACAAAACATCTGTCCATATGTCCAGATACTCATCTGACTGTGGTACTGATAACAGTAGGTCTACAATCTGTTGTAAAGCAGCCCCATCTGTATACACCTCACCCGGTATATGAGTGCCATTTTCTAAACATTTCACACGAACCTCACCAATGCGTTCCTTCAGGGCTGGTAACACTCTAGTTGACAACTGAAATGTGCATCATACATAAGTAATACTGTATCCATCAGAAAACAATTAGTGGAATCCCTAACGAAGCTTCCTTGAAATTTCGAATGGGCTGAGTCTGATAGGTACTAATTAATACCTTGAGCAATCAATCAAAAAGCGTTTTTGGTACTGAAAACTGAGAGTACTGGGGATCTTTCATACTGTCTTTTTATAATGCAGAGTTATCTTCTCTTGTGAGGAGGTATTTGATTGTAAGAGTAACTTCATCTCATTTGTGAGAAAACAATGTAATTTTCTGATGCAAACTAATGACATAACAATGAATCTCTGCTCACAAGACCAGATAACTCTGCATTACTTTTTTCATAATGCAGAGTTTTTTATCTTCTCTGTGTTGAGGTATCTGATATCAGCCATAAAAGAATCTTATGGACAGGAAATAATTTTCACAGTGAGGTATCTGATATCAGCTATAAAAGAATCTTATGGTTGTCAAGACTACAGCTGATGATTGCTAACCTGCTTTATTAAATTAAAACAGAAAAACATTAATGGCAAAATTTATCAAGCCAAAATTACTTTACAGAATACCATACAATACAGAATATAAAGTTTTTTTTCTAAAAAAGGACATATTCAAATTATCATTTTATTTTACCAAAACTGGTGGAAATAAAGAAAAACTATCAATCACGTATATTTTGCATGGGTTTTATTTTCACGTTAGTCAGGAGGAAAGTAATTCACAAATTCAAATCCTCATAATTATTTGTACAAAAAAAAAACTCAAGATAGCATCATTGATGCTTCAGTTACCAATATTGGAGCCTTGAAGAGTCCTAATAGCTCATCATTTGCAAATTTGAAGTAATTTCTAAATCAGAATTCCGAAATCATGTATTCATGAATATGTCTTCAGAGGTAAGTTTTGCGAAATAAAGCATTAGCAAAATCTGAGCAACCAGTCTTAGGTGTCAGAGGCAACCAGTTACTGTAACTGGTGTAACTGCAGTTAGAAGACAACCAGTTACTGTAACTGGTGTAACTTGGGCCAGAAGACAACCAGTTACTGTAACTGGTGTAACTGCAGTTAGAAGACAACCAGTTACTGTAACTGGTGTAACTGCAGTTAGAAGACAACCAGTTACTGTAACTGGTGTAACTGCAGTTAGAAGACAACCAGTTACTATAACGTTACTGTTGTAACCAGTTACTGTATCTGGAATCAAAAGACAACCAGTTACTGTAACTGGTGTAATAAGGTCAGAAGACAACCACTTACTGTAACTGGTGTAACTGGAGTCAGAAAAGAACCACTTACTGTAACAAGTGCAACTGGAGTCAGAAGACAACTAGTTACTGTAACTGGTGAAACTGGGGTCAGAAAACAACCACATACTGTAACTGGTGTAACTGGGTCAGAAGACATGTTGATGTAACTAGTGATATCTGGGTGATGTCACAGTTGACCAGCTTCTAGTCCTGTCAATTTTACAAACCAAAGTAATCTATTTTGCAATCCCCTTAACCAAATTTAGTGAATATTTTTCAAGCAATTTTTGAGAAGAATTATCTCGAGAAAATATTACCTATCAGGCAATATATGGCAACACCTTGCAGAAGTTCATGTGATTCTTAATTCAAAGTACATTACCTTTTCAATGTAATGTTCAGTAACTTTAGTATGGGAAATTCCCAGACTACAGATAGGAAAGGTGTGATTTGGCTTTTTCTTCAAAGTGCTTTGTAACTGTGCCTGCAATAAAAAAATTAATAAGAAAATACAACAAAAAATTAAAATAAAAAAATCCTAAGAATTATCATATTAGATTTCTTTTTACATCACAATTAAAAGACTTTAAATACATGTATTGATAAACTAAGAATAAGCAAGTCTGTTTCTCAACAATTTGACTGCGGAATGTGTATCAGTCTACTGTGTATGAATAAATGTAAACTTTGGATGACATTCGTCTGTAACTACCTGATAAACTGATAAGACTGTAGTATTATTGCAGTAAATAAAACTATTATGAGAATAAATTTATTGAAATCCATTACTGATTCCATAATATTCTCTGTACAGACATAGTGAGCAGCAAAACACTTTACTTAATACCAATCACCTGGTTACAACAGTATACATATATGATATTGCCTATAAAATTCTTCACGTCCATAGGAAAATTGCATCAATTTTAGGGAAACAGAAAATACACATTTCATTTACCTTAATAATTACAAGTGATATGGTTTCGTAGCAATTTTAGAAATCATATTTAAAGCTGAATGCACATTTAAAGTTTCTCTACAATCAATTTTTAATGCAAGCTTTTAGCCAGTGAGTAGTCAATATGATAATGTGAAAGCATAGTAAGTACACATATCAGAGAGAACCTTGAAACACCTAAAAAATATGTCCCACAAGAAAATAGAAGTGGGTTGCTTACTCTATCAAATACATTAAATGAATTGATTCAAACCAACACTGCCATAAATGTATCATATACATGTATCTCAAATCCTACCAGTGCCCAATCCTTCGCTTTCTGTTCTAGGGGTGATGACGGCTCTATTCGATACACTGACAAGACACACTTCATTGTAGATTGGTACAACAGCTTATTTCCTCGTACAGCATGATTTCCACATAATCTTCCTAACAACTGTCCAATATCAGGTAGCTCAGTTAAACATTTCTCCACATCCTGGAAAAGAAAACAGCTATGACCTGCTAAATTTTCATCGTACAGCTTTTTAATTTTAAAAACATAAACCTATGGGTATGTTACATTTGTTTTATTTTCTGCTCATGAGAATAATGATTAAGAGAGTCTATAACTAAATTTCAAAATATCTTTCATGTGGCTTTTCATTTTAACAAAACAGATTATATAGCCCTTGAGCTGTACCTGGCCTGCCATCTAACTGTAATTTGTGATTATGGCTACTTCTATAACTTCTATCCTGTGCATCATTGAAGGCTGGACATTGGTAACAAGTTCAAAATAGTAATGTCTAACTAGTTCAACCACCTTTCAAATGTGGATTATTACCCAGGTAAACATTAGACTTAGTCTCAGCAATAGAATACATCCAGAAGAGGACTATCCAGTACGTTTACAATGAACACTGATCAAGAGAACCTGGCTGAGCACATTTTCCCATCTTTTCTCTCCCCTTATTTGGTTTTGATGTTTTATTGACAGGTGAGTTGATTGTATGGTAACATCATTTAATAGGGGAAACTTACATAGACAATAACTAAGTGCCAAAGGGAACCTACAAAAGAGTTTTAGTAAAATCCATCCAGTACTTCTTAAGCAATGGCAATCACAAAATTTTTAGTTGTCAGAATTAAAGATTGCCACTTGTAAGCCATTTTTTATCAAATCTGGCTTGAAAGTGAATGGGCACTATTAGTGACAACTGGGTACATGTATATGAAATTTGAAAAGGTCAATCCCATACTTTTTTCATGCAAATGTTTAAAAGGAATGATGTGTTTCTATTTTCAATTACCCCATATTTGAGTAACAAATCCATTACTCAATGCAGTACATGTCACTTAAGTGCAGAACCATTTAACAGGGATATATGATAAACAGGGATAAGAAACTGCCAATATATATCTTTTGTAACAATAGAGCCAATTAGAGAAGAAATTTTAAACCTTGCTGTGTTTAAGTTCTTACAAATAAAATCTTTTTAAAAAAAATACAGTAGTAGAAAGCTTAATATCTTCAAACTGATTGTGCTAACATTTGTGACAAATAATTTCTGTTGAGTTTGAAGTTTACAAAAAAAAAAAAAAAAAATGCATGCTTAAGCTGTTTACAATTGAAATCCCACACTATGTTGTATACCACTTTCAGACCAAAATATTGCAGAAATCATATTTAAATAGATGCAGGGTTTTCCATAATTTTGTTAGTAGTAGGCTGTGTAGTGAAAGTAGGAGGCTGGCCTGCTGTGTACGTATAGTCGTGTAGGGACCATTATTACGGAACTGGACAGGTGTAGGCGGCCAAATGATCAAAGTAGCCGGTCAAATTGGCCGGCGACCGGCTCTTATGGGAAACCCTGTAGATGACATTAAAAAGCTGAGTTTTTTTTTCTTATCCACTTATGTAAGTTTTGTGATATGTCACTTTATTTATTAGTATATTTATTAGTATTATTTTTGTTACAAAATGAGTCTTTTCTCACTGCCCGACAAAATAGCTCTGGTCAGGCCAGTCATTGCAAAGTCGACACAAACTACAGTACAGAAGTAAATAAGGTATAGTTAGATTACATAACAGTTAGAAGATCGAGCGTGTAAAACATTTTGTACAAAGAAACAGAACAGGTTAATAACTACCATGATTAACTGTGGTACAAGATTTATTTTACTATAACTCACAATCTTTATTTTATTGACAAGTTCAATTTTGATATGAATATTACAGTACACTTAGAGATACACTTCAATTAGAAGTGAATAGGTTGGTAGGGACTGGCCCAACCCACCTGTTGTCTGATCTACATATAGGTATAATGGTATTTTTATGTATAAGGCATAACACCATCTTATGTTATACAATAACTGTGAGAATTACATCACCTTATCAGTTATATTACCATTCATTGCCGAGTTTAGCTATCATATACAGACATAATCATTATCTTTATTTGACATAACTTCATCTTTTACTGTTATATATTATAACATGGTCTTATTTTATGTATACCATTACAGCAAACCATATTCCCTAATAATGCTTATGTTTAATAACACTTAATCTTCTAAAAATTAAGATCTTTACTTGGGAAGCCCATTGGAGCACACATACTAATGGACTCGAATTCAATAGCACTTAAAAATAATAACCCACACACTAGCCTTATATTTTAAGTGCTATTGAAATCGAGTCCACAATTACCTGAGGCTGAGCTTAAAATGTTAATGTTGTATTTATATTACGTTTTTACCTAAATAAATATCAATTATTTACTGACATGAGCTTTCTCAAGATAATTCAAAAGTCTTTCCAACACTTTGCTGATTCCATGTCGAGATAAATCAATCAGGTTGCTTAGCTGACTGTCACTAATATCGTCTCGTAGAAGTTTTGATAACAGTGACTGTAATTCCAATCGCAAATCAACGAGTTCTCCCGCCATTTAAATAAACAACAACAAACAATTCAATGTTGCTTTTACGCTTGTATTTATATTTGAAGGTGCAAACCCTACGGTTACCATGCGAGTTCGGGCCGTGTTTTCATCACAAGAATCGGACTGCATTTTAATTATCGCAGTCTCGGGATAGTATGAAATATTTGATATCAACTAAATATGTGTAGAAATATAGGCTGCATGTGATTATTTTGGATCTATATGTGGTCAAAACGGTTCAGTCATTAGAACGCGATAAATAAAAGGAATGAACAATAATCGGCATTTGATTCAAACGCTAACAAGATCCAGATAGCCAACACGTGGTGGCGATAACAGAGTATCGTTGTGGAACGTTGGATGCAAGTGGAGATAACACCGTTAGCTGTTTTACCTGATTGAGGTGCTTCTTGACACTACTTCAGATTAAAAGAGAAGACAACAACGACCTTCTTCTCTGACATTTGAACAACTTTGCAACGGACTGGAGACCCAAACTTAAAACATGACTCTTGAAGCCATCAAATACTCAAGGGGGAAACTAAGTATTCTAGACCAGCTCCTTCTCCCATTGCAAACAGAATACATAGAGGTTAAAAACACCAACGATGGATGGCAAGTTATCAAGAAGATGCAGGTAAATCTGTGTTAATAGCTAGGGTTATAGTTTATAGTTTCACTTTCGTATTGCAGTTATATGTCAACATTTACTCTTGATGTACTCACGTAAGTGTATCGTGTGAGGGGTATTTTTGGGCATATCCATTAGTGTTTACATAAACTTCATGCTTTGATAATTAAAATGTGTCTGAGGTCATGGTACTTGACATGTAATTTTTTTGCAAGACTCAAAACGCAACCACTAAAAAAACACGACGGCTTAAATAAAACTTTTGTAGTGAGAATCCTCCAACTGCTTTAAGAAGTAATCATGTGCTCCATCAACTGAGCGATTAGAATGTATTTAACATAAATCATTGCAGAAAAAATGTAAAATTCCTGTTATTATGTCCAAAATTTCATTTGCGATAGGAGCAGGATATTAAGCTAAAACAGGACTTAAACAAATTACATCGGTTTTAGTAGTATTTCGCTGATGAACTTGTAAACTATTTTAAAGGAGTTTGAAATCCAAATAATGAACTAATCGGGAGGATATTTGAAACTTTACTTTTAACTTACAAACAAGGCAAATAACTACTTTCTGATACAATATTAATTAAATGTAATAAGGCGGAATTGCCAATATATATTAACGGTTTAAAGTTATTTTGAATAATAGAATTTGGTCCTTTGCTAGGTACAGGTATTTGAGGAGAGGGGTACATGTAACTGTTTCACAGATTATGATGAAAATTACATAATTAGACAACGGAAATGAGTAAGGTAGAATACAACCGAAACATTGTTTTGTGTTGGAAGGTAAGAGGAGCCCCAGCTATAGCTATTGTTGGATGTCTGAGCCTGGCTGTTGAAATGCTGAAAACAGACTTCACCTCATCAGAGAAGCTGGGAAACTTTATCTGTGAAAAACTTGACTATCTTGTAACTGCAAGACCAACAGCAGTCAACATGGGTTCCTCTGCTGTATTGTTCAAACAGAGAGTTACCACACTGCTTGAAAATGGAGACCTAGCTGTTGAAGACTTCAAAATGACGTAAGAAAATGTGATAAGAAAAGTAATTTCTCAACAAAAAAATACCAATTCACTACTTCTGGACATATTGATTTTGAGGTTCTATTTGTTTAAAGTCTGGCTTTGAGTTTCATATATTCAAACAATTTAAAGGTTAGTTATCTTATGTAAGGTTATTAATGTGCTAGATAAATTTCAATGATATGCCAAAAAAGACATGTTGGTCTTAGTTCTTCATGCTCCCTAAAATTTTTAGGGAAGTAGATAGTTGCTGCTTTGTCTATCAGTTCGCCTTGCCATCCTCTTCATGTCTGAAGGTTCACAACAACTGATTTACAGAGTTATTGGCCTTGTTTAGAATATTATGTTTGCTTACATATAAACTCAGATTATGAAACATGGTGCATACATCAGTAATATAAAGAACATATGCATTGTACTAAAGTCAGCATCTGAAACCACTTAATTACATAGTTACTAACCTTTTTAAAATTTATTGTCATGAACTGTGTTTTGAATTGATGTCAATGAAACTCACAAGTTATCATAGTAAGCACATTTTATAAAAAAAAAATTCAATTCTTTAAAAGTTTGAACCCTAGATTATCTTCCATACACATATTAGTAACATACAGTGTTTATAGTTGATATGAAAAATTCAGTATCAGACTTGGTGAAATTTGCCTTACTTTCATAGCTCAAGCATAAGTATTTGTCAGAAAGTTTATACATATATTTGATATGTTGAAACATGATTCTTTTCCCTTTTTCAATCTTTATTTTGACATATTTCTACTGTAATATCATTAACATGACTACAAAAATACATATACAAAATTCACAAGAGACTCCAAAGGTTTTAAGAATATTCCTAAAGTTCCTCTGATACTCATTTTCATTAATTTGTTCTTAAGGATGTACTCCTCTGAATAGTAAAAAACAATACTTGCATTTAATTTTTAGCCCACCATCATCAGATGGCAGGCTATTCAAATGCCCTACATCCATGGTCCCTTTGTCCATAAACAATTTTTGTTATCACTTCTTCTTCAGAATTACTGGATTGATATTTCTCAAATTTCATATGTAGGTTTCCCTGTTGCTTTTGTGCCAGTTCAATTTTGGGACTGATCAGAAAAACAAAACAACCACCAGGTGGCCATCTTGGATTTTGACTTTGCAAAACTATCATCACTCTTTCTTCAGAAATTTTGGATGGATCTTTTTCAAATTTCAAATGTAGAGGCCCCTTTGTCCCTGGTTGCTCCCAAGTGATTTTTGGGTCTGATCAGGAAAATAAAATGGCCGACAGGCAGCCATCTTGGATTTTGACTTTGAATGTTTGTTATCCCTATTTCTTGAGAACTACAGTATAGATCTTCCTCAGATTTTATGTGTAGGTTTCCCTTGATCCATTAGTGTCCGTTTGATTTTGGGACTTACCTGATATCAGGAAAAATAAAATAGCTTCCAGAGGTCTATCATGGATTTGAAAGTTAAAAGATTATCATCGCTTTTTCTGCAAAGGAATGTTCAAATTTCTTATCACTAAGAGCAAAAACAGAGAAGAGAAGATAAAAGATGGGAAAAGATCAAGCTTTCAAAGAGCATGTAAAGATTAAACAACTGTGGGCGCAATGATCCCTATAAAGCTCTTGTTATAAGTGTTTGACAATTGAGAAAATTTGATATCACTGTATTACTGGAGTGTCATTGTATTTCAGAATCATTAAAGAAATTGAAAAAATGCTTCTCTCTGACCGCAGTGACAATATTGCACTGGCAAAGTACGGTGCTGGAGACATCATGGAGCGCTGCTCACATAATAAAGCTTGTGTCCTCACACATTGCAACACTGGTTCCCTGGCAACAGCAGGATATGGCACTGCTCTAGGTGAGACCCAGGCATTAAATTTTGACAATTGCATAAAGTTGAATACAAAAAGATTTATCTTATGGATGGGAAACAATCTGATAAATTTGTTGTTTGGTTTATGTGCCCTCCTGGTGTGGTCAGCCAGGATCTTTTGAAGAAGGGTCTTCTTGTAGTAGGTGGTGACTACCTCAATGAACAGCATGCCAGAGGTCTGTCACATGCTATCAAGTGTTACTTGGGTTAAATGTCTTGCTAAACAATTTCCACCAAGAATTGTATATACAAAACCAGGGTGTGCAAAATAGAGGTAAATATTTGAAATCCATTTTTTGTTAAAGTTGGGATAAAGATATTTTTACCAAATTTGGTCTTGAGTATCCTTTGATAAAGGGGAAAATTGTATCATGGTAGTATAAATAGATGACTAGACCCTCCTCGGGCAGAGGGATGGGGCTCAATCAGGAAGAAAAAGGAGGAAATACATTGCAAAAAAATAGTGTACAAAAATGTTTGGAGGTGCAGAAATATCTAAGTGAACAACATAGCCATATGAGCTTAGTGTTCTTTAAAATTCTAATAGTCAAAATTCCATATTGGATTTTAACTTAATTGTTGTGAAGCATCGAGAGAAAGGATTCTTCTATTGTACAGATAAAAGGATTCAACCAAATATATCCTACAACATCCTTTCTTAAAAGGGATGGAAATTTGTATAGATGCAGGAAAAATGCCTTCAGTGAATTTCTGTCTCAGAGTTTCTATATAAAGGTTACTATTAATTGAAATTAGCTCAAAACAATGATACTAATTTGCCTGAAAGCAAAGGCATTAAATATATCAGACATTTTCTTTTTTTTTAAGAGATGGATATGATGTTGATGTAAAATAGTGATGAGTTTTATGAAATTTTTATGGATAATCAAATGAAATGAAATTGAAGTTTGATATTTGTATCAACAAGATTTAAGATCCATGTTTCCTCACTTTATGTATTTCTCATCTTTCATGAAATCAAAGTTCATACAGTTATAGATGCCAATAGGAAGCTGTGTTCACAGCTTCTGAAAGCATACTCTTTTTGTTATTGTACATGTACAAGACTTTTAATACAGTTTCTGTGAGATACACAGTCCCAATGCCTAATCTTTACACTATTATTTAGGTGTGATTCGAGCTCTTCATGAGGATGGCAATCTGGATCATGCTTACTGTACAGAAACTCGACCTTACAACCAGGGTGCTCGACTGACAGCCTATGAACTTGTGTATGAAAAAATACCAGCCACTCTAATATGTGATAGCATGGCTGCCATGCTGATGGAGCGTAAGAAGATATCTGCAGTGGTTGTAGGAGCTGATCGAGTAGTAGCTAATGGGGACACAGCAAACAAGATTGGGACCTACCAACTCGCCATCAGTGCCAAGTATCACAACGTGTTGTTCTATGTTGCTTGTCCTACCACTTCATATGATTCCAGTAAACAGACTGGAGCTGACATAATTATTGAAGAGAGACCAGCTGAGGAGCTAACAAAAATCCAAAATGTACCTATAGCTGCTCCAGGTAAGAATCGCAGGCTTTGTTAGTATTCATCACAATTTCCATTAAGTTCCTATCAAATACTTGCACAAGTTACAGGAAAGAAAAATGACCTTCCAAAATGTATAAAGGTTTAAGACTGATTGGTCCTGCCCCGTACATTTTATTTTCTATCAAAGAGATCACAGATATAACCAATTGAACAAGTCTCAAAATTGGTGAACTTTGTTACTATACAAATTTACATATAACATCCTTTGATTTAATTATCACATATTCCAAAACAGTTATATAAAGAGAAAACACTTTCCCTGGAACATATGTTGTGACATTGAAGTAGAGATCTGGTATCTATACACTATAAGCACAGTATTACATTTCTTCCATATTGTTATTTTTGCATTTTAACACATACATAAATTTAATGATTCAGGTACAATTCCATTTTGACAATTTTGATAAAGTTTTCCTGTTTGGGCAGGCAGAATGAATTCTCATGTTATAAACAAATATTGTAAACTATTAAAACATTAAAATTCAAAATTAGTTTCTTCTTTTACCAAAAATGTATTTTTCATTTAAAAGTTGGTATGCGAATAAATGCTTCAATAGGTGCTGCATTAACAGTCACTATTAAACTTACTTTTAAACTGTTGACAATCCAGGTATACATTGCTGGAATCCTGCGTTTGATGTCACACCAGCTGAACTCATCACTGGGGGAATCATTACAGAACATGGAGTATTCAAGCCATCAGAATTGCAGAGCAAACTCGAACCAATTTTAAACAAAACAGTCCTTTAGTACTGCATTCCATTTGTGTATCATTGTAAGGATTCTAAGTTAACAGTATAAACAGAATTCTATTTCGTACACAACTTTCATAACAAAGTATGCCCTGCCATGCATACATGAGACAATAGAATATGCATGCGAACTAGATACTGAACTTTGTAACTTTGAGCACGAGTCAAATTGATATCAACTTATTAATTAATAAGATCTAAGTCATGGACATAGAATATCATTTATATTCCAGTTCATAGCACAAATACATCACCTATTTTTAGCCCACCATCTAATAGATAGTGGGTTATTTTAAATCGCCCTGCGTCCGTGGTCCGTCCGTCCGTCCGTAAACAATTCTTTTTACCGCTATTTCTGGAAAAGTACTGGATGGATCTTTCTCAAATTTGATATGCAGGTTCCCCTTGGTCCCTAGTTGTGCATTGTACCTTTTTTGAACTGATTCGCATTCAAGATGGTCGACAGGCAGCCATCTTGGATTTTGGAAGTAAAAGTTTGTTACCACTATTTCTGGAAAAGTACTGGATGGATCTTTCTCAAATTTGATATGCAGTTTCCCCTTGGTCCCTAGTTGTGCATTGTACCTTTTTTGAACTGATTCGAATTCATGATGGCCGACAGGCAGCCATCTTGGATTTTTGATGTAAAAGTTTGTTACTGCTATTTCTTGGAAAGTACTGGATGGATCTTTCTCAAATTTCATATGCAGTTTCCCCTTGGTCCCTAGTTGTGCATTGTACCTTTTTTGGACTGATTCGAATTCAAGATGGCAGACAGGTGGCCATCTTGGATTTTGAATGTAAAAGTTTGTTACTGCTATTTCTTGGAAAGTACTGGATGGATCTTTCTCAAATTTCATATGCAGGTTCCCTTTGGTTCTCTTTGGTTCCAAGTTGTGCATTATACCTTTTTGGACTGATCCGAAATCAAGATGGCTGACAGGCAGCCATCTTGGATTTTGAGAGTAAAATCTTGTTACTGCTATATCTGAGGAAGTACTGGATGGATACTTCTGATATTTCATAGATATTGGTTTCCCTTGGTCCCTAGTTGTGCATTGTACCTTTTTTGGACTCACAGGCAGCCATCTTGGATGTCGACAATAATACAGCACAAGCATATTTTCCATTATCCACCTGTAACTGACTGCTATCTAATAATACTTTGGGATCTTTTTCAAATGATATTTGCTAATAGGTGCTTAATAAAAATATCTTGTGCCATCATTGAGTACATTCAATGAAGACCAGTTCATGAACATTTACAACACCTGTAACAAACAAAAAAAAAAATAAACAAATCTTCAAGAACTCAAAACAGATCCTCAAATGGTGGGCGCCAATATCCCTCTGGGATCTCTTGTTTAAATTACTAAAAAAAAAAAGTATGCAGCAAAATTTAACATGTAATTTGAACTATTACGTATTATGTCTTGTTTTAATATGAAAATAATTGGAGTCATTTTGAGTATTCTTTGTTAATCCATAAGAAGGAAATAAACAGAAGTAAACAAGGTGTGGTTTACTGTTGTATAATCAATCCTAATAGTGATTTCTAAATGACATTCATTATTTTGTCAAGATATTTTTTAAGGTCATATATTAGCTACATTTATGTATAACTTCAATATGTATGAATTCCTGTAGAACATTGAAGACCTTACCCTACAAAATTGTTTTTAAGGCCAATTGAAGACTGTTCCATAGTGTTCGTTACCTTTATCGGTTTTATTGAGCCACAATCAAAACCACTGTCATCACTCTGGAGACTTCATTTCTTTAAAGATTGTGATTAAATTTTATACACTGGTAAACTACAGCAAAGTCTAGGATTAGTGTGCTACATGGTTCTTGGGTCAGAGTCAAGGTCAGTTACTAAAGTCAAGGTCAGTTACTAAAATCAAGGTCAGTTACTAAAGTCAAGGTCAGTTACTATTTATTGAAACCTATCAAATCTATTGCTGCAGAGTTGAAATACAAACAAATTTTACCTCAGTATTTATGAGCATTCACAAATAAATCTACCATCTCCTGATGACAGTGGAACCCATATCTACTATTTTCGATGTCATTATAACATCATAATACTCCCAGGTAATATGTCACATTCATTCACTCTAGTTAGTGATATTGAAATTGAACAGATTCCATTAGTCTTGTGAAATTAATTTATTCACAAAATGAAAATAAATGAACAACGTAGATCGACATTTCATTTCGATATGATGAAAAGAACATTTACTTAGTTTATATTTATTATCAAGAAATTACAACTTTTGTTGTTGCACCCTTAATTTTCATATCATGATTTTCAACTGCTGGGTCTAGTTGAAAGTCGCCACATTAACTGAATGTAATACAATGATTCTTTAATCTGTGTTTAAGATTGTCTACATTGTGTCTTCTTTTTTTATATCAACATTTGCTTTCAACGAATAGTTTTCTATGATCAGGTGTTGGACAAAACAATATTATTTCAATGTCTGAATAAAGACAAACATTTGCAGATTATTCCAGGAGAATGAATGTCATTCAGCAACTTAAATTTCACAAAATTGAGTAGTTTGCATGATTTCTTGTCACAACATCTATTATCATTCACCTTGTCTATTTCAATCATTCACACACCATTTGTATAAAGTTTTCTGCCTCTGGACTGGTTTCAATTGCTTCAAAGTTTCTGAATCATCACAAAATCCAATGGCCTACTGTACAAAATGTCAGCAGAGCAGAACACACATATCCCTTTCATAATTTCCACTTTTCTGGACCTTCCTAGGAGAAATACTATTAATGATTCCATGTTTCCTTGTCTTTGAAGGTAACAGGCCCGAAGGCAATACTTCAATCAGTTAGATCTAAGAGAATGGAATCTTTCTTCTTTAATAAATGAATACTTCGTTTGTATTTCAACATAAAGATTATTTCATCACAGGCACTTGTTAGCTCAGCCATTGATTGTTCTTCCTATTTTTCACACTCTTCATCACAGTCTCTCAAGTTCGGCTTGTAAGCGTTTGAACAGTCCAACAAGTCGGCGGTGGTGATCCGTCATCCTCATCGTCTGTAGCTCCACTAAATATGTGGCCACAAAGTCCAGACACAGCGTTGAAAACGGTCGTCTACAAAATAGCAAATTGGTATGTTAGGGCATTACTAAAACCTATGTAACACAAATATTTTGTGACTAATATCTGTACAGGGAAAACTGAACACTCTACATAGCAAAACTCTGAACTCCACAGTAAAATCATTTACCTTTTTTGTCATCATGTTTCATGGTTAAGTTCAAAACTTGTCATTTATTTCTGAATAGACATGCAATCTCACCTTTCATAAACAGGTATAAGGGATGGGTTCGCTGTGAGATGTGCTAACAGATTTGACAAGACATCCAACAAGTGTAGGGGCTTTTGAATAGTCTGCCAATATGGATCCTGAAATAAATGTAACAGGGGTCTACATTAAATGTACAGGTAAACAAAGCATTATTACATGCATGTGACCATGTATCATACCGATGTTTTCAATAAAAGAATTCATCAACAGAACTTATGAAGTGAAAATGGCATTTTTCAAGAAATCTCTGTATTTCATTCAAAATTACATCATCAATTATCTTGTTACATCTTGTTACATTAATTTTTAGTATTTCACAAATATATATTGCAGTTTTCATTCATCAGGACTTCAAGAAAAGCATAAAATGATATTGAGCTGAGATCTTTAACAGATAAGACATACCCGTGATTTGAACATTCGGTCATAAATCTCCAGCAGTTTAGGAGGAGGCACACCAATCTCCAGCATCATCTCATACACCCAGGATGCTGTGAAGTCAAGCTCACAACTCCGCTGTTCTATATACTTCACCAGAAATGCTAAACAGACAAAAATATAATGCATCAATCCAAAATTTATCACAACATTTGTAAGAAAAGTGCTACAGAAGTAAACAAGAGACCTAGCAGCTTGATGGTCACCTGAGATAAGCAATATTGAATACATATGTTAAAAGTAGTTATCAAGTGTCATGAAACAGAAATCGTGATACTGAATATATTAAGAAAAGAAAAAAAATAAAAACCTCTAAGAATGTGGGTACAACCTTTTATTAGCTATGACACCTTAATAGCATAGTTTAACAGTTTGTAAACTCTTAAATTTCGTATCACAAATGAAAATTCCTCTGTTTCACAAGATACAATACAGAATTCCTTGCAAAAGCTCGTACCATATAAATAATTTTTACCAAACAATATGAATTATATTTACATAAAGATAAAATCAAGTCAAGTATTTAACAATATTTGAGCACCTGAAGAACTAATGATGCTGAAATCTATGCCATTGACATTATAGTAGTTATTTTAGTGACAATCTCATAGAATTTCCTACCTAAGGGGAAGTATCGTTCTGTCTTCATGTACTGCTTTCCAATTGGTTCCATCTTGTTTCTGATGTTAGTGATTCTCATAGGCGTAGTCATCTTCATGGTACCATCTACTTCTACAAAAGAAAAAACATTTCGAAAAATCATGTACGATTCTGATTTGATAATGCAGGGAACGTCAAAGCAACATATGATAATTCAATCACAACTCAGAACTAAATGAAATTTTACTAATCAAGTGTGAAGGATATACATATAAATGTAAATCATGAAGGTTATGCATGGTTGAGCATACATATATAAGTTCATATAAATGGCAAAGTACCATCAAAATCAATGTGTTAATATGGGATCTATTCTGTAACAGATTTGTAAATCCATTGAAGGCCATCTTTAAACTATACAATTCTGAATTTGTCAATGATTCTCTTGATACATTTTGAGAAATTGGCTTTAATTCATCTAGGACACTTTGCCAAAGGCAGTAGACACTAGCCTTATTTTCTCCTGATAAGCTAAAGCAACAGATACCAGTCTTGTTTACCTAGATGAGCTAAAGCATAACACACTAGACTTGTTTTCTGCTGATAAGCTAAAACATACCAGTCTGGTTTTTCACTGATAAGCTAAAGTATAAGACAACAGTCCAGTTTTCCAATGCCAATCTAAGGCTTAAGTGACTTTGATGTGCTACCACAAGCATAAGGCCTACCTTTATCAATAATGCTCTGCCAGAGATTTTCAACTAAAGCTGCATCAAACAACCCAGCACAGTGGATAATGGCCAATTTACACTCAGACAAGTCATATTTGTCTGCAAACTCCTCATACAACTGAAACACAAAAGCAGGTTAATTAAGACGAAAGTTTATGTATGTAATATGCATTTAGAGGCTGCTACCTATAAGTATACTTTAGTATAATACCCAATTTTCCTTACAGTATGAAATGCTAGCATCCAAAAATAGGTGTAAAATTTAGTAGGTGTAGGTGAGAGATGGAAGATATGCCAGAAATGCAAACATATGGATTGGTTGATATGAGTGAAAACCTCTTTATATTTAAGTGGGGCACTGACCAGTTAAACTGTTACCATGGTTTGTCTAAAAAAAGAACATTTTAGTGAAATACAGAGGTCAGGCTACCCTTAAAACAAGGCAAAAACCAACATTTTTGTATAATGATGATTACTAGACATTTACACCCTGCTTTCTATAACTATGGTGTTACATAGAGCATACATACTAGTGTTAGGTCTAGCAGATCAGAATCCAGTCGACTCAGGGCTTCAGAGATATTCTGTTGGTTGCGATCTCTTATTTTACTCAAAGCATTCTGAACCTGAAGTTGGAGTCTGCCAACCTATCAAAGACAACATATACATTAACATTCTTGTAAACCTTGGAAGTTTTATACACAATAATTCAATAAGAATTCCAGGGATACATTGTGAATAATGTCTACGAATCTTAATGGAAAGCATGAAATTATTTTCCACTATTGTAACAGCCAAACAGGACTAGAATATTCTCAGTCATGCTTGTGCATTGAATACAGGAAACTTTCACAGCAGTTGAACTTCAATTTGTTTCGCCCACTGGAGGAGATTAAATGGTGGTCTAAAATTTGATGCTTGAGCTGAAATACATGTCTTTATGGAAATTAGGACAGGTTAGGTACTGGGCAAAAATCAATAGTTCTAAGGCAGGGCAAAAAAATATGGGCAAGTTTTTTCCTCATATACAGTAATAATATTCATCAATTTGTTAAATGCTTGCTATACATTTTTCTGAAAATATACATATTTGATCTTCAAGAAATCTTTTCAAATAAATAAAAAATTCCAATATTTTTGGGTTTTTTTTCACAACATACAATCTATACCTCATATGTATACTACAACAAATTACTATGTCAGTAAACACCTTACCTCCATCTTCTCTTCCAGTTCATGCAGGAATTCGCCCTCAGCAGCAGAACTAGTGCGAGATGTAGAACTTTTGGCACACATGATAGCTCTGGATAGATACTCTATCCTTTGTTGGAGTCTTACATCAGTTCTAAAAGGCAAAAAAATAAAAACTGCATTATTATGATGTGTTTGAATAACATGTTTAACTTGATCTTGATCGCTATTAACTATAACAAAACTTCGCCCTTATATGAATCAGCTGTAAAAAAAATATGCATGAAATTTTTAATGATAAATTTTACCTGTATCTTCAAACCAAATTTTAGAGTGAACTGAAAATATTACAATAATATGCCATCTTACCCATGCCTTTCTGCTAGTCTGGACAAGATTTTGGCAGCTGCAGGAAAGTTGCGACTTTTTTCATAATATTTCCATAACATGTCTAATGCCCCAACAGCTTCCGACTGGTAGCCTGTTTTCCTTTTCAGATAAGGTTCCAGGAATGGTGACTGAATCTGAACAAAAAATTCACATGATAATCAAGATTAATCTGCTCGTACTTTGGATCTAGAAAACAAAGATAATTTACATCAAGAGCCCTTCCCATGGATTCCTTGTAATATTATCAAAAAAATGGTTGTTTCCAACATCAAAATATTTCTGTACTTCTGAACACCTAAGAAACAATGAACAAATTTTCACATGCAGAAAGGAATTACAGCAATATTATATTCAAACTATAAACAGAAACATTAAGGTTGAAAAGGTGATCATTCACCCAAATTCAGGAGAGAGAGAGTTCGGGTGATTGCATCCATCAAGGAAAGCATCTTTAGTATTCAGACACTCAGCAAGCTTCCTGCTTAGCATCTCAAAAATTTTTGTCCTGGGGTTTAGATCCAATTATTGGGTGTAAAAGACTCAGCTAATCTAGAAATAGATAAATCTATATCAACTTCAAGGAAATTAGAGAAGAACAGGCTCACATTTTCTTATAAAAATGTGTGTTAAATGAAGAATTTACCTCCAGTAGTTTCTCTGTCTGATTCATGCTATACAACCAATCATACAGGGCCACATGGAACAGTTCATCATCGCTCTTCAGGGCCAGCCGGAATATGTCAGACTTCTGTAGGTAGATATATAAACAATGTTCACTTACTATGCACTGATAACTAACATTATCAAAGAGCTTTAAACCAAAGGATAACGTGACTTAAAACATGATTATATATTAGTAATACAAAGAATTTCTGTAACATTTTGTTTTCCCTTTGATTACAAGGTTTACAATGAAAGCCACATAAGTATATACTGTAGACATAAGTGGCATTTGAAGGTCTGCTTTCAACACTGGAAGGGTCAAGTTTTATCAAGATACAAAAGAAGGATTTTTTAAAAAATTTCTTACAGTAAACAGCATCAAGATCTGAAACATTTGTGTGTTAACAATAAGGACATTAACTTTTTAAAGTTTTATAAACAAATATGGTACAACTTGTATACTAATTTTGACTTTGTAAGCTTAGCTGGGTGGTATAGGAAGTTGTCAAACCACTTACAAACTGATCAGCCTCCTGGGGGGAGAGTCTACTGGGGTCAGGGGTTGGGGGTGGCCCAGGAACTTTTGGAGCTTGTGGAAACGAGGTGCTTGTTGTGGACAGGAAGCCAAGTGTCCCAGTAATACAGTTATAGCATTCCATCCTGTGACATCAATATCAATTTATGAATTACAATTAATGTTTATCAAACGTACTCATAAAACTCAAATATTATACTGACTTCAATGTCTAATGAATTAAAGTATTCAAATAAATTACTGATAGGCAAAACTTAAGTTTAATGACTTAAAACAAAATTTGTGTAAATGTGTGATTGGTATTTCAATTAGCCATATATCAATGTCAAATCAAAGAAAAGGTAATGTCAGATGAAATTTACTGCAGAATCAACAACCATATTAACACAAGTTCCGTGATTTTTCAAAGTCTTATATGTGAATGTTTAAAAACTAACCTAGACATGTAGGCTGACATGCCTTGTAGATCTTCTGGAGGTTCTCCACTCCTGTAGAAGTGAAGAGCTAGGTGCTGGGGGTCTCGCTTGTGTGCCAGGGTCAAACATAGGTCCACAATTCCATCATAGTAATGAACATTGGCAAACTGGCTACATACCACGGTCAGCTGAAGGGGCTGGGATACCTCTTTATACAGCTGTAAGGGAAACAACTCTAGTTTTACCTTAACTAATGTCACAATATTTGACAACCTTTCATATTTGATATGGGAAAGTAGCTGCATGACACTTGAGATTATGACTAAAGAGTACTCACTGTAACAAAACACAAAAAAGAATGATGTTAACTGAAAAAGCAATGAGTCTCTTTCCAAAATTTTGAAAAGGTAAACACTGGAAGCATTACATCAATTGTGATTTTACCAATTAGTGTCCACAAAATGTTGCCTAGTTAGCACAATATGGGCGTGCCATACCATTATTTCATTAATTCACCCAAATTCAATAATTTGCCATATTTGTAGCTAATTTTTTATAAGTATGGCTTTTCAATGTTGATATTCACCTGCAGGTGACATTTTCAAGTATCTTGAGTACAACACTCATGACAAAATTACCATCACTTTTTACATTCAACATAGTAACTGTTTGTTGTAAAGTATTGTTACCATCAACAAACCCAGAAAAATTTTTTACAGCATACAAAGTTATATTTACAAATGTAGGGTTTTACCTTCAAAGCCTCCCCAAGCTGGCGTTTCTTTTCAGCTTGGTTCTGATTCACTCGGGCAGCTTGCAGTAGTTCACTAGCCTGTTAAGTATAAATGTTTCAGCATTTCATTGGACAAGTAGATGTCTGTATGCAGACTGCATTAGAAAACCTCTTGTTGGTTTTATAAATCATCTCCATGTGTGAGAGAAACAACACTTGACAAAAAAACTAAAAAAATTCTAGCAAGATCTCTGTGAAATGGGCTTGTAGTTATTCATATCTTCACATAATTCATCAATAAAAGTAGGATTCTACAGAAACAAGATCATAATTATAAGACTCACCTTTGAACAAGTGGCATCATCACTGCTGTATAGAGAGGGACAGATTTCTCGAAGCTTGTTGTTGATAGCATCTATTGTAGCATTGTCATCAAGGTAACGGTTAATGAGACAAGTTATCAATGAACTGCAGATCTATTTCAGAAAAGAAATAAGCTGTATGAGTTTTCATGTCAATTTTTGACAATTTGGTCCAATTTCATATTTCTCAAATTGCTGTGTCTTCTAATATCAAAATATAAGTATATTTGTGTATGTACATCTTACACCAGGATAACAAAATTTTACTAAAGATACAATTTCGACAGGTGAAGTTTTTTTACACATGATTTAAATACAAAAGGATCGGTAAAATGTCCCAACAATGTTAGCTACAAGAACAGGATAAAGTAAAATGGATCCTAAATAATCTGGACGCTGGTATTCCAGAGAACTCACAATCTGAATAAAAATGTTACAGAAGGCATTTCCACTGCACTGTTACTTAGCTCATCAGTCAAGAAATTTGAATCTTGGATTTGAAGAAACTTTACATGAATAAAATTGATTTTCCATCAAAACTTTTCAGTCAGTTATTTTTGGAATCAAAGTACTGATTGCACTGATGGGCAGATTTCTAAGACAAAACCACCACTGTTAGGTCATACTCCAAGGTGTTTGTTATGTGTTCATCTACATTTAACATTTTTTAAGCAGTATACACATCCGAATGAATACTTATACACTAACGATCTGATCATCAAACAGATGTGCTGTACATTAATAGCTTCATGGAGTATAAACTTACATCTTTGCCACTGACAACAAGATGTTTGAACATCATGGTTCTCAACTGATTCTGTTGGTCCTGGAACACAAAAGACAAATTCTAGTTCAACTGTTTACACAATCAGTACAACAAAAAGAAACTATTCATTCATTGAAAGTGTATATCTTATTAAGAACCGCAAAGCTAGATTGTGTAAAAGGGTGCTATCATCAGTTTTCTCCAGTTAAACAAAATTATTGATACGTCGTATTAACAAATACAGAAAACAGTTCATTGTTTCATCATAAGATATGGAAGGTCTGAAAACAGGCATGAAATCCTTTCTGATGGTAAGAATCCTGTGTGGTGATGTGTCATTGTTTACATATACCATAGCTATCTATAAATATTATATTACGCCTATACCCTAATCTAGGGAGATGACACAAAAATAAAAAGAGTTGAATGTGTAAGATAACCTTAGATAACTGATTGGCAACTATATGGAATTGATGGTCAACAAGTATCTTCAGAAGCCCCAACACCTCCTCTACACGATGGATAAGGTCTTGAATGTGCTGCAGTGATATCTTCTCCATCTTCTGGGCTTCTCCTACAAAACATAGGTAAACATAAACATTCCTACAAAACATAGGTAATAGGAACATAAACATTCCTTCAGTATATAGGTAAAATGACAAATTCTTACAAATCGGTAAACATTCCTACAAAACATAGGTAAAATGACAAATTCTTACATTAACATTCCTACAGAACATAGGTAAAAGGACAAATTCTTACATAAACATTCCTTCAGTACATAGGTAAAGTGACAAATTATTACATTAACATTCCCAGATACAGATCAAAGGTAAACGGTATACCTGAAGTTAAAATTCTCAGATGAAAACAATTCCAAAGTGGAGATAAGACTTATTAGGCTACACTATCATAATTAGAGGTTTGGAAAAAGAAATGGTTTTGCTGGAATAATATACAAGTTTACAACATTACAACACCATTTAATATCTCGATGTATTTTCTTGTTTTTCTTCAGAACACTGGTGATAATTGCATTTGGCTAGCTTCTCACCTTGAAGTGTTTTCCTTAACTGATCATCCACAGGGCCCATCAAATGTGATGAAAATGGCACTGGTGGCAAGTTACTGTAAAACAGGAAAAAGCAGTTCAGTAACATGTGTTCTAATACAACAGCTGAACTCATTTAACTTTCTAACAGCAATAACTTCATGATAACAAATATTTCAAAATTGATTTATTACACCTTTTTAAACTTTAAAATGTTTCTTAAGTAGTTAAGATACACATTAACAAGATTATGAGATGTAATGGTTGGAATCAGTCATTTTATAATTTGGAAGGTTAATACCTGCCAAGCTGTCTGGAAGAAGAGCTCAAGGGACATTCAGTTATCAGTGAAACTTGAACTTGACTGGCTGTTTACTGGTATATTACCACCAAAATCTTTTGATACAACTCGAGATCCAAAATGCCTATGTATGCTTTCACCAAAATATGATTAAACATCATATGTTGTAGCTTTGGAAGTTGTTTAATGTAATTATAAGATACTGATTGAAAGTGGATGGAGCACCAACAAATAGTTAAATGGCAAGTTTACAAGGTAACACATTATTATTTCCAATATTCTATTATTCTTGGAAAAATTACTTTGTCTATTAAATATTAAAGAATATCCTCATATATTGTAAATCATTTGTCGTTTTCATTTCCCATACCTGTCTGATGGTCCTGTTTCATATCTTGAATTGAAATCTACAAAATCTGAAAGACCACGAATGTTCTCTAGGATCTGTGTTAACTCCTCGGTAGTGAATGAACATGTAAGCTGAAAAAGTATGAGATATTCATTTGCTGAAAATTATATAGATAACATATCTCTTTAATGATGAATTTTATAGACTATATTACAACACATATAGTTTTCTTGATAATTAAAGGAGGATAACAATGCATAATATTCACAAGTGTTTATGGACCAAAACTCATATTTCAAATACAATTTCTATCAATATTTTATCTGGAAACCTTAATTTACAACAAACATAGATTTTACTATGTAATTGCCAAACATATAACTAGGTGGATGGTATAATACATTGTACTGTTATTAATGTACAGGGACAGAATAGTCACTTCAATTCATGTGTACTAAGTTTTATATATAATGGCTTCAACTTATTTGTCATTTCCTTTTTTCCTTTAAGGAAAATATCACATAAAAAAACAGAGACTTAAAACTAGCATCCTTTGTTTTCTCTGAGTCAAAATCATAGCAAATAATGAGAAAGAAATTCGGCAATAGAAAAGTTTGAATTAAATGAATATAAATACTTACATAATTTAGAATACCCTGGGGAGTATTGTAAGGGAAGTCAGTGGCAACAGCCGTTTCCCATATACACCTAACACAACAGAACAGCATATTATATGTTTACATATATTCACCTTTTCTTGTGATGTATATTAAAATAAAGTTTGTCCAATATCTACAAATCATATACAATTGTTGTTAAAAATAACTATTTCATCAAATATTCTATAACATGGTCATAGAAAAAACTGTAATTGTAGTGAAGTGAACTTAAAACGGTCCAGAACACTTAATTTGAGCACAATAACAACCTCTATAAATTTCAACAAATTTTGATACTAATACACAAATAAAAAAAAATACCTTAGAATCCTTGAGAGGTAAAGGCAGATTCCATTGTGTTTGCCAGAAAAAAGGACATCTTGTCCCATATTTGGTCCTGGGGTGAGGGAAGGATGGAAGTATCCATGACCCATGCCTGGTGCTGGTGTAGAGGTCACAGTAGGATGGAGTCCTATTGAAATCAACAACCATTTTCTCATCTATGTGTTTACTATTGGATACTATTAGTGGTGTAGAGGTCACAGTGGGGTGGAGTCTTATTGAAATGAACTTTTTCTCATCTATGTGTTTACTATTGTACAATACTACTGTCGTAGAGGTCACAGTAAGGTGGTGCCCTATTGAAATCAACGACTCATTCATGCATTTACTATAACACCTTGTGAGGATCTGGATCACAAAAAATTTATCATTGTATATATGTCCTGCAATAAGCCCAAGGAACAAACACATTACATCTTACTCAAAGTCAAGGGACGGGCTTATTACAGGACAATTAAATACTAATAGTGTGTAATTTCACTATTTGATTTATTTAAATTCTATTCCTTTCAATCAAATTATAACTGGAGTGGAATTACAACCTGCTATGCATTTATTAAAAGATAAATAGATCTATAAATATTTTTTTCATTTTTTTTAGATGTAGAATACATGTATAACACTTACCAGAGGGTCCAATATTACTGGCCATCAGCGAGCGATCCATCCCCATACCTCCACCTCCATAGTTGTACTGGGCTTCACCACCATACATAAAGAAGGCCATTGTAGCCCAGTTGGCTATCTACAATACAAAAGCAACAGATTTCTTAAGAGAATGTATCAAAATATCAGCCATGTACTAAGGGACAGATTTGTTTTTATATGACATAATTATATATAAAAGATCCTAACTACAGTCTCATGTATTTCTTGGTATACTTCATTCTTGCTCCTAATACGAGTACATTTCCATTCTTGTGAACAATTTTAATCTGAGATATTGACAAAAATCAATTTATTTTTAAATTTCTAATGTATATTTCTGATTATTCTTTAATAAGGCTAGGTAGTTAGTTTAGCTAACAATCAGTAGTTCCACAGTGTGAAGCTTAAGCAAGATGACCAGTCATACATTAGTCATCTAACTTCTCGCAAATAGACAAGAACTTCAAAACAACATTCCAGTTACAAGTACAAAATAGTGAATTAAGACATCCTTAAAGTGATACCTGAATCTGTGTATAGGCTTCATATTACAAATTTTTTTTGTAGGTTTCATGCCTTGATGTCTAACATACCTAAAATTAACACTAGCTTTTGCAAGAAAGAAAACGGACCAAAGTAAACATTGGTCTAAGACTTTCTTATTTGTTATGAATAGTGTGAACATTCATTGGGAAAATATTCAAGAACAGCTGGTGGACTCCCTTAAAGTTAAATTATCAGGGAACATTAATATCCCATTAATTAGCAATGAACCAATTAAAACACCTAATGGATTCTGACAGTTATTCAAATGGAAATATTTTAATGGGTCAACTTGTAATGTTCAAATTATCATTCCTTGATATTTGACTTTTTTATTGTGGAATTAATGGTAGGATAACTGTCAATTAATGGTAACTTCCATAGATTTGTACAATGTGATTTCATGGGGAATCAGTGGCCTACATAACTGTCATCATTCTTATTTGATGACTAAATTGTACCTTAAACACACAGGTGAATCTACTGTAAAAAGACTTACAGGTTGGTCAGCTGCAAGGCGGGAGCAGGCAAGGATCAGACATGTGGCACAAGCTTGCTCAATCTACAATACAAAGGTCATTTGTCAATTATCAACCCAGTACTTATTCCATCCTAGTTTTCATTGACACTTGTGCTGAAATTAGCAGATTTATGATATTGAGAATAATTAAGGTTTACCCTATGGAGCCTGAAGAACCCCTTCACTTCCTCTGCATCAGGTCCCTGGCAGTCTATCAAGAGTTGTCTAAGCTGATCCACAGGTCGCAATTTGCTAAGGATGTGGCTCCCCTGTAAATAAATGCCACAACAAATGAACATTATCAGAAAAATGAAAACTTACATGCTAATTATAATTACATGCTAATAATAATAAACCAATAAATATTTTGCATGCAGGGAATAATCAGTGCTTGTTGTGGTTTCAGCTATGTTCAAATGAAAATTCAAAGCAGAAATGTTTACATTCTAAACATTACACTTACATCTGTATTAATTCGGTAAATATGAAAAATTATTTTCCAATGCATTTTATACCTAAATGGCAAAAAACTGGTAGAAGTAACAACTTTCATCTTTAGAAGAAAACAGCACACTGTTAGATATTGAGTTTGATTTATCATTTTCTGATAAAAGAACATATTGTTGGAAACTGTAAATGGCTGTGTGTGTTTTGATTAGAAATGACAAAATGAGTTAATATGAATAAACGTAGAATACCTGACATTTGGATATCTATAGACATGTTAGATTTTACATATATACCTGTGCTGTGAGGAGGACAAACCTCCTGGGAAGCTCTGTGTGTTGTGTAACTACTGCAGGTGGGTCAGCTTTAAGAGCTCCCGGCTTGGCTTGTCGGAATATACCAGGTTCTAAAGCAGGTGAAGGAATCTCACACACAGCCCATGTCCTACCATTAACAGGAATTGTTGTCTGTAGTGAGAAAAAAACGATGAAATGATTACCATTTTCAAGAAAAAATAAATTCTAAATCTTTTATTCAACAGATACATAGTGTCAATGGGTATTGTGTTTATCAATATTCATAACTGCTAAAGGCTTGTTATATCTGAAATCCAATTCTGTGATGTTTGTTATACCTGGGCCTCCATGAGCTGGTTCTGGAAGGGGAAGGAATCTCCACTGATGGTCCACATGGCATCACTCTCCTCTGATTGTGATGACACCAGTAATAATGTACCTGAACCAAAATAAACAAAAGAATTCCATTTTCTTGCCTCTTTCTTAGTACAGCATAAAAATATTATGGTTATATGGATCAAATGTGAAAAATACCATAATTCTAAAAATGATTTATTTCGTAATATGACATTTAATAAAATAAAGCAACATATATAATTCTCCTTCAGAAGAATTTTAATATAAGCATATAAAATGATTAACAGATCCCAGATTAATTTAGAAAAAAAAAATTTGACAAGCATTTTAAGAGATAACAGTCAGGCAAAATTATGAATCTAGTAATCTTAGATACTCAAATAAAATTGTACTATGTATTTCCGGAAAGACAACATTTCAAATAATATAACTATGACATAGGGGTTAAACATACGTGTTGCACTAAGTAATATTCATTGTGTGTCTCTAGGAGTAAAACTATTAGAGTCTAATTAAAAGAACATATGTCTGAATATGGATATGTGATACTCTGCTCTTTATCTTGACCAATAAACAGCCATGGTCATGTTTTCCTTGTAGAACCTGATGTCTATCTAACAATATGCAGTAGGCATAAACATGCAACTCATCTCACCGTTTTTATGATAAGCTGTGTGGATATTACTGGGTTTCTGAATGCCTGCTGTTGCTGAAAACCCTGGCGGTAGACGTACATGGACCAGTGTCAGCATGCATGGACGTCCTTTGTTGTTCCCAAAGTTGTTAGTGGAGAAATATAGACGCACGCCTACATAGTCAATTTAAGATGGTGACAATTAATATGTTTATGATAACCAGTCTCAGGTTATGATACAAAAACCAGACACTAACCCATATTTCATTAAAATTATAAATGGTCTTTATAAGTTTGTGAGAACTTAAAAAATTAATCATAGTAAAAAAAAATCACCTGTAAAAATTTATATTTACTTGAAACCAAATTGTTTTATCACCATGTTTTTACAATATGTTCACAAACATTACCAGTGGACCATAGTTCATAACGAAATTACAAATTTGAAAAGAGAAAAAAGACGTTATCAGACAAAAAACAATCTAATGAAAAACAACATCATACCTTTGTGATGTAAAATCTGTACATACCTGACTGAGTTACTGCCACTAAGTGTATATTGGCAGATTCTTGTCGTGTTATTGCACTAATGTGAACCAGTGGTTTGAAGTTGGACCTTTCTATCGTCCTGAAATAAATCATGACAAATAAATACATTATCAATACTTCAGTAATTTAGTTGTAGTTTAACATCTGGTTGAGCATATTTAAGGACTCCGTCCTCCATTATATGTACAAATTTGTTCTCTTATGTACGCTGTTGGAACAAATAGTATCTTAAATACAGTATATTCTGACAAACTAGGGTATACTTTATCACCAGTAAAGTTGCTAGATTGATAATAATAATTAAAGATGAGACACAAAAAAACAGATATTGATAACACTATATGCCCACACTACCCATAAAATGATGAGTGTAAAAATAGTATCTCCATGCTCACATCAACATCACAATGTTGCATTCTGTTTTTTTTATTTTCTTAATGATGAATGTCTGACCTTGCTATGTGCCATGCATTGTGTACTATGGTCTGTAAAGGGATGGCTGTTACTCTACCCATACTGTTACCATCCTGTCCCAAGTCAAACACCTGAAATACATGAAAGTGTGAGAATACAGTTAAGTTCAAGAAAGGGTAAAATTTTGAAGAATTACAAAGCAAAATCAGTATCAAAATTGTCATAACATCAAGACTTCTGATTTCATTTGCCAAATAGGAGGGGATAGTGGAGTGAATACCTATGATCTTAAAAGGGTTTCAAAATCTTACTCCAATTTCATAAAAATTGCAGTTGGAATCAGAGCATACGCTCATAGTTTCTTGTAACTAGCAGGCTTAAAAATCACCCTTAGTGCTTGATTATACACAAATGAAACCATTGCATATTCTAAATTGAAATCTGATCAGTACCTGCTAATAGAAATGACATATTTCAATAAATATAGAGATATTTTCCATTCCTTCAAAGATATGACACTGACCTGTATAGTTCCTTTCTCTGACCGTGCATACAGGATGTGTCGAGACTGATCCAGGCTAAGCTGTACAAGTGGATCTGTGGGGAACAAAGTTACTTCAATGCTTCATTTTCAGAAATTTGTTCAGAAAGGATGAATCTATATCAAACATTTCAAAACCAACATGAGTGCCAATATTTAGTGTGGGATACATTTGTAACTATTATCACACACCTTAAAAAATTCAATTTTAACAATTAAATATTCAGAATGTATCTGCATGATTAAATAACCATGTTGATATAAAACCATATTTGAAGAAATGTAAAAATTTGCATGATTTAAACTTTTTTGTTAACTACAAAACACTGATCCATACCAATGTGATAAAAAGTGAGATCAAGATCTATTTATATCTGTAATTAAAAGAGAAAAATCAGACATAAAATACAGACCTTCCTTTCTGCATAGTCTTCAAAATGTTTCAGTTCACATCAAACTTGAAAGAATTAATTTCAACTTTTATATGAAGTACATGTGTTAAAAGTATTTACCATCTTCACTAAAGGAGAAGTTGAGGAAGGATGGGATGAGGAAGGACAAAGTGCTGGTTGAGTGGTTAATTTTACGACACTTCCGACTAAACCATCCATCATCTGCCTAAAACATCCAGGAAACAGATCCATTATTTCAAAATGTTCATACATATTAGTAATACTGGGTTCACATATTTTCATAAGTTTATTGTTTTTGCAATAGATACCCACAATAAATTAATCAATAAGGATATGTCTTAAAAAAACCCAATACCAATTAGAAGAGAATATCTCACAAAAATTCTACTTTCATCAACTATATACACTATTGACAAACTCTTAGATCATGAGAGTTTAAAAAAAAAAGCATGGTATTATCATGTCTGATTAACAAATGAATCAGCAATGGAAACAACATTTGATATCAAGGCAAGTCACCTTGGAATTAACTCTCAATTTTGTATTAAATATATATGTACTTGAGTATGCCATGTTCCAACCATCCATGAAAGATACAGCAAATTAGGAGAATATTAGTATCAAACTTTGATTGAGGACCAAAACTCTTAAACAGATCAAATCAATTTTAATATGCAATACTCCTAAAATTTATCTTGTACATTGCTATATCCAAGTGCATGATAATTACAGAACCTTACCTGATAAGCCAGCTCATATAGACAACCATCCTTGCCCGCCATAAATATTCGGCCATTGTCAGACCCAATGATGTTCATGATGTATGTGTTGTCCGTGGGAATGGAGAAGAGTGGTTCTGGTAAGAGGTGCATCTCACCATTCCCTAGCTCCGCTGATATCCCTGTTAAAACACAATCATTAATTACAATTTCTATCACAATAGGTGGATTTTATTCAACTACCAAGGCATCAATTAAACATTCCAACTACTGTATATGTATGCATATGATACATGGTAGTACTTCAGTTTAGCATGTTATGATTGGCTAACAGGATGAACTTTGACTTAAAGGGACGTGTCACGCTCTCATGGAAATTAATACCAGCAATAACCAGTTCACTATTGTTTTTGTAATAATTTGGTTTTCATTAGGGGATAACAAACCAATTTATCACAAGTTACAATTTGTAACAAGTTTTTTTATTTCCAGGTATTTCTGAAATGGCCAGTTTTGCATCTTTACAACATTTCACTAAAGGTCATATCATTACACCTCGAGTGATGTCATACACAAAAGTTTTCAGCACAGGACAAGATAATTCATCCTTGGAACAGCTTCTTTATTGTGGTAGAAATAGATGCCTTTAGGCTATATGTGTCAATGTTTATGTGTTGCTACTTTCACATAATTGTGTCCCATCTGTGGGCTTTATGTATTATCATTACAACATGTACTGATATAATGCATTGGGAAAGCCAACACTTTTTAAAGTTTAAGTTTAATGACAAACTCATACATATGAGTAACCTCTAGTTACTAAGTCATTGTGTGTATAGTTCTTAACAGCAAAGGGGAAATGAATTTCCAATGCATCACATATCTGCTTATTTATACCATTCAACTTCAGCCTGTAGACCAAATGGTGGTGTGGTCTATCTACTTGTCTACTTATTCTGTCACGAAATGAAGAACATTTTGCTCGTTGTAGGCACTTTTTGTGGGTTACCTTTACCGTAATATCATAACAATCTCCATTCACTCGATGGGAATACTTACCCTCCCTTGGTGCTGAGAAACTGACCCCAAGCAGAACAATATCCACGTGTGTGGCCAAGCACAAAAGATACTGGATGTGAGGCTGGAAGATTCCTGCAACAAAAGAAGTCATAGGCCTTCACACATCCTCATAAGGTATGATAATTAAAAATATATTTCAAAACAAATAAAACAAACTATTTGCCTGAAAAGGAATACAATTTTGATATCTGTGATCTTCCCCTTTGACCTAGAGACTTTGATATTCAGTGTGATTCTGATAATAACCAGTCAACAACTAGCATAAACAGTCATTATCTAAATTCTATACCAGTTTTCAGACACCATTCTAAGTAACAAATTTGTTGACATCAAGCTCCATTCCCCAAAGATTTTTTTTTGTTTTAAAACTCAGCATTTGTTAGTGCTTGATGTCAAACACATGCTATCGTCAGCCACATACAACTGAAGTAATAAAAATCATCTATGTATATTTAACTTAAAAGCCATCCATTCAATAGTTATTCCACCTCACATAATTTGCATATCTTACCAACTTTGGGTTTGACTAATGCTACACTAAGAATGGTTTCACTCAGTCCATCAAAGTAAGCAAGGTCACTTCTGCAAAAACAAACAAAAAATATCAATGACATATACATAAAGACTAATTTGCTTAATGAAGTTCCCAATTTTTGGAATCAGTACCCGATATATTTACATCTTTCATTATCCTGTTTAATTTCATGTTTATTGAGCATCACACAGACATTTCAAACAATGAAACCATTAAGGTCAGAACGTTTTTAGACTCAATGCAGTATTTTATATTAATGCTGGGTTTCTAAAGATTTTGGATAACGTAAAATATGTTCATATATTAAAGACCAACTTACCCATCTTCATATCTCCAGACAAAGATATCACTATCAATAGCCAGCCAAGCTCGTTCCACATCAGGAAATAGGCCCATCATACAATTACATTGCATACCTTCACCACAATCAAGGACAACAGATATCAACCAAATCTATATCACTGCCCACTAAATTATCACAGAAAATTTGAACTTCCCCATCAGCAGAAACTGGTTCAGCATTTGGGAAACAGTAATAAGGTTCTTAATTTAATGTGTGACACCATGGTCACAAGAGTCAAAATACACTGATGAATATTTGTGTCTCTGAAGAGATATATCTGATTCTTCTTTCAGAGGTTTTCACTGATATTAATTAAAATAAATTTATCTAGAAAAAATAATGCTGAGATACAAATTCTGCTAATATATTTGCATATGTAATATTTACCTTTTTGCATTAAATCAGTCTTAATTTTTTTGGAATTTTCTTTTTTCATGTTAACAATTGGCAACTAGCTGTAAAAGAAAACAGAATGTACTATTGGCCTACCTGGCTTCAGGAGCTGGTGCTCTCCTTTTTTGTTACTTTATTTGTTTACTACTTTTGGAGATACTTCTGTATACCACTATGTATTCTCCTGAAGCCTAGAAGATGAATCTCAACACAAATGAATTTAAAAGGATGTTGGTTATCTGGAAATTTCTCCAACTGGACATTTTTCTTGTTCTTATTCATAATGTTTACAACTGCAAGCTGAACTACATCACACTGTATATAAAAAAAGATTGTATCAAAAAATGCTATAAAGGATACGTCCAAACTGTTCCATGAGTTCCGGAGGGAGAGGAACCAGCTTGACGTTGCTGATCTCTGGCAGACATTCCAATCCAACTCTGGCTTCAGGTAAACTCGGATAGTCCAATTCATTCAGACCACTGACACAGGGCTGGTCTATCAATAAAATGTTTACATACATGTATGCATGATTTTTTTCCCATGCTAACAATTCTTAATCTTATCTAACATTTTTAGAAACAGAACTGTGACAGTAAGTCTGTGTATCTTTATGTAAATTTAATGCTTAATTATTCTAAAATGATTCTGATAAACATTCATTCGGTATTCTCTTATTGTTTAATCTAATTAAAGTTTCTTACTATGAACAGGAACTTTGAGCTGATCTGAAAGATCAAGATAGCTTCTGTCATCTTGCATATGCTTGTCCAAAAGTCTCCCAGCACTGTCCATCACATCTTGGTGACTTGGAGGAGACATCACCCCTGATGCCATGAAAGAAGCCATTTCCCTATGAACATGATAATAAATATATAAACAACATTTGTTGTGTACTTATCAGAACAATAATTTTAAAAAATGACTAATGCTTCCATCTCTATAGGTCCATATATCAAATCATGATACCAAAGTATTTAAAGTTAAATTCATAAACTTTCTGTAGCAATGCAAAAACATTGTTTACATCATATAAACTTGATGTTACAATTATCTAATGTTTAATTCAAGAATTTTTGCTTCACTATGGACCATTACTGTGCAGTACATTTCACCTTTTCTTCAAACTGATATGATGCAGCAAGTTTCATTACAAGTGGGTAATCAGTTAAATTCATAATCAGTTATCAGTTAAAATCAACTTTTCGATATAGTTAATTGATTACAGAAGCAACAAACTGTGTGTTCAATATTTTGGAAAAGTGTATGATTCTCTGAGCCAAAGATATTTTCTTTTTTTTTTGTAACTTCAACCTAAAATGCTTCAATTACCTAAATTTAACTTAAGAATGAATATTATTGGCAATTTTCATCTTTATTATCCATAATATGAATTTTAATTTTGCTAAAATACAAGAAAATATTAAGGTAATGATCATGATTTGTGAAAAAATAACAATCAATCATTGCATCAGATAAGGTTAAACAATTAGAAGATCAATTACATCCAATCATCGTCCTATCAATATTTATAGCATACACTTATACCTCCTTATATATACTTTGACCTTACCATGATGTGGCATTTCATATCAAATATAAAGGCATAATTGATTAAATTAAATGCTGAGATGTGATTTTGATAGAATAACCTCTATATGGCAAATAATTATATAATGTGAAGAGTACCGGATGTATTCATTTATTTCAATGCCCCAAATATGATTTAAATCTGGGACCTCTGGCTTACTATTCTGATGCTCAACCGATAAAGTAAAATAGATTTTTTCCCCCTAGGCAAGCAGGGAATTGCAGCTAGTAAGACAGAGGTCATGCATTTTAATTCTTGCTGACGCATTGAAATAAATTACTTTAGTTTCATTGATTAGTGCCCATCATGAAGAGACTCATGAATAACTCTTAGCCATGCCCTATAAGCATTGTTGTAAACCCTGGTAAATATTAGCTAAAATATACCACATGGCCAGTGAGAACTTCTCTTCAGCTTGACTGGGTGAGCATAAAAGTAGTAAGCTAAAGGATCCATGTTCAAATCCTAGTGGAGGTATTACAATTACAGATGTAGTTATTCAGATATGTTTCTATGTTCTTGTTTTTGGTTGGAAAAAAGAAGGGAATGAAACCTTTTGTATTTCAAATATATGGTGAAATGTTTGTATCCTCTTAGCTGGAATAAAGGAGACAGGGTTTGATTAATCAAAGTAGTCATACTAAAAAACACAGAAATATGTGATCCATTGTTTATTTATAAGTCTGCAATGCAACAGAGATTATCATGAATCTTTACCCCTTGTGATGATAAAATACCACATCTTTTATATAAATCTGACAACCTTAATAGACTAAAGACTCGCATAGAAAACAATGTTTAAATATTGTATTAAATCTAATTTTAGTGAAAGGGCTTGACGTTAACATTGCATCCTAGGAACGATGCTCATTACTCAGTAGTAATTTTATAATTTTCACGAACGATAGCATAGGTTCCTAGTAAGTCTTTTGTTGTGCATTGGAAAATAATTTTAACTCTCCTCAACCGCTGTACTGTTGCAGAACTTTGATCCGTCTAACTAACAAAATCTACTTATGTACTTAAATAACATATGATTTAGTATCTTTCTTCATTGTTTTAACCCATCCTTGTGGCACAATATCAAACAGCTGAAGATGGCCCGGGGGTTGACGACATAGAAAGAAAATCCAAATGATGATTTTTATTTTTTTTAAATAAGAAAATAGGATGGCCATCACAATCATTCAATGTGAAAGTAACGAAATGTAAAACATACACTTACCAAGGGAAGTCAATAATAGTGTAAAACTTCTTTGAGTAGTTTGTCCAGTCTTGACCAAGGCAATGTAACCGTTAATCTTCCAACACTGAACGGCAATACCATCTCATATTTTCCCAAGAACATGAGGTGCCCGCCATTATTTTTACCGGTAGGTGACTAATAAATAAAATGGAGTCGGAACGGAACAGAAGAAATTCCGGATGTCAAAGAATGTTCAAGTGAATTTATGTGTCGTCAGTATCATCTTAAATTGATATATTCAATAACAGCATGCTTTGACAAAATCTTACGTCCGTCAAATATTTCATTAGACTTTCAAGTAAAAAAAATGATAAAATAGAGACGACAACTGATGACTATTCATAGTGGTATGTGAAAGTTTAACACAGATCGTAAAAACTGGTGCTTCGGTATAGACCTCTCCATCAATACCGTAGCGAAAATATTCTATTCGGCCGGGGAACAGATCTAAATGTAACGAGAAAATACACATAAGAAGGACATTTTCAACATGTCTGTAGTAATCAGTTAACAGTCAAGATCAATTTCATCAAATGCACACCTCAGTTCGACCACAATACCGTCAAACGAAGATTCTGTTGTTAGTTTTAGTTTTGGTAAAATATCCAATATTCCCAATCAAAGTGACTCCTTTTTTCTTTTATCTTTGTTTGTTTTTTAAAGTGATAACTTTCCTATTTCTCTTCTTTCGTCTGTTTTTGCAGTTTAATTATATGAAATTTGAAAATTCCTCTTCAAAAATAACGCTAATGATCTTTAACTCTTAAATTCAATATCGTCATCTAACGGTCATTTTGTTTTTTCTAATCAGTCCCAGAATGAAAAGGTCACAACCAGAGAATAAGGATAATCTATATATGAAAATGAGAAAGATCCATCCAAAAATTCTAGAAATAGCTATAACATTATTTCATTGTCGAAATTCAAAATGTCCGCCTATCAGCCATTTTGTTTTAAAATCAATCTCAAAATCAAAAGGCAAAACAGGGGACCAAGGAGGTACTTTACATGAAATTTGAGAAAGATCAAACCAGTACAATGTGCTTCTCAAGAAATACGTAAATAACAACCATTGTTTATGGACTAACGACGGACCAAGGACCACGGACGCAAGGCGATTTGAACAGCCTACTATCGATGACGGTGGGGTCATTTTTTCAGGCCGAAAAAGTGAAAGGTATAAATCTGTGTAACGGTGTCCCTAATGAAACTAGATTTGGATTTTATTTCTATCACTTTGGATTTTCCTCGGTGGCCTCCTAGGCTTTAAAAATTAGGACCTAGCATCACTGACACTAGCAAGTCCTAGAAGTAAATTATTAAAATGTGCTATGGCGTTGTATTCCGTCAGCATGGGCAATAGTTGCAGGAAAATCATTCGAATCACACACTGATAAGGCCCGTCTTGTGGCGTTCCCTGTCGCATTTAGATATATTCTGCGGAGGAACCAATGCTTCGTGTTTTATCATTTTTGTTTCAATGACTTACGCTCACAATTGTTGAACGACGCTGGAATTAATTTCTGAAGTTTTTATAGCTTATGGCAATGTCATATAAACCCGAATGGCCATTATCTTTACAAGTATTAGTAGATACTCTGACAGGAGACCAAGTTGTACATCTTAGTTTGGCTCTTTTCGCACTGAAAGTATCAAGCTAATACATGATTGCGCTAATTTCAGCTTCGTTGTGTTGTTCGCATATAAGTTATTGTGGATATACGAATTCATCATTGCGCTAACACGCAAACAATTATAGAGCGGTGAAATTTCATTAAGTCGAAATAACTTCGGGGTATACGCTCTCCATATAACAAGATATTCTTAATGTATGACAGTATATCCTCCCCATATCACCAGATATTCTTAATGTATGACAGTATAACCTCTCCATGTCGCCAGATATTAATGTATGATAGTATATCCTCTCCCATATCACCAGATATTCTTTATGTATGACAGTATATCGGATCCATATCACCAGATATTCTTAATGTATGACAGTATATCCTCTCCATGTCGCCAGATATTTATGTATGACAGTATATGCTCTCCGTGTCACCAGATATTATTAATGTATGACAGTATATCCTCCCCATATCACAAGATATTCTTAACGATGATAGTATATACTCTACATATCACGAGATATTCTTAATGTATGACAGTATATCCTCTCCATGTCGCCAGATATTAATGTATGACAGTATATCCTCCCCATATCACCAGATATTAATGTATGACAGTATATCCTCCCCATCTCCCCATATCACCAGATATTTATAATGTATAACAGTATATCCTCCCCATATCTCCAGATATTCTTGATGTCTGGCTGACTGCAGTCAAAGATGATAAGGAATTATGTAGCTTTTGAAAACGTCGTCTTGCGGATCAGTCAGTCGCGTTGTTGATTTTTTCCTTGTCATCTAAGACAGAAATCCAAGTTTTAAATGTGTACAGATCATTTCTGTGATATTATAATTTTAACAGAAAAAATGAAGGATTTGTGAATTTGAGTCTAGGTACTAAAAGCTAATAACAGCAATTCTTATCGGGAACGTGTGTCAGGCTCTCTGATATCTTTGTGTAGTTTATATCAGTTCAACACGCATTCGTCAATTAATTATTTATATCATTTTAACTTTTCTAAAATATCAAAATCTTTATTTCTTTCGAGGAAAAGTACAACGAATCTCTTCATTGAGCGCATAATACCACATCTATTTAAAGTCAAACCTCGCCGATTTTGTGATAAAGAATGATAGAATCGAAACACTATTTGTTTATGAATTTACAAAAAAAATGAGTTTTTTAGCACATAGCCCATGAATTGAAGCAGTGTTATGTAAATATAGCTAGACGTGAATGCATATGCATATTTTGCTATTCTCGTACTATTAGGGGTAAAAAATCGGTATTTAAACTAGAACAGCTTTTAAGCACTACAAATGTTAAAGAGTGGAATTTTAGTGAGTTTGTGTATGAGGAAACACTTTAAAATCATCAATTCACTGTAATTTACTGTCCATTCTCTACTTAATCAATTGTTGTGGTAACACCATTGATAAAGCTTTATGTATTAAACAAAACCATCTACATTTGAAACCAAATCTTTTTTTGTCGGGTCCTGTATCGGGTACACATAATACTTAATTATAGCAATTTTCTAAGTCCTGGATAAGTCCTTTATTAAGTACGACTTAAACGTTGAGTAAAAAAAAAAATCATTTTTAGTGAACCAGTAAACATGGTGTAGAAGTAATTGGTAAAACCGCCAATCTGACCAAAAAGAATTCCAAAGTAAGATTGATGTACGGCGTATTAGCTCTTTAGATACCAGAGGGTAGTATGTCTCCATTAAGTTTAACGCTGCATTCCAAACATAGTTTCGACTGATTTGAAAGTGTAACTTAAACTTCAGCCAGGAAAATTTGGCATTAAGAGCACAAATGTTGTCAATTCTAGATTGTTTTCACCACTGTACTGGCAACTCTTAAGTAACATATTAACGCCGTTCAATAAACTGATCTCAAAAGACAACTTAAGACATTTTTTTTATCAAAACGAGGCAAATATAAATACAACATGGCTCCAGCATAAAAATGATCTCTTACAACATAACATGCAAAAATCAGAGAAAGATCACAACATCCATATTCGCACGAGTGAATCAGCACGGTCTCTCGAGAGTACTGTAGCAGACAAGTGTGAAAATAGGTCAGTATGACGGTTGGACGAATAGGCACATCAAATAAGTCATTATGAATTTTTATATAATATTCGAAACTGACTTGTAAATCATTAAAAAATATGTATAAAACAAAAATGTCCTGCACCACACTTGAACTCGTTAATCCGACGCTTTCAAACCTGATATTTTACATCATATTTTTAAACTCCCTGTCCGTCAAAGGCCGCCATTTCCAATCGTGTTTCTGCGCAACTTCGTTTTCCATCCGATTATAACAGCGTGCATTAGTTCTTAATTTCATGTAAAATTCCTCAGACCAGTCTCGATCGCGTGGCCAGTCCGACCGCTTGATAATGGCGTTTGCCCGTACGAGGAACGTCTCCAATGACCTTCCCTCGTGCGAGAGCAAGAGAACAGTTGCCGTTGATATGCGTTCATTGATGATGAGGGTTTTGAGCTTCGGACAATTTTTCACCATCATTACAAAAGAAGAATCTCCTCTTTCGTGGAATGATCTGGGGCCATGGACACGCGGGATTCCTTTCTGGATAAACAGTTCAAGAGTTTTACTGTAGAAGTGGACAAAGTCCATTGCATCTGCATGCGAAATTTTGTAGTAGGGCGTGTCGTAAACGATACTAGTCACAGGTGCATGTGGCTGAAGCAACAGTGAGTTTTTACACTTTCCACGAATTTCTAGCGTGACCTTAAGGAACGGTGCCATATCTTTGATGATACGCCAGGCGTCTGCTGAAACAGGCTCTGTGGCGCACGTGTACTTATCCTGAACAAGACGAAGGTCAGAGAGCCCTGTTCCCGCCAATAGGATCGCTACCTCGTCATCAACGTGCTGATTACTCACAGTGAGACGCTGAAGACAATCGAATCTTGCCAATTGTGGAATTGGAGTGTCAGCTTTTGCACAGTTGATGATCTCAAGAAAGCGAATAGATTCGGTATTGTATTTAAGAGCGGCCTCAAACAAGCCAGGTACGTCCTCCTCCGCAAGCAAAAGTTGATTGATACTCAAGGTTTTGAGGTTCTTGATACAGGCTATCAGTGTGTTGAGTTCTTGGAGGATTTGCCCGCCGGTTCCGAACACCATGTTTCCATTGATACCGCGACTTTCGCAAGCAAACGTAAACTGGAAAGTGTGCAGCAGGGGAATAGGAAATTCTTCAAAGAACGAGAGAAATGAGCTGAGGACACCCAAGAAAAGAAGATTATAAAAGTCACTGATCGGACAAATAATGATCTTTTTAAAAAGCGTCCCGACACTATTGAGACAGTTTTGTGCCTTTCTTGGACACAACTCACGAGTGAATCCTTTGAACAAGTTATATCGTCGTCTCGTGAGAGTTCCTTCTTCGAAAAGAAATGTCTCCCAGACGCGCGGAGAGTAAAATGTCTTGTACCATGATTTACACACACGCGACGCCTGATGGCGGGCTTTGGGGGTCAACATAGCGAAGATGTCCTCCAGCAGAATGTCAGGTAGGTGAGCCCAGCCGTATTCATCTTCCACTTCCTCTAGTTCCGGTTCTCTATTCTTGTCGAAGCCAAAAAGTCGGAGATACTGAAAGTATATGAGGTTGAAATTAAATAACTTCATTCTTAGAAGACGAAATTGGAAATAATACAAATCAAATGCCTTTTATAATACTTGTAGCCATGCTACAGACGTCTTGACCGAAACATATCTCGGTGTACACCTAGGGGCCAGGTACCGTGTCAAATGCATGTTTTTATCAGACGGGGTCCTTTCTTTACGGATTGTTATTCTTGACGCCAAGATCATGACTAATTTTCGTGCTGGAGGAACATGATGGAGATATGATAAGTTACTGATAAAATGGAAAAGACGACGGTATACTGTGCTGGTAGGACTAATAGTGAGTAAATGAATTGGTAAACATACTGGTGAGTTGAATAGAGGATAGAAATGTATGTGTGTGAATTACTGTACTGGTAGAAGTAAGGATGAATGACGGTACGGTTAGTTACAATGGGGAAGAAATGGGGGTGAGTTACGTTAAGGAAGCAGCGATGTTAAGTTACAATGGGGAGGAGTGATGACAGTAACAAGTGAGGGAAAGTGAGCGTGAGTTACTATGAGGGTAAATGTTATGAAGGTGTAAGAGAGTACGAGTGTCTGTCCATATAGTAGCGAAAGTGAATTCCTGTAGAAGTGAGGGTTAGTTACTGTACTGGTAGAAGTGAAGGTTAGTTACTGTACTGGTAGAAGTGAAGGTTAGTTACAGTACTTGTAGAAGTGAAGGTTAGTTACTGTACTGATAAAATTAGGGTTAGTTGGTGTACTGGTAGAAGTAAGGGTAGTTACTGGACTGGTAGAAGTAAGGGTTAGGTACTGTACTGGTAGAAGTGAGGGTTAGTTACTGTACTTATAAAAATTAGGGTTAGTTACTGAACTGGTGGAACTGAGGGTTAAGTGCTGTACTGGTAGAAGTGAGAGTTAGTTACTGTACTGGTAGAAGTGAAGGTTAGTTACTGTACTGGCAGAAGTGAAGGTTAGTTACTGTACTGGTAGAAGTGAGGGTTAGTTACTGTACTGGTAGAAGTGAAGGTTAGTTACAGTACTTGTAGAAGTGAAGGTTAGTTACTGTACTGGTAGAAGTGAGGGTTAGTTACTGTACTGGTAGAAGTGAGGGTTAGGTACTGTACTGGTAGAAGTGAGGGTTAGTTACTGTACTGATATAAATTAGGGTTAGTTACTGAACTGGTGGAACTGGGGGTTAAGTACTGAACTGGTAGAACTGAGGGTTAAGTACTGTACTGGTAGAAGTGAGGGTTAGTTACTGTACCGGTAGAAGTGAAGGTTAGTTACTGTACTGGCAGAAGTGAGGGTTAGTTACTGTACTGGTAGAGGTCATGGTTAGTTACTGTACTGGTAGAAGTGAGGGTTAGTTACTGTACCGGTAGAAGTGAAGGTTAGTTACTGTACTGGTAGAAGTGAGGGTTAGTTACTGTACTGGTAGAAGTGAGGGTTAGTTACTGTACTGGTAGAAGTGAAGGTTAGTTACTGTACTGGTAGAAGTGAAGGTTAGTTACTGTACTGGTAGAAGTGAGGGTTAGTTACTGTACTGGTAGAAGTGAGGGTTAGTTACTGTACTGGTAGAAGTGAGGGTTAGTTACTGTACTGGTAGAAGTGAAGGTTAGTTTCTGTACTGGCAGAAGTGAGGGTTAGTTACTGTACTGGTAGAAGTGAGGGTTAGTTACTGTACTGGTAGAAGTGAGGGTTAGTTACTGTACTAGTAGATGTGAAGGTTAGTTACTGTACTGGTAGAACTGAGGGTTAAGTACTGTACTGGTAGAGGTCATGGTTAGTTACTGTTTTGCTAGAAGTGAAGGTTAGTTACTATATGGGTAAACCTTTACCGTTTGCATTGTTAACGGATTTCAGTAGTTGATGAAGGAGAGAACAAGAAATCCGAGTTCTACTGATGCTTATGAACGTGTCGAACATGTATGTATAACGCAATAGATTCCGTAATACACTGTACGATCACTGTTAAATCGAAGATTTTGTGAATTATATATCTGACACATCTAACAAACATAATATCGTTTTGAAAACTCTTTTTTGAAAAAGCAAAAATTTTAAAAAAAATTATATAAATAAAAAAAAAACAAAAATGGATTGAGTATAGTACTCACATGGTACAGATCTGAAGACAGCATGCCTGTATCTATCTACTACCGTCTACTACAGCAGTCTACATACACTGGTCTGTACGTGCCCGTGTACAAGTTTATATACAATGAATGCATACCCGCGCGCACTTCACTTTTTCGCGTTCTGTAAAGTTATTTGTAAACAAAACGTCACTTGTTTCGGAGATACATATGGTGCCGGCTTTGATTTGGGGACACCACTTCGACCTCTTTTTCATATTCAACCCACATTACCATACATCCGTGTTTATGTCCGGAATATGCGTCTTTGGCAACCAGCCATATTGCTCAGCAACTTACGAACGAAGATATACAGCCGTTTGCTGAAAGTTCCTGAATTTGCTTTCCTACTTGTTGGTAAACGACGAAAATGTCATTAGTTTTTATTTCCTGCATGTTTTGGAAAGATTCGGACCTCTTCAGATTTAAGATTGACTTTTTTTGTAGTAGCTGGTAATCTGTTGTCTGACTGTCTAGCCGAATAGAGTGGTTCGTTATAAGAATGTTGTGAGAGAAAGAAATTTTAGAGTGACATTCAGTACAAGTGGCCCTACTTTGTGATGTATAAGCCCAGCTTCACTTGGAGTGTAGTGGATAATCAGATCCTTGTCATAAATATCAAGACAAGTCTATCTTCACTTAAACTGTGACAGATTCTCTGGTTATTGTGATCGACTGTAACAGATTCCCAGGCCCCTGTGATACAAACCAACCAGGACAGGCCCATCTTTACTTAGACAGTAACATATTTCCAGGCCCCTGTGATACAGACCAGAACAGGTCCATCATCACTTAGACTGTAACATATTCCAAGGCCCCTGTGATACAGACCAGGACAGGCCCATCTCCACTTAGACTGTAACATATTCCAAGGCCCCTGTGATACAGACCAGGACAGGCCCATCTCCACTTAGACTGTAACATATTCCCAGGCCCCTGTGATACAGACCAGGACAGGCCCATCTCCACTTAGACTGTAACATATTCCCAGGCCCCTGTGATACAGACCAGGACAGGCCCATCTCCACTTAGACTTCAACAGATTCTCAGGTCTAATTGATTGCAACGTCTGCACTGATCTTACTTCTATCTGAATTACAATGGTTATATCACCGATATTTAACATCATATTATCTCACTGGTGTTTTCACGAAACAATCTACAGTGTTTACAGTAATAGAATGGTATCACTCATTTTAATATAATGTGGATCACCCGAGAGATCAAATAGATACTGTTCATTCATGTTATCATCACGAGGATCATACTGTTCATCCCCGGCCGGTTCGCGGAGTAATAGAAGCTAACATCAAAGGTTTAGTGTTACTGGCTAGGATTTTACAGTTTACACTGTTGCTTTCTGAAACAAGATACCGAGACTGAAGATAAAATCTCGAGCGAATGTCCACCCGTGGTCTTACACGGTCATTCCAAACGATGGCCCGATATACCGGTCAGAAACCAATGCTGAATGCATAGTGAATTTTTGTTTGAATATCCAAAAATAAATGAAACGGACTATGGCCCGTCCACTAACTATTAATTTGAAGGGTGAATTATTTTGGTCGGGATTATATTCATTTACATATTCTTGTAGATGTTACCTTCGATCAAACCTAAAAATCGTCAAGATGTTTAATACTTGACTCAGCGTGCCGTAATCATACATGTTGGTGATGAAACGGAGCAAAAAAAATCACGAGTGAGGTACGCAGAAGTCAGCACGTGCTTTACAGAAATAACCTATATATAAAATGTAAACAATAACAAAGAGCACACGTGATCGTTCTTCGTCGTTCCTCGCTTCAACTGCGCAGTATAGCATTGACGCTGGTGGACGCAGCATCCCGTTCACTTGTTTAGGCGTAGTCTGATACATACTGCTTGTGCCACATATTTTCAAATGTTTTTGAATTGTTTCTAAACAATTTCCTTACATTTCTTGGCTGACATGTAATGATAATTGATAGTGATTTTAAAAGAAACCCACCAGCGTTAACTGTTCCATATCCGAGTCTTCGAGTTCCTCCGCCATTCTGCTATGCCCTTATACCCTTGAATTACTGTTGGCAATAATTCTTCTTCAGCATCCAGGGGAGACTACTCTGCATGAGTATCAGTTTACATATGCACTGGTGTGTTCAGTATTTAGGAGTCGTTAAACAAGTCTGCCTAAATTCCTTGCCATAAGAAATGCTTAATCGCTTAAAATAAATTGCACTTTTTGTTTTGGAAATAATCCAGGTCAAATAATTTCATGCAGACTAAAATTCTTTGTTTACAAAACTTCTAACGTTATCGGTAATATCTTTGCTCACCATCACTGCTACATCGTCAGTTCTGTGTTTACTCCAGAATTATGTCATCATTAATTATGTTTGGGATGTTTGGTCAGTATGTTTGACTTGGATGCTATCTTTTATATTCCCGTCGTTCTCATCATGTTTCACGCTTCTTGAAAATATTATTCTATGACTAAGATTTGTGTTATACGTTCTGTGCATGCTGAAAATTCTCAAAAGTTACACGTACGTGATTCAGTGTATGTCTGTATACCAAATAGTGACACACATATACTGTATAATCTTCAATATAAACCAACAAACCTAAGTTAGAGCCAGCAAACTGACTCAAAAGACGTTCTAAATTGTAAAGATATGTTTTCTCTATTTATAAATATCTCAATGTAGAATAAATGTAAACTCGTTACATGCACCATCTTCTGTCCAAATCTATGTAATATAGATAGACAAACTTCAAGATATAAGCTGAAGTTGTAAAGGATTTAATATAGACATGCATTCAATAGTTGTACAAACTTTTATATAGCCAATTATTATAGTAAATACTTATATACTCTACAATACAGATTATAATTACATTCACGTGATTTCACGTGTATTTGAAACGAGATCAAGATTAAAGAAAACAAAAACAAAAATTCAACCGAGCCTCTGACAAATAAAATGAAACAACTCTTTCAAATACCCGTACACACATTCTTCAATGTTTGGCGCAAATGTTATCTATTTAATCCCGAATATCAATGATAACCGGGTAGTACAAGGTATGTAACTTAGAGAATTAAAATGACTCCAACCCTGTCACCAGAATCGGATCTGATCTATACACTTGACTTTAACCAGCAGACAGCGCCATTTCAAATTTACCAGTAGTTTATTGTTGTATATTGTTCCTTGCTTAGAATGACTTTCAACAATAAAAAAATATATATATCTGGATGGACCTTTCCCGCCACTAGAATATGTTTCTCCTGATGTGTCTGTATTTATCTCGAAGTGTAAAACACAGCTTATCAATCATACTCAGTATCATGGAATCTCTGTTACAGCGCCAACAGTCGTCTGCTCCCTCAGCAACGCACCATTTGTCTAGACGAAGCCTAACCACTGTGGAGGGGACGGAACTTTCTAGGGCAGAAATGGAGAAAGAAAGTTCACAGAGAAGACTCTTTGTGTTGATTTCTATCTGAAGAAAGTTCAGAATTAACTCGGAATTTTCGAAAGTTGCTTCGTCCTCTTTCATAAGTTCCAACATACCAAGGAAGTCTGTCATAGTATGAAAGTCCCGTTTCAGTGATCGATATATCTGTAACACAAAGGCGTATATAACAGAAAGATGTTAAAATCCTATTAAAACCTCAAGAAACGAGAGTGAAATTTTCTCTTCCGTTCAAGACGACTCATTAGTTAAGCAGAAAAATAAACTTGTATGGCGAGTGTTTTCCTTAAAAACATCAAGTTCATGAACTGAAAGAAAAAAGTGTTACTAAAACTTGACAAAATTGAAGTCAGCGGTGTGAGGAAAAGTACCTTTGCTAGAATTAAGTTTATCGAAAATTTTGATTTTCATTAAAACATTTAAATTTTCCAATAAATATAAAAAAATAATGTTTTGGGATGCTACTACATATATCTGATTTCTGCCATTTTGTTATGTTTTTTATTTTGAAATACATTTATATAGAAATAATAAAATAAAAGTAAGAGAAATTGAATTTTATTAATTACATAATTTTCCCCGAATATATAAACCCCGCGTAGCGTTCCTGGATAATTTTAAAACCCTTTTTAGAAACCTTGTCTACTTTCCCAGTTCCCCAGGATATATGCTTCCTCGGCCCTTTGTGAAAAATGACACTGTCACTTATCTAATTAAAGAAAGTAACAGTGCGATTATGTAAACCCTTATCAGATTCCCAGAGTATATAAATCTTGATTAGACGTTATGAATCCTTATTAGATTCTCAGGGGATATGAATCCTTATTAGATTCCCAGAGTATATAAAACCTTATTAGATTATCAGGGTATACAAAACCTTATTAGATTCCCAAGGTATATAAAACCTTATTAGATTCCCAGGGTATATAAATCCTTATTAGATTATCAGGGTATATAAAACCTTATTAGATTATCAGGGTATACAAAACCTTATTAGATTATCAGGGTACACAAAACCTTATTAGATTATCAGGGTATACAAAACCTTATTAGATTATCAGAGTATATAAAACCTTATTAGATTATCAGGGTATATAAAACCTTATTAGATTATCAGGGTATATAAAACCTTATTAGATTATCAGGGTATATTAATCCTTATTAGATTCCCAGGGTATATAAAACCTTATTAGATTCTCAGGGTATATCAAACCTTGTTAGTTTTTCTGGGTATATTATATAAAACCTTGTTAGATTCCCTGTGTATACTATATAAAATCTGGTTAGACTGCGTGTGTTTCAATAAACCATTGTTAGATCTGTTATTGTCCCGTGAATATTCAAGTCCTTATCAAACCCATTTAATAAGTATTTATATAAATACAAAAATGCCAACATGTGAATAAAATTTTCATTCGAACTTAAAATAGATGAAACAATGCCAAAATATGTACAAATGAAATATTCAGTTTACACTTACCGTGAAGGGAGACAACTCCGACATCACAACAAAACTGGTTCTGTTGATGAGTTGAAAACACGGTGGAAAGTATGTTATCTCATCGATATCAGCAGATCTGGATAGTCTGTCTTCCTCCTGTAATATCAGAGAGTGGTGATTACTCACGATTTTAATCATTCGGTAGGATTGATACTAACCGAGAAAAAACAGTAAACTATCTAGGCGAGGAAAGTTTACAAAACGGTCAAAATTCAATTGTTTGAAAGTTAATGGCAATGAAAAATACAAGGGAAAACTAGGGAAAGGCAGATACGCAGAGGATGAAATAAAAAATCTACATCTGGAAGAACTAAGATAAATTCAGCTTCCTTAAAATAGCACCAAAATTGTTTTATTCACGTCAAATACGGTCATCTTGCTGTTCACAATCATATAATTGTTATTATTATGTTTCATTTAAATGTATTTTGATCTCATAGAAAACCAAACCAAATATGATGCTTTTCACAATAAACTTACATATAGACGAAGCAAGCTCGTCACACTGTGCTTCAGCTGGAGTGCCTTCCTCTCTAGACGATGGATGTTCCGTCTGAATGATGGCGGGATAACGACCTCATGGAATGGGAAATCGATGTCGGCTGGATACTGAGGAGGGACATTTTCTCCACAAATGTTCTTGGTGCCAATGTTAAGATCGGAAAACGCAGGAGAAAGTTCTCCCATCGACGGCAGCAAATATGACGCCACGCACAGGCAAGCCAACCATACTGTGAAGATGGAACATACCTGTATGATATGCATATTTTTTCTATACGATAGTTTACAGGAATCTTCGATAAAAAAAAAGTCACAACACTTGATCGTCGAAATATTTCTAGATTCCGTAAATTTTACAATATTGAACTAAAACTCTACATCAAACCATCCATCAATAATCCTAGGAACCACAGTAAGTCATATGTATATTGTGGTTACACATTACAAAGGCTTATTATGAATAACAAGACAAAACCTAAAACTCTGTTAAATGAAGAAGAGTGATAAAGATGTTACCATGATTTAGCAGATAAATGCCAAACCTAGTCTGTATTTTTTCTTACTCTGATGTAAAACACTCTTTAGGACTGAAGTATGAAACCCACAATTTGTCATTTGTTCCTTAAAAGCGTGTCCTCTATTTGAAAGTATTTGGCGCACTAATAGTATTGTATATGATACTTAACACCAACACTTTTCTTCCTGTTTCTTTTCAAAATGAAAAACATAAGATGATTTGACGTTCCAAGTGACAACATGATGTCGCCAATTTGAATTAAATGCCTTACCTGATCCTTTATCTTTTAGTACTGTTACCTGGTACGAAATATTTATACATAATTATTTTACACACTAAATTAGAGAACACAGACAAATAACTTGATTGAAAACCAACGCATTCAATCTTCTCTTCAGCTGTGTCCTAACAAGAAAACCTGACTCAGTGACTATAGAGAGCACCGCTATAATTGGTCACAAATGCGTGAGTTATATTATCATCGGAAAAGCTAGAGATGATTAAAAATATATAAGTTTCTAATGTCAAGCTGGTACAAATATTTATCACACTGGCTGATAATGAAATGATACATTGCAATGGGATAACTAGGTTACTTACGACTAAATGTTGTCATGTTCTAGATCACTACACTGTACTTACTAATGTATCTGATTCTTCAGAACGCAATGCTTTTATAAAGAAAACTGGGGAAAACTTTCCTAAAATTGGAAACCCTGTGGTTATTCCCAGTAGAACTAGTCATCTCTAATCCCACGAATAATAACACGCCTTTCTATTTTGTTACAAGCCATTTTCCTTTAGATGCCAATGGAATCGAAGAAGTAATTGCTATGCACTCAGTAATTTGTATAGCAATAGAAACTACCCTAAAGAAAGTTAAATACCTCTTTCTTTACCCATGAAACCAATACTGTGACTGTTTGCTTTATGGCTTTGTATTCAACTTGTGAATAATTGTCACGCGATTGTAGTAGTTGTACTTTACCATAATCCCAATAGGTATTTGTAACAATGAGTGAACTAATGAGTCACAGGTTTATACTCCAGGGTCAATGTCACCCTTTGACATTTTTTCCTGCTTTCAAGTGGGACTGAATTGATCAGCGTTTCTGACCAATGACAATTTGAATAATGTTGTACTCCGAAATATCACTGGTAATTTATGTGTATACCAAACCTATGATACAAAAATGTTACTGAAGTTATCGTGGAAAGTTTCTTGTTTTCTTTTCTTTTCACAAAGAGGTAAGTCCTTACTTTTATAGAATTGGCACTTCCCCCCTGTTTCTTTTTTCAATCGGAAATATTTGTAATTGCTTCCTCACCATCAAAATGAAGGTTTTAATTGTCTTAGTTTTGCTATCAATCTAAAGCAAGGGTGAAAGCTGTAATAAATACAACAAAAATAAGAGATCCTTTACACAGTTTATGTACATGTTCTTCTGTATATTATTCAGGTATGTTGTTGTTTGACATCTGTCTGACGGTCTAGGTCATATCAGTATAGAAAGACAGAGAAACAGCTCTACTGAACAAAACGACATTCAATAAAATTAGAAAAAAGATTCTTGTATCTTGACAAGTACGTGATCAATTGATTGGGTCCTAAAATGCCATATGACTAGTATTTGTTTTCATCTGCTTATAATTTTAAACAAGATTACATTCTTTGTGTTTTTGTTGTAATTATTGATTTGTGTGAGTAAACGCAAACATCGAACAGCATGTCAACATAGTAGTCTTGAGGGTTAAAAATAGCAAATACAACTAAATAAAAAGGGAAATCACCTCAAAATGCAACATTTTGTTCTACTAGAAATCCTCAGTGAAGTTAAGAATCCATATGGATGCAGATCATTGGAATCAAATGTTAAAATAAATATTCATGTAAATGCATATTATGTGCAGGTGTCATTCTTAATTAGAATAAGATGTGATATGTAGAACGTCAGCAAGGCTCAATCTCCAGATACTTTAGTTTTGGAAAAAATTATTCACAAGTAATATTCCAATAAAGCACAATTAAAATTAAATAATTAATTTTAAAAACTTGATATGATACATGATATGTACTTTTTCGGTAGTATTTTTCTTTTTTGTTACAATACAATTATTATATGAGAAGAATATATGTGATAATAACATTGCTTTAAAACGTTAGACCTTTTGTTATATCGAGTTAAAACCAACACGTAAATCATAGCATCGTCATATTAGAATAGAGCATTTGTTGTCCAATAATGACGCTGATATATACCCTAACGGGAAAGCTATATTTGAATTATCCATATATCATGTTAGGGTATATAGTATGTGAATATGAATTCTACTTCCTGTCGTTTAAGAACTTCTATTCAAATGACATTGCCAATCCGAAGAATTGCTCCGGAATGTTACTTTTGTGTGTTCATTCATTTTTATATAAAGATTTATTTATATTTTGTCTTTATTTTTATAACTATTATCAATTTGCATAATGTATTTCAGTATAAACAAGTATGAAAATAATAATAATAAACATCAGCAATATTTTATACCAGAAGTCTGTTCAGGCTAAATACCGCCATACTTTCAAAGCAGAAAAAAAACCTGTAATTTGCTATAGTTACTCAAGGCATCCAACTGAATGTAGATAACATAAGAACTTGTCCTCCGTCACCTTGTTCTTGATCTACATCTACTTGTAACTATGGTCTAACTGGGCACATGGTAACTTGTGATTTAACCATTATTCAAAATGTTAAGTACGAGAGCTTTTCATGAAGGGTCCTAGATATCGTGAAATCCCGTCTGTTAATTGGAATGTGAATTTCAAGATACTTCTAGATTCTGTTGAAAAAAAAGCATCCAGAAAATACCAACATGGCAACATCATCATACTTCAAACTCAAATTCCATAAAACTAGGGCCTAATATTAACAAAAGAAATATTAACACGGAGAATAAGACCAGGTGTTTCGGAAGAGTAAGCGTTTTCTGCTTCATCGACGACATCCGCTATGTAAACCGTGGTCAATCCCAGTAAGTAATGTCACGTTCTCAAATGAAAACAAGATATACAACAACGTACCCAGCAGGCAAATTAACGAGCATCAAATACGTCCAGCTTCATATCCCACAAAGAAACAGAATATTTCTCAATGAGATCACTATGGCGACCATAAAACTTTCCCATAAATTTCACCGGCCTGCATCTTTTGAACTCTTGTGTTAGGAACCAGAAATGGAAAATTCACAATAGGGAAATTTAAATCATCACGTTTATCGTACAACTGTCCATGTTGGCTTCGTTGTAGGAAAACGATCGAGATAAGCAGCTGCCGTAGAAGAGTCTGTCGTATCTTTGACTTCCATTTCTGATGGATATATACGATGGACGCAGTCAATAAATTTTCTTATAATTTTAAGACAAGACGTCATCAATATATCTGAAGGTGGAATTAAAGGATTTTCAAAGTCTTTCCACCAAACTCGACGAAGACGTTGTCAACAAAAAACTCAATGATTATTTTGTCCTCCGTATATTACTTCTTTGATTTTGACGTAAGTTTTACGAAATACGCTTCTGTATAGTTCACAGCTACATATTTATACCGCCGTTCACCTTTCTTGGAGAAGCAAGCTCTCATAACAAGAGAACGAAGGCGCCTCTTCCGTTTAGAATGGGGTAAGGTTGTGTACAGTGTGTAAATATAAAATGTTATTATAGAAGAAATGTTTTTAGAAGAGGGTGTTAAAGATTGGTCAAAAGTTCTCTGGAATTCTTCAAAATCCACACACTATTAACTCCATTTCTTGAGTAAACAGTATCACAAGAAGAGTGTAACCCAGTTTTGATAGTAATTGGAATGGTGGTTAGTAGTATAGAAAAAAGATTTGGTGATGAGGATACATTTGAAAATTTCATTGAATAAATTAATTAAAAGTTTTGTAAATTGTTATAGCCAATATAATGTATGTTTATGTGTAGATACATGTATTTATGTTATTGAAAGAATTAATGACAATGTGGATGATGACAGTGTGGTTGATGTCTGTTAAATGACAGCCCTCCTTTGTTGGGACATGTCCTTCGTGATTGTTCCTATACAACGATGTCTTTGTCAACAAAACATTTGAAAAATCAAATCAAATCATTTGATACTCAAAGTAGTGTTATTCATCTAGTACTTAGAGTCAAACACATTTGCTTTATAATTACATTTATTATATCAAAAAGACATGCTATAATAGGCCGATATTGTCCACGAAAAATGAGGTAAAATAGAAACTGACAAAAGGATCCGTATATGAAAAAATAATAATACGTGGCAAGGTATCATCCAATGAAAATAATAAAACGTAAAAGGTCATCATCCAGTGAAAATAATAAAACGTAAACAGTTATCATCCAATGAAAGATACGTAAAAGGTTATCATCCAGTGAAAATAATAAAACGTAAACAGTTATCATCCAATGAAAGATACGTAAAAAGTTATCATCCAGTGAAAATAATAAAACGTAAACAGTTATCATCCAATGAAAGATACGTAAAAAGTTATCATCCAGTGAAAATAATAAAACGTAAACAGTTATCATCCAATGAAAGATACGTAAAAAGTTATCATCCAGTGAAAATAATAAAACGTAAACAGTTATCATCCAATGAAAGATACGTAAAAAGTTATCATCCAGTGAAAATAATAAAACGTAAACAGTTATCATCAATGAAAGATACGTAAAAAGTTATCATCCAGTGAAAATAATAAAACGTAAACAGTTATCCCAATGAAAGATACGTAAAAAGTTATCATCCAGTGAAAATAATAAAACGTAAACAGTTATCATCCAATGAAAGATACGTAAAAAGTTATCATCCAGTGAAAATAATAAAACGTAAACAGTTATCATCCAATGAAAGATACGTAAAAGGTTATCATCCAGTGAAAATAATAAAACGTAAACAGTTATCATCCAATGAAAGATACGTAAAAGGTTATCATCCAGTGAAAATAATAAAACGTAAACAGTTATCATGGCAATTATAATACGTGACAAGTTAGCATCCAATGAAAATAGTAACACGTAAAAAGGTATCATTCAATAAAAAAAATAAACGTTATCCAGTGGAAATAAAGGATACAGAAAAAGATACCGCCCAGTGACGATATCAATTCAACATATAAGATAAGTATTTGTGATAAAAAAACACGTATATATTGATACATAAACTTCAATATGGTATAAAATACATAATCATAGCAAAGTGTGTAAGTTTAATACAACGATGGCATTAATTCGACCAAGTGCTGGAGGTAGTATGCTTTAGGAACCTAAGTCGAAAAATAGAAAGCAAATAAGATTTCACCAAAACAATTGGCCTAGATGCAATTGTTTTGACATGTCATTATTCCTTGTATAAAGTAATCCTTATAAGTTAATGTACAGAACAAGCATTACATGTTGAAACGACACATCGAAACTGTTTGCTCCTCATTCGTGTACAGCTGAAATACCTGCGACCTTATTTCGCATCGTATATCACGTGGCTTGACAATAAATGGGTATACTTGCTCTTCACGGCTTGTGAGGTATCGATGAGCTTGTCCATAACTAGAAAGTTGCGATCATACCAATCAAAACAGTTGTTTGTATGACACCATGAGGTCAGTAAAGGATACAGAGGGCCACAGGGTTGATCACCCCCGACACTTGGAAGGGACACACCGATCTCACACATGAGCTGTTTCGTCGCAATTTCAGCCCTAGTGATATGATGGTGGACATACAGATATCGCGAACAACCTTCGTGCATGCGCGTGAGGGCTCCCACGACCTTTCCTAATACTGTATAATCTGTTAATAAACTATCCCTCATCTGAAACAAAATATATATATACACATTATGATTATTTTAAAACTGTTTGCATTGTCCCTCCGCTGGCTATTTTGTATTTAATTTACACTCTTACAGATACCTAGTTGAAATCGGAGCTTTGAAAGAGCCATGGTTCTCTCTTTTCAAAGACTGCATGATAACGTAAAGTGAATAGGTCACTCTGAAAATGGTTTATTTCAGTAAAAAATGCTGTATTTTTCAAAAACGTTTCTGTGCGATACTAAACGTTGCAAATGTTTCATTTAAGAGATTTTCAGCTTTGAATAATATTTACTCGCCGTTGTTAGACTATATACATTCAGATAACGTGAAACTATATAAAAACACACAAACATGAAACATCTAACTATTTGACTTTTTTTTAAATCTCCATTCTAAAACTCTTGTGATAATGTCAACGGATTTACTGAAGAAAGTAAATTACAAAAACAAATGTGTGTGTATGCCAAGACTTTTCTTCTTTGATCAATTCATATACTTACTTCTTTTGCCGTGACGTTCTCATAAGGTAGATTATGAGGGAGGAGTGTTTCCATACATGAGCGACATTCCTCAGTCGGAGATGGTATGATGCTAGGACTACATCGGCCATACTAGCAAAGTATAACATTTGACAAATCCATTTGTATCCATGAAAAAAATATGAGATGATCGTACTGGCTCAGATAGATAGCTTGTGACATAGTACTGGTAATGTTATGTTCTCAAATGAGAACAACGTATACACTGACCCAACACGCAAAATAATGAGCATCAAACTCGTTCAGATCCATATCGCTTCAATAAAATCTCGATGAGATTGCTATTAAGAATGCAGAACTTCCAAATAAATTTTATCATTCTGCATAACCAACACAATGCTTAAGCCTAACCCGTTCATTACAAAGCTTGTTCTTCACAGAGTAACGAATATTGAAAACAAGCAGCAACAGGCCAAAGGGAAACAATGATTAGTCGTTATGTATTCGATACTCTACAACTTACCAGGTCGTCAAACGCTCTGTCCATCCGTTTAGCTTTCCTCCAAAGTCTCAGAGCTATGTTTCTGTCGAATACCTGAGAAGAACTGTGATTGGGGTCTCTCGCAGTACAAACATCCAGTTGTCCACATATTCCCATTATTTCAGACGTGGGTGTGTCGTGGTGCAATCCTGGACAGTCGGCCAAAACGCCGAACGTTTGGGCCAATAACAAACCTTTGAAACAAATTCATTTTATGATTTGTTTTTATCTGGTATGTCTATACATTGTATATAAGAATATATTACCGAACTGTCCCTATATTGCACAGAATAGAAAATAATTTGTTAAAACTATTTCGTTCTTCATTTCTCACAGTGTTTCTTTTAATACAATATTTAAGATTATTTAAGACAATGGTTTTATGGATGCTTTTCAAAACGGATGTAATACCAGTTTCAGGAAAACTATAAATCGGATTTGCTACACCCTCAGTCTACTCAAGGATTCTTACAAGACATTCTTTCAACGATATTCTCGCATATCGTTTTCAGGCGCGTTATTGTGAGAAATTAGTGCAAATCAAAAGGTGTTGAAGTTTACCTAAGTACAATAAACACATCATAGTAACAATATTAGAAAGGTGACTTCGGTATCAATCTGTGATCTTTAAAACTGTCTTGAAATATTGTCACTTGGTATTATATGGTTTCTTACGTGGGTTTTCCTGTCTAATATTGTATCATCTCAACAATGATCAGGTGGGGTACCGGTAACGCATTTGCCTTTAACCTAGGTGTCAGGGGTTCAATTCCAGAACGGATGTGAAAACTTTTTGGGGTCACCGGGTATTTCGGTTTCCTTCCATAGCATGGTGAAATTACATCAATGCACAGAATATCGGAAAAGTGTCTATTTTAGTGTAAATGGTTCAGATTTTCTTTTATAAGATGATACATACTTACTCACTTGAAAATTATTTTGTCATGTGAAAATTACCAAGGAATTAGAACCACTTTCCTGTATTAGCATGACAGCAAGACATATCCGTTGTGAAAGACAAGCTAATTTTATAATGACCCGGTCACACGGCACTTCGTACCATTCATTCAGCTAGAAATTAAACCGGATTCTTATACCATTTAAAACTTGGTCGGAGACTTAATCCGATTATTCCAAGCAAAGTAAAGAACAAGTGGGACATAACTTTTCTTGTCCCAGGACAATGGACACTGCTGGGGCATATTTCAGATTTGTCACATTAGCCTCAGTCATCATCTCGAAAGTAAAACGCCGTATAGGAAGTTTTGCAACAACTATAGACTGGATAAGGTTGTGATAAACAAATTGTCAATAACAATAAGTGACTCGTAAAAGTTGTTAAATCTATAGAAATTTCCTTTTTTAACTAATTATAGGTCTAATTGATATATAAATGTATTTTGTTGTTGTATTTTGGTTTTTTTATTATTTTTTTTTTGTACTAGTAATACATCGCGTGTACAATATACATGAACAAAGATATTAATATGATAATGAGTACATAACACGCCAATTAGCAAAAAAATTACACACAATTTTCAACTCTTTTTTTTTAAAATTGTTTCCAACTTTGTAGAAACGGAAACATTCGTTTCCTGTTTCTGGTTACAGGGTGTTAACAAGAAAGGTACTAAATTATGCAAACATTAAAAACTTATTTTATTGGTATCATAACACGGAGTTCGAGTTTATCAACAGTTTGTAAGTACGACAAAGTGCTGAAATATGAAGTCATAAGAAGGTACAACGCGCACACAAGTGAAAACCATATTAGCTTACATATATAGAGTTAAATACAGTAGAGCTAAGAATGAATTAAGCTGCAATTTATTGGTTGTTTTTTTAATTTTGTTTCTAGGACTCGTTAGTGATGCTAATGACCTAAATTTTGAAGCCATACGCATCATGGTATTACATCCAGTTATCTTTACTATAAACTTTTATTTAATTTCTCTTTACATAGCATCAGTAGTAACATCAAACACGTAATTGAAATTATACATGGAAACTAGTTTTACAACTTACACAAATCCATCTCCAGTTAAAGAAAACGTAATCGAAATTAAGAACATAAACTACCATACTATGTGAGAAGAGAAAAAAAACAATAATACCAATAGTATATTGTCTATAGGAGTAGAAGAGAGAGAAAGGGGGTATATTTATTTTTATATCATTACAGTGTTAACAACTCTAATGTTGATATCACGTCTGGACTTTGCAGAGAAAACAGAAAAGATTTTGCATGGATTTGTACAGATCGTATAAATCTGGATTTCTACTTTTGGTGAAAGTATTCTATTACATGACAACAAAAACGTAGAACTGAAGCTATTTTGTTACCTACTTTATCTCAATGACTTTGAAAAAGATACCTCAAGTTATTCTGTCAAAATATTGCGCTTTTGAAACAAGTGATTCTTAGTTCTGGAACACGATCCGGAGTCATGGTCCCCCAAGGAAAAGACCCTGCAGTTTTCACTTGATCTTATGGATGCTCTTTGGGGAAAATGTATTAGAATGTATGCATGGTTTGGTATTGTAAAAAGTTGCTTTGAATTACAACGATGATTGTATTACTATTAATACATTTTGCCATGTAAAGACACTTATTACCTAAATTCATGATATCAATTTGCTATGTTTCTTCCGGGATTGAATTGCATGACATTCAACCAGGTGACGGATTAACATACAAACAGCTTTTTTTCAGTAAGCATTTCCATGCAAATGTAGGTGAAGAGTGAGAATCATGATTTAAAAACAAAATCGACGAAGAAATGAAAAGCTATTTCACGTAGAATCATGAAAAAGTACAAGGGGGATAGACCAGATGTTCCGGAAGGTAAATCTTGGTCCAATTAAGTTTTGTCACGTTCCCTAATGAAGACAATATATACGAAGAACATCAAACACGCCTAGCTTCATATTTCACAAAGACCGACAGTAAAGCTTTTCAATAATCTTCATCACTTTGCATCTCTCGAAACCTGCGTTATCTTGCACAAAAATCTCGATACTTCGACATACTGAAAAGTTAATATTTTTGGTGAAGGATTTTGAAGATCAAATGATGTTATTTAGAAACATACAGGTTGAAAGAGCTTACTATTAGTCGCGCAATGGTTTTTTTCTAAAAAGGAAAATTACTGAGTCGAAAAAATGCTACCAAATGAGCAAGTATTGACAAATATGCAAAGGATTATTTTACAATCTAAGTGTTTGTAAATGGAGATGTATCTGTTATGAATCATGCTGCGAAAAAAATGATTAGGTATGAATTGGACCCTACCAGGTATCATCCATCTCATGGATACCTTCTAGTTATCCACCCTCCTGAATTCGTTTGGAAGACTGTTCCACACTCAAGATGTTTTAAATTAGAAGATTTCTGTCCAAATCTTATTGCGTTTATTCTCATTACCTCTGTTGTTCTTTCATGTCTGAAATTATAAGAAAAAAGCTGTTTGATAGAGATCAGATCCTATACAACCTCGGAAGTCATATCTTTACATGTACAAAAAACCTTTTCACATTTTTAAAATTATTTGATTATTTCAACTTAAACAGGCAGTCTTAATACATAGACCTCAAAGCACGTTCCAGAATCCGTTCCATTTTCTTAACACTATCCATGTAAGTACCAGGCGACTGTCCGATGTAGGCTTCGAGCTCCGCTACCCAGAGGCATGTGAAGGCTAATGATGAAGACAGTCAGACGCCATAACCATTGATACCGGGAAAGAATCATTGCATTTGATTTATATACATGTATAGCAAAATGGCTTTCTTTCAATTCAAGAATGGTCATCCAAATGGTAAGTGAGATTTCAACTCTGACTAAACATATAATCTCTTGAACAAGTAAACGATAAACAATAATCATTATCCGGTCCCCCCCCCAACTTGAAAGAACTCTTTTTACCTCTGAAACATCCTCACAAAAACATCTTCGTGAACTGATCATGCCAGGAACATTACTGATAAATATCCATAATACGCTTAGCATTTTTAAAAAACATTTCAGAAAAAATATTGAAGAATTGCCCATCGTAAGGAAAAGGAATTGTCACAATAAAATGGTCCTTGTGATTGTGAGTTGTCATGGTTGATATATTTCATATTTAATAAAATATTAAATCTCCTTTTCCTACACTAGTACAGTGCAGGTAGAGAGAGTTTTATATGTAAATTCTAATAAAATCATGAAGATGAACTTTAGATTTGTGTCGTGAAAATATCGATACCATGAGGGTTTTTCTAGCAAAATCATTGTGTCATTTGACATGATCTGCACAAAATAAAAGAAATGTTGTCCAAATTCGTGAATATTGCAATTTTTTTTAACTGTTCAACCAAAATTGCATGGTTTTCACCATGAAAACTTATACATATTTGTAAGCCCATCTTACCACAATTGTCATTTTAAATAAATAAAAATGCTTTAAGCGTTTGTTTTTTTTTCTTATTAAGATAACCTCTTGGAGAAATATATGTTTCGTTTAATTTGGACAAAAAAAAATGACACAAAAAATAGAACAAATTGCCAAATTTTATGACTAATATATTTTTTAATGTGAATGTACCATTAGTCATGTAAGATAATTAAACAGCCTATATCGTATATTTAAGAATGCTTGTCAGTCATACTGAGATTTCATTGCCCTCTTCATTTAAATACCCGAGATAAAGCATTTTGTCAAATCTGCGTTATATAATTTCTCATGCAAAGTGTTACACAATAAGAAGATATAACACTGCAAAGATTGTTGAATGTGTGGGTTTCCTTACTTCCTTGTCACCATAAATGTCAAAAAAATATATTTTCAAAAACTTTTATTCCGTTGTACTTTTTTCCTGTTATAATGTCGATATCAAAAAAGATGTCACAACTGTGTCCCTGTTTGGGCTATTTTTAGACAGTATGTAAGTGTAAGGAGATGATAATAGCAATGAAACCATCTGGCTACAAATCACTTATATAGTTGGCACCATTTATAGACCTGAAAATTCTGTTTTACCATTTTAGGACAATTTTAGATCAGCTATTCATAATGCGTTTTACATGTCATCAAATGTTATCATTACAGGGGATTTCAATGTAGATTTATTAACTGTTGCACCAACGCATGTTTTTGTAGATATAATGAATCCCCTCATTTTGTCAAATGTTATATTAGAACCCACTCGTGTAGGTCATACTAGATCAAGTTTACTTAATCCAGTTCTTTTAAGTGAATCTCTTTCCTGTATAGTCTCATATGTTATAGATATTGAAAGGTCAATTAGCGATCATATTGGTTGTACAGTTAGTGTTAAACTAACATTTTCTTTTAAATCAGTTTACAAACGTAAAGTTTGGTTGTATAAACGAGCAGATTTTGGTAAATTCAATTATCTTATAAATCAATTTGACTTGAGTGAAGCTTTTACAAATTCTCAATCAGTCGATATTGCTTATGAAACTTTAACTAATGCTTTTTTTTATGAAATTTGCAGCATTATCAATACCTTCGAAAGTTGTAACAATCAGACCAAATGATAAGCCATGGATGACAACAGAACAGAAAAAATATACGAATAAAAGATAATTTAATTAAAACAGCTAGAAAGACAAAAACACAACATGATATCAATCAGTTTAAAACTCAGAGAAATAAGGTCAAAAATATGAAGAAGTACTACAGACAAATATTTTATGAAAATGTCCATGGGCTAATAGATAGCTATTCTTCGTCCGACCCAAAAGCATATTGGATATTAATTAAACGTCTAATGAAATCTAGTGGTTCATCTGATACAATTCCAACTCTCATAGATCCAATGACGGATGAAATAATTATGAGTGATAAGGATAAAGCTGATGTACTTAAAGATTATTTTTGTAGTATAAGTCGTATTGATGAGGATAATGTCCCAGACCCCACCATTGCCCCAAAAATTAATAAAAAGTTTAATTCTATCAGAGTGAACTATACCGAAATTAAAGATGTCTTAGAAATATTGAAACTTGGCAAAGCCTCGGGCCATGATGAAATCAGTCAGCATATGTTAAAGAATGTCTGTAATTCAGTTTGTAAACCTCTTGAGTTATTATTTAATATGTTAGTTATGCCACTATTCAAAAAGGGTGAAAGACATTCTCCATCAAATTATCGTCCAATATCTCTCCTTTCTACCGTTGGCAAGGTTTTTGAACGTGTCATATTCAAACATATCCACAATTATTTTATTGAAAATTCGTTGTTCTATAAATACAATAAGGTTTTTACCTGGCCATTCTACATTGTTTCAGCTGATTGAAATGTATCATACTATTTGTTTATCTCTTGAAGAAAAAACACATACATGTATAGTCTTTTGTGACATAACAAAAGCTTTTGATCGTGTTTGGCATAATGGTTTGTGTATTAAGCTAAGATACTATGGTATAGAAGGAGAGTTATTGGCCTGGTTGAAAAATTATTTATCTATCTAACTTAGGTTTTATTGATGCTGGGGTTCCTCAAGGTTCTATCCTAAGTCCGTTATTATTTCTTATTTATAGTAATGATATTGCAGATGTATTTAATTCAGCCTCTCGTCTTTTCGCGGATGACACATCTCTTCAATACTCTTCATCTTCCTGTCACGAAATTCAAACTATTCTTAACAATGATCTGGAATCTTTAAATGCATGGGCTAAAGCATGGCTAGTATCTTTTAATCCAGATAAAACTGATGTTCTTTTTATTTCTAATAGAAACGAAATTGATGAATTATTAGAATAAGAGTTTGATGGTAAGTTTTTAGATTTTACAGATAATTATAGGCACCTTAGCGTAAATTTCAGCTCTAGTGCCAAATGGGGTGATCATATACCAATTATCTATTCTTCTGTTATGAAAAAAAAATAATGTTCTGAGAAAATTGAAATTTGTGTTAAAGCGAGATGCTCTTTTAAGAATTTATCGAACTTTTATTTTACCTGTATTAGAATACGCGTATGAATTATGGGACGGGTGCTCAATTTCTGAATCTGAAATGCTAGAAAAGGCCCAACGTGAGGCAGCAAGAATTATCACAGGTCTGCCATCCTATGCACATATTTATTCTTTAACTTTTGAAACTGGTTTAGAATCACTGTCTGGTTGGAGAAAGAGAAGGAAACTCCATCATTTATATAAAATGCATACTAACAAAACTCCTGAATATCTATCTTCCTTACTTTCCTCTACTGTTCAAGATGAAATTCGTTATACTTCGAGAAAGAATAATAATCATAGAATCCCATTCTTTCGTCTTTCAACTACCATGTCTTCTTTCTTGCCGTCTACTCTTCGGAGTTGGAATACACTTGATAGCTCTATCAGGTCATCGGCCTCACTCAACTTCTTCAAAAAGTCTTTAATACCTAACGATCTTCCTTTGTATCCTTTTTACTTTGGTATTGGTGACCTTAAACTAAACATTACTCATACAAAGCTTAGACATAATTGCAGTTCCCTTAATTACGACTTATTTCGGATGAACCGATGTGTGAAAATGTCTATCACTTTTTCTTTGAATGCCAGCGTTATAATGTTCACAGAAATGTCCTTTTCCAACGTTTAAATGATATGAATTTACAAGTTCACTGTGACTTAGATCTTCTCCTTAATGGAAATGATCAACTGTCCCTTGAAACAAACTCTAATCTTTTTTTTACGAGCCCAACGTTTTATAAAAAGTAGCAACAGGTTTTAACCATGAAACTCTGTTATAATTTTACTTCCAATGACGTCATCCCTTTTTGTGCCCGATCCTTTTTTTAAACAATTTACAAATCAAATATGTTTAATTCATTTAATTCAAATAAGACATTCAAAACAGCATCAAATGTGCAATTTGATTAAATGAAGATTTGTACACATTGGCTGATATTTTCTCATAACACGATTCTTTTTTTAAAAAAAAGAACACAATAAAAATGAAAATGTTCTCGAAACATTTTTTTTATTTATATTATGCTAATCATACAGAAAGAAAAAGGGTAACAGCACTTTCATTGTTAACTCCCACATGAACAGAAACGGAGGTAAATGCAATATTTATTTTCGATCAACTTAATATTCTAGTTTCAGTTAATTCACTATATTTTAACAACCAACTCCTATGCACACAGAATATGGCTTTCAATAATCCTACAAGTAATTTCTATGATAGAGGAAGGGAGACAACTGTGCATACGTTGTGGGAATGCAATGTAGTCCATAATTGTCTGGCAAGTGCTTGATTGTTATCAAACGAATGAACGACTACACTCTCAATCAACAAGGAAACGATGTTATTTGGTTTTGTTAATAACACTGGTATTTACAATAGATAATGAAATTCCTGCTGTTTAAATCCTACATCTACATAATCAGAACTATCCACAGTACAGTATCAGTGATGGCGCAAGTTTATGTAATTAAAAAAAAACTAACTTTGTATCTAAAAGGTGTATTACATATGGCAAAGGTGATTCCTGTATACTTTTGTCAAAATGAATGGAAGAAATTGATTGAATTGGTTGATGTTGCCTAAACCAGGTATAATTTATGCTGGTGACATTTTTTATGTTGCATCTTTTCAGTAAAAATTATGTTATTTCATTAAAAGTCCGAATTATTGTGAGGTTCTATCGTCCTTTTTAAATCGATGTCGAGTTTATCGACTCTAAACTCTCTCTCTCTCTCTTTCATCATTCTTTCCCTTCTAGATTATAAAACAGTGCTATCTCCTATGGAGTAACTTCACTTAGTCTGCTCAGCGCTGTAAAGTGTTAAAAAAAATGTGCTTGTGTGATTAAAAAAGCTACCCGCAAACGTGATATTATTTTTTAAATAATTATCCCACTGTTTTTTTACAGGGAAACTCTCTTTTGAAAATAAAAGGAATAAAAATCAACCAAGCAGGCATAATCTATGAAGCGCGGGAAAACCAATTACTAAGTACGAGTTATCGTTCCTCGGTGTTTTCCTAGGTGGCACTGGGAAATCTAAATTGGCCAATCAAAATTGATGTAACAAACACTTCCGCGAAATTTGAAACACAGGGAACGGAGAAGGGAGGATCAAGATGGAGCTTCAAATGAAAGGCGCTTATAAAATAAAATCTACATCAGTTGACGCCAAAAAACTTCGTCTACATAGAAGGTCATTAGACTGGAAGAAAAATCGTCACGAAGAAGCAAGTAAAGGCAGAAATCTTCAGAATCTTTCGCCCTTGCAAGAAATAAGCTGCAATGACAATGTTACTTCGTCTTACCAAGGGAAAACACCAGTAAAGTGGGATGCAGCAGAAGGTATAAGCACATAAGTCTTTATCCGGTTAAATAGTTATTTCAAACTGGCCATGCATGGGGAAAACGCAATATTTGAATATATATACTAGTCATTACCTCTCGCCATAATTAATTCTACTTTCATCCCGATTTGTTAAATTATGATATTGGAAATGCTTGTTCACACTTGAAAATTTTGCACAAATAAAAAATGAATAATTGGGCTGTGTCCTGGCCTGTTTTTTGTCTACAAGAGACGTGCATTTAGAATTATTCTACAAATCAAAATTTATGAATTCGACGATTGTCGTTCCTCGTTTTCCAAAACTGACGTATAAATGTTTCGTGGTAGGATTAGGAAAGGATTCTTTATCACCGGTCATGAAAAATTATTGGCACTGTTGTGGGAATCAAATATAACAGGCATGGTACAACCATAGGTCCTTATCGTTTTATCAAACAAATAGCAATAAACAAATAACACCCTCATTCAAAAAATGCCAGGTTATGTGTTTTCTGCTGTTTGATTCATAAAATGACACTTAACCATGTATGTTTTGTAAAAGGTATAATTCAAAAGCTTTTAACTGTTTGTCCTCTCTGCCTCTCTCTCTCTTACACTATATGTTACCCCTTTTCATGGATTATGTGCAGTTGATGTTTAACATTGGTAAATTCGAGTTGGTAACACTCCATTTAGTGGTTGATCACTCCATTGTTGTGACATTGTTCAGTGAGCATGTTTGTATGTTGTAACATTGTGATATTAATTTAATTTCAAGGTACAATTTATTGATTTTTGTGATTTTTTTACAGTAAATGGTAAAAAAAGGAAACTGAGAACTGCAGATGATGTGAAGAGAGAACTTGTGAAGTGGAAGAAAGAAAAAGAATTGAAGAAAAAACTGGAAAAAGAAAAACAAAAGCTGAAACCCTCTTTCAAAGTTTTTCATATGGCCCATAATGATAATGAATTATACAAGAAGGATAGTAAGAAAGGGAAACAAATTTGTCCTGTTGCAGGATTTGTTTCAACACAGACTAAAACGGTACACCAAATATCAGCATGTTTTCCTTGTCATTTTTTTTCCATGGCACTCTGATAACAAGGTTGGGTTCTGATTTTTCTGATTAGAATTTCATAACAGAAACTCCAAAAACTTTGCCAAACAATGATTACTCAAAAAAGTACTCATAATTATGTTCTATTTCATTATTTGTTATATCTACATTTTTCCAAATACATATTTGTATTGTATTTATTTACACCACTCTTGGACCTTTGAATTACGTATTTATCACACAGGATTATTAGTACTTTACTTTGAACTACTGTAGCAATTAGTCATGGATCTATAATCAAATAAATTAAGATAATGAGATCTTTGAATGGATACCAAAATTGCAAAGTCAGTTGGTAGAATTCAGGAATATCTCTGAAATGCAGAAATCGAAATTCTGTTGGAGATAAATTAAAACTAGCAGTATTGAAAATCCTGAATCAGTGGTATTTATTGAGGAAGTAGATAAGGTAACATGGTCACTATTTATGATATAATATTAACAGATTCAAAGTAACTAATAAGTTTTCATCTTCAACTTCTTTATATTTTCATAATTAGTTGTTAGGGTAGTAGAAGAGTAGAGTAAACTCCTGTCACTAGTATTGGTGCCTTCAGTTATAATGACGTCCCAACCAGTGCCTGTTATTTATCAACTCTCAACCAACTATTTTTTAGTAAGTAAGAATAGAAAATATAGCATGTTAGTATTCATACTGCTGTTGAACACCAACCACCTGGCTCAGGCATTAGGGAGAGTAATGACAACAACTTAAAACTAGAGGTTTATATTAAACACTTGTAATTATCTGATATACTGTATACTAGTTTGATATGGAGACATCTTGTTAATGTTCAGCTGATTTCAAAGTCTGTTGTTTTGTTGTTTCAGAAATCACTGAAACCGGGAATTGTAGAAAGTCGGGTTAGCACCAAAAACACCGCTGTCAAGACAGTAAACAAAAGACCAGAGGTATGTGCACATCATATAAATTCTAATGTATCTGTTGAATACTTGTGATTTGACAAAGTTGGTATGTGAAGTTAAAATCAAACCAATTTGCTCTTATTTTGTTTACATCAACAATAATCTGACCAAGATAATCTTGATCAATAAATAGGCCTTCACGCAAGAGCTTGTTATACACCTTCGTTAATACATCTATCAAAGCTTATGAGGGAGTGAGGTCTGTACTTGAAATCGTAAATGTGCAAGCAAGAGATGCAATAGAACTATGTAATGAATAAATGCTTCACTGACACGTGTTCCTGATTTTGTAGCTTTCTGGAAGCACATTATCAGCCTAAATGAAATTGATTACTAGCCATATCTGTCTGTGTGTTGTGTTATTGCTTATAAGATCAAACAGCACATGCACTCTGTTTAATTTTTTCTTGTTAATTGGACCAATAATGGGTATATATTTCTATCATTGATTTGGTATTCACAAGTTATCAATAGGCAAGCGTGGTTGTTCTCATCAGCTGTTATAAACCAGTGTGTCCTTGAAACTAAACAAGTATTACTTGGTCATGCTATAATCATAAAAACCTATATATATTGTACTGCATTTTTGCCTTGTTTTCAATTGTCAGACTTCTAAATCCAAAAGTACAGCTCCAGCTCCTGTAGTAGGTCGAGTCACCAGGTCACAAACTGCATCTAAAGGAGCCAAAAGTTCTACCATATCATCCAATACATCCAGGCCATCAGCAAAAACGAGGACCTCAGAAAAACAGAAAGCTTCTGGTAATATTTTTTATGTGTTAAGTTCAGCAGAAGGACATGTGATATTTAAATGCTATGTTGGCTGTACATTAGTTCTGTTATGGGTTGATACAAAATTATGCACTTAAAGTAAGGGGAAATTTGTCTTCCAAACATTTTCTGGTTTTTGTGTCAGTAGTGTGACTGATAAAAATCTTCTTTTTGTGTAAGCTAGTGTTTAACATATGTTAATCCAGTGTTAGAAAACAAATATGGCAAGTAATGTTTTTTACTTATTTATTCAATACAATGTATGCTCCATTGAAATGATGTTAGCAATCCTAATCCTGTCACAGCCAGACATGGTTTAGCTGTTAATGTTTATGTTATAGAGAAATTCTTTATGATGTTCATGAAAAATATTTTGTAACAGCTTCCTCCAAACAACCAAATTCTGCCACTGAAAAGAAGACAACAGCAAAGGAGAAACCATCCAACCTGAACTTGGAGAAAGTGTCAACTTTCAGAGGCATCTCGTTTGCCCCAGAAGATTTCACATTCAGTGCTCCATCAAACATCTCCACCTTTGAATTTAAACCTTTGAGTCCTGCCAGTACTGCTCGCTTCCTGTGTCCAGCCACCACATCCTTCATTGGCACTGATCCTAAAAGGTAACTACCATATGACAGTGTCAACTGAATGGATTTATGTTTTATCATACAAATGATAGTTTTATTTGCTATAACTTATGTGTTAATGAAGGCTGTCAATTATAAGGCTTACATTCAGCTAAAGTTTGTTTTTATATACATATGATAATTTAACAAAAGTGCTCATTATAAGGACCAGCAGTGAGCCTTAAACGTGTCCAAGACTACCTTGATCATTATGATCTTGCATTACACAAAGTATGCTTGCAATGACTTATCACTGTAAGGTTTTAAATTTCTGCTAAAATTAGATATTTATCATGCTCCCTAAAATTTTCTTGGGGAGCATATATAGTCAACACTTTGTCCGTGTTCCCTCTTTCTGTGCGGCCTTTGATGTCCACAATTAAGCAAGGATCATGAAACTTGTATACCTTGGTTATACTTAGGTGATGTGCACTGTACTAAATTCAGGACCCTCAATTACAGAGTTATTGACCTTTGTTGAAATTTCTTCTCTGGAGCATATCTTTGCTTGCGTTTAAACTAGGATAAAGAAACTTGTGTGTATACATTGATCATACTAAGACAATTGTGCACTGTACCAAAGTCAGGGCCTACAACCCCTTGATTACAGATTTGTTAAAAATTTCTTGTCCAAGGCATAACTTTGCTTTCATTAAAACTGTTATATTGAAGTTAAGAGTATGCATTGATCATACTATGAAAATGTGCAGTATACCAAATTCAGGACCTGTAAGGTCTAAGTAAAGCGTTATTGCAATTTATACATTTGTTTGTGTCTAGAAAAATAATTTACTTCATCTTAGTCACAATATTTTTGACATTTGGTGCATACATTGGTTTTACTAAGAGGATGTGCATTGCATTCCCTTAATTACAAAGATCTTGCCCTTTATTAGAATTTTGTGTCAAGAGCACAACTTTAAATTGCTTGCATTTGAACTAGGATAATGAAACATGGTGTTTACATTGATCATACAAAGAGGATGTACAATATACAAAATTCAGTGCCTGAAATCCCTTAACCACAGAATTATTGCCCTTCGTAAGAATTTGTTTTCAGGAAGCACTCATCATTTTCACTGTTATTCTTGCATGTGACAACATGATATCCTCTGTTTCAGATGCTCTACACCAAAACCTGATCCATCTCAAGGTAAAACCTTGCACCACCTGGTTTTCCCTGTTACAACATTTGTGACTGGATTTGTGTTTGTACTTAACTGATTTTCCTCCTTTTGCATTCATCAAGTTCAAAACATTTCACAGTTGATAATAGCAGGACTGCTCTATAGAATGATAATTATTCTAGTAAACTCAAATTGAACTAAGCTTACTTCTGTCACATTTTTTATTTTCCTTGTGGATAAAATTGTTTTGATGTGTTAACTTTTTCTTACCTTTTCCTCATAGACTCCAAGCTTTCTGCAGTGGATTGTTCAATTAACCTCGTAGACATTTCCAAAGTCAGCAACAGGCTTACCCAGTCTACTGTTACCAATGTTTCAGAGGTTGAGGACAGTGATTGTATGAGAGAGACATCACAGGATATACTTGCTCAACCACAGGTTAACACAGAGAAACCTACCATGCAGACTGATGTCAGCATTCATCTTGGGGAAACAAGACGTGTAACACGAAGTCTACGACGGTCCATTTTGGGAACTCAGTCTGCTACACCAACAACAGAAGTCTGTGAACAGTCAAGTGGTCAGTATTCTGTCAAGACCTCAGAGGTAGACATGATCGAGGCCCCTGCCAGTGTACAAGAAAGTGACAATGAAGGGATCTCTACTGCCCCAAGAGAACTGACACTGTTGAAGGAATCACTGACTCCACTAAACACACAGAAAGAAGCAAAATCAATACCTAAGAGAATGACAAGAAGTCTGAGGCGCTCATTGTGTTTATCTCCTCCCTCTGAGACCCTAACATCTCCCAAGAAGGTGCTAACGCCGAGAAGCACCCGTGGTAAGTCACAAAGATCTGTGATGGCACCTCCTGATGAGGTCATGGTTGCTAAACCTCTGGATGATGAAGTATTCTCAAATTCACCAACAAAGGAAGACAACACTGACACCAATCAAACACCTGAAAGAAGAAATAACAGACGTACCATGAGTAACTTGGCACCTTTTGCACAACCTAATAGCGACTGTTTGGTGCTGTCAGCATCCCGGAGTAAGAGGAAAAGGAGGAAGACGCAACATGATCGTCCTGTCAACCCAAAAAGTCCAGAAGAATGGTATGATCAGTTTTATTTGGAAACTTCTGTATGCTATTTAAGAAAATTTCGGCAGCAGTGGGCTTCCACTTCAGCAAAGAACTGCATCATCTTATTCAGGAAACTGTAATTATAAAGTTTAATTGTTTATTTGAGGTTATATCAATAAGCTGTTTAAGCCATATTTTTACATTCATCTGGGCCTGAAGAAATTAATTTGGATTTGTTAGTCTTTCAGAGAGTCTAGTGGTTAAAATTTTAGAGTTATTTTTTCCAAGAATACTAGCATGAGACACCACCATCATAAAAGCAAACTTAAATATGAAGCATCAATATTTTAATCAAGAAGCTTGACTGTACCATTCATTAATTCTATGTAAAGTTTGACACCATGTTGATAAACATTTTAAAGTACATTCTTATTCTCAAATTTGAGTTCAGCCAATGAGAAATGATGCTTGTATTTGTAGTTCTCTATATCAAGAATGAGCACATACTTAACAATGCCAGTTAAACAAGGGACAGCTGATGTATCTTTTTTAAGATATCTATATTGTGTTGAACTTAATAAATGACCTTTTTTGTTTTAGGGTCAGCTTGCTGAAAAACAGTCCTATGGTGGAGATGAACAGAAGGAAACCAAAGACCAAAACTATGGGTAATGGTAAAACATAAGCTTTACATAAAACAATGTTCTAAAAGAATTTTGCAGCAGTAAGCTGCATCTGCATATATTGGGAAAACATATTTCATGAAAAAATTTGGAAACACTCAGGACTATTCCAATAAAAACTGTGACGCCATGGCTATAAAATAAATTACTGCTATCAGTGGCTGGGTTTACTAACTATTACCTCTAGGCAAACTAGGCAAATTTAAATGCACAATTGTATTTGTATTGTGTGCGATGTTACACTTGGTTTATGTTTTTGCTGCTGATAACATTCTGTTTATAAACATTTTTGTGATATGATTATGAGAGAATCGACAAAATCCTTTTCAGGTTCTAGGTTAAACTGAAATATAGCTCATTAAACACACCAGACAATTATTGAAGTATGTTGTTAAAAAACATCAATATGATTATAATTTTGATGCATGGATATATTTAAACCATAATGGACGAAGATTTGACATGAGTATTTTAAATACAGAGCCTTTGCTGATGCTAGACCTAGATATGGATTTTGATGGAGACCTTGAGACATCTCAGAAGGCAGTCAATGACAGTACTTCAGAAGTGACTTCAAGTTCTCTAGTTGATGAGCACATACCTCTCAGTTCAGGAGAAATGTCTGATGGCAGTGCTCCAACCACAACAGATCAAGCAATATTGTCTCCTGGAAAAGATCTGACAGATGCTGTGCCATCTGAACAGCTTGCCATATCACAACCAAAAGGTAGTAAACACCGGGTTCCTTTTGAAGGTGCAAACTTGTGAAGGAGTTGTGCAAAACTGTGTCAGTCTTATGTTTCTTCAAAATGTCAATTTCATCGGTGAACAATTTACTGAACTAGGTTTAATACTTCTGTATGCCTATTTATGATTCTAATTCTCTACGTTCAAACAAACATAAATCATTTATTATATAAAACTCAACACTTATATGGGTGTGGCCTTTGACAGTCATCTAGTTTTATTCAGGCAATCTTACAACAAAATTCAATCATATTGAGCCATTCACGAAATCTCCCGATGTCATTTATTCCTCCAGTTTTGGAATTAGTGTGTCACTTCCAGAGCTCCATAATAGTTGTGAAGGTTTGGCTACCTACAGAAAAAATCAACAACAAAAATCAATAGAAAAATTATGTAAATGCCTGAACTGGTTGATTGTCAGGACTCGAATGACCATGCTACACTATAATCTTAATTATTACCCCTATTGACACTGAAGAGATTGATCAGATATTATATTTTATATTCAATGATTTCTCCCTATCCCTGTACAGAGGCAATATCATCGGAACCAGAGGAGCACAATGTGAAGTATTTCCGAAACCTGATGTCTAAGGAAACTGATATTTTCAATGGATATTGTTCAAAGTGGGAAGATATCAACAACGACAATCCAGGTTTAAGTGAAGAAGGTATGATAAACAATTTCAATAATTATGGGACTCATGTATTTTCCGTGTAGGAAATACTGCCTGTAAATCCAAATGTGTATCACTATGGTTATCTGGCATGAATGGTAATATGGAGTTTTAGCCCTTAATTTTGTAACATGATTTAAATCTTCTTGTATGGTCTATGTAGGTTTTCCTGAACAGTAGTTAAATTCACCAATTTTGACAAAGTGATTTATGTCCTTTCAAAGACTTATTGCTTTTGTTCTGTTACACCAGACAGATCATTCTTAGATTTCATTTGAAGATTGTCCTTGGTCCATTGTTGTGCATTTCACATTATGGGATTAATCATATGATCAAAATGGCCAACAAGTGTCCATCTTTGAGTTTGACAATTGGTAATTACTAAATGGAGTATTCTCAGGTCTTTATATGTAGGTTCTTCTTTATCCCTTAGAGAAAAAGAAAAAAGTGGAAAGTTGAAACTTGTAAAAAATGGTGGGCACTAAGATCTCTCTGGAATCTCCTGGTCTTGTATGGTGATAATCTCACTCAGTTTGGTTTTTTTATTAATTTATTAATAGAAACTTGTTTTCAGTGGCATTTTGCTGAGGTAATCATTTCATTTACCTGTACTTAACACTTATGTAATATGCTTTGGTATGTGTATATTGTTTGACTCTTGCGACTCTTGTTTATCTGCAATGCTGTCCTGTTGCAAATTCATCTTGATTCTTCATTATTTCTTATTGTTATTGAACACTGAATACACAAGTATACCTATTACCAAAAAAAGGGATTACATCTTATAGTGTTCTTTCTCATTATTATGAGTTGGACATTAAGACAGGAATGATCTTTTGTTTTGTCATACCAAGTGCAAGGACATAATCATAATAGACTGTTATTTATTGTTGAGTAGAATGTCATATTCATTAGTGAGTGGCTAAGTTTGGTGTTACTGGTATGTTCAGTGGTAACACTGTTTATTGGACAGCTATAATTTTGACTCTGAATGTATTGTATTTCCAGTGGAGGGTCAAATAAGGACCTGTATTGGTCAGGCCCAGCTGTTGATGTCACAGCGCTTCAAGCAGTTCACAGGTCTAGTTGACAACTGTGAATTTAGAACTGGTGAGAAAGAGACAACCCTAACAGACCTCCAGGGTTTCTGGGACATGATCTACTACCAGGTATTGTAATGAATAAACCAAGTTTTAGATGCTTGTCAAAAATTATGGCATTATCCATACTTTTGTCATGAACTTCATTTACAAAGGCGTGGCACCGTACTCTCTAGATGTTCTCTTTGGATTTTTATTCCAGATGGAATGGTTCTAATTAGGTTTGCCCTATTATTGTAGTTTGTGAAAATTTGCATATATGGGACTTTGATCACAAAAATTTAAAGCATGTAGGTTGATCAGTGGGGTGCTGTGCGTTGGGTATGGGTACTGAAAGATATGCAGTAATGATTCCTAACTTGTTACAAAATTAACCTTATTAGGTCATAACCATGCAGTGCTATTTTCATGCTATGTTGACGTATGATACCTTCTGTATGAAAGCTTACATACGGGGTCATTCCTTGGCATTGGTGTGGTTTTACCCATGCCTAATGTTATTGGATAAGATGTCATTGTTTACTGGGTAATATCAATAACTTTATTTACTACAGGTGGAAGATGTCCATACTAAGTTTGCAGACCTGGAAAAGCTGAAGGCTAACAATTGGGTGGATGATAAACCAAAAATCAAGAAAAAAATTATCAAGGTAATCAAGCAGTGTAAAAAGACCTTTGTCATGTTAGATGTTTTTAGAGCTTCCTCAGTACAACATACTAACATACTTCTCTGGAAAACAGATCAAATAATTATTGTTTTTTTATAGTACTGCATTATCATTTAATGACAGTTTTAAACTGTAAATTGGATTACAAGTGACATCACAATATGAACATACTTACACAATTGTTTTTGATGTTTACAAAATGCTTGAAAGTCATCAAGTGAAACAGTTGAGTTTATGTGAGCAGTATTTTTAAGAGCAGTTGATCTAAATGGCAAGAATATAGCTGATGAAGAAATTGTCAAGATGGTTACAAACAAATACGCTGAAAAATTTGTATTTGAATGTTCCCAGTACCAAGGAGATCAATTAATAACATGAAAAAACATGACTTGCATTCAAAAAAACATGTAAATTATCCAATGCGTTCATCTTTTCAAGAATTAAGATCCATAGTTGTTAGATTTTACTTCTGGTCGGACCAAAATTTAACAAAATTTGAAAAATGATTAATAACCCCTACCCACCCACTCATCAGATATGATGAAGGGACATCCATTCTTGTGACACTAGGCTGGTTTTAAGTGTATTGTATCATATTTGCTGTTAATAAAATAACAACAGTTCTGGTCTTTGAACAGTGCTTCACTAATCCATGTCCCTCAAAAGCCTACACGGTTTGAAAGAATGAACACATTCTACAAAGTTGGTTTGGATTACATAAAACGGATTAAGTTTGTCATGTTGCTGAAATTGCTTGTTACATGCAGTGACAGATAATTGGTTAGCATTATAGATGGAACTTTTCATTTTTGTAATTTCTTCCCTAAAAGGTACCTGTGCAGATTACATGGGTACACAAATTATTTAGGTTTTTAAAGTAGATTTGGTATGTTATACAGAAAAAGGTTTCTGCAAAACCGGCTGTGAAACGCCCTCCTGTTGTATCGAAATTTGCTGCCTTCCGTGCCCAAATGAAAAACAAAAAGACTGCGCCAGACATCATTTGCCATGAAGAACCTGTTGTCACTTTTGATGGGGGATTCTTTAAAGTTGCCAGCCCTAAAAAGACTCCAAAGTTCCATTGTGAAGGTATGTCATTTGTAGAAATATTAATGAATTTGCCCATTCTGTAATAGTTCAACCATGTGAAGTCATAGATTTTAAACAAACAATATTTTAAGATATTACTCCTGATCTGGTGCTCATGGTAGTTAAGATTTTTCAATAAGGTGATCACTTCAGTATTTATCACTGATCGTTGATAATATTAATTTCACTGTTTACATCAACTTGAGCCAGATTAAGAAATGCCATCCCATTTCATTGATATTTTTGAGTATTGAGGAGGTAAAAAGCTGGGGAAATGATAGTGAAACCTGTATTAGTGATATGATTCTCAACAATCTTTCTTCTTATTTATCGAGCAATTACATCAAGTACCAAAAAATGCAGAACTAAGAGGAAATCAGCAGATAATACTTTATAATTTTCAGCTGGTTCACCTCAAAGGAACCTTTCAACCACTTCTACAGAAAAAGAGAAAGTCTCAGAATCTAAGAGCACACCTCTTTTGGAAGTTGCTTCTCCTGCTGTTGAAAGTTTAGGACTTACAAGCCTGCGTACACCTAGCAGAAAGTCATATGTGCCAGTGAACCCCAGTCCTTTGTTACGAGACATCACTCCCAAGGTCACAAGTACAAGCAGGCCTGCCCGTCACTCATTATCCAAAAGACTGTGTTCAGGGATGGAAGCTGAAGCAGAAGTTCATAACAAGGAAAATGAGATGGATGATAATTTTAGCAATGACACCGCAGTAAAAAAAGTGGAAATTCCTGTGGTGAAAAATATTTCAACAGCAACTGGAACCCCAAGAGCAAAGGTGACACCAAGGTTTGTATCTGAGGGGATTAGTGTTTTAACTCCACTGTCCCTTCTATATTTGGAAGTCAAAATGTCTGGAGATAAAGTTGCAATATTATTATAGTTACTTGGTATAAAAGTTTTGTTTCTGCTGTAATTTTTTAGCACTGTCCTAGATCAGAGATGCATGTGCCAAGTGGAGAAGTGGTGTTATTATTTAGATTTATACACATTTACAAAGATTGAATTTTTTTTATGACTTCAAGTAAATAATCATATAATTACCACAGACAACTTGAGGAAAAGCCTTTTTTGTTGAATTAAACTAAAATAGATAAATAAAAAAATAATAACAGACAGAAATCCATTATACGTCATAAACTGTCACCTTGATTAGGAAATCATTCATTTGGGTAAGGGTCAGTAACTATGGTGGATCAGGATAAAAACACGGACACATATAACACAAAGTCACTTTTCATGATCATTAATTCATTGATGACTGTTTTACATGTTTGTTTTTAATCTCCTGATGAATGAGAGAATGCCAGACATGGATGCTATGTTTCTGCCAGTGTGAAAAAGTTGTGGTTAGGTTCAGTTTCTCGAAGTATTAAGAGTCACTAAATTTGGTATATGGTAAGATCCTGAAGTGTACTATTCAAATTCGGAAAAAATAGAGATTTAAAAATACAGTTGTCCATTTTTTGGATAAAAAACATGAAATTTTGGTGATTGTGAGAAACTGTGCTCATTGACAATAAATTTTGTATGCCACTTCTATATGTAGTGTATACCCTTAACATGTAAATTAAGTTTTTAGCTTATTCAGTCAGAAAATTATACAATACATATCTTGGATACCAGTATCATTCCACTTTTGTAATGAATTTTTGTTAAGTTAAATTAGATGTCTGTTTTACAACAAGTCTAACTTGGTGTGTTTATTTAATTGAGTTCAGTGTTTGAAATGATTTATTCTTCAGGAGATCTTTGCGATCGAGAAGGTCAATATGTGAGGATTCATCACCTTCATCTGTGGTTCAGGACACAGACAAAAGCAATGATTTCTTCAAATATCTGCAGCCAAGCAATGTTACTGTTTCCAAGGCTCCCTGTGACTCGAGTGCCCTGGACAATGATGATGATGAGGTCTGGGACCTATCCTCTGCTCTTTCTGCAACTGAGACCACTGGTGGGTACTAAAATTATTTCAGAGAAGGAAGCCAAACGGTGACACAAAAGTTATTTTTCTAATAAGATGAATAAAATTGATTTGGCTATCCCAACATTCTAACTCATTGTGATTACTCTTGTCTGTAAGGTAATAGTCACACCTATCAAATTATAGTTTTATAAGAAATGATAATTTATATCTGTGTGATTATCAACTCAACATCAATCTAGATTATTTACTGTTGACTGAGATTTTTTTTCATTTCCAGTCTAATATTTATTCATATGACTGAAGGGAATAAAATTCTTATATTAAGACATTTTTATAAGTTGAGTTCATGTGACTACTGTGAAAACTAATACAATTGATTCTTTTCTAAATAACAAGATTTGAGAAACTTTTAGAACTGCAAGATGATGTGAAAAGTGTAAGATTCAGATATCTGACCATTTGGTAAAGACATTCTCCACACTAGTTGTGATACAATGTTTCAATTTTACAAGCTTACCATTGTTAAATTGTGTGCAATTCAATGATTGTTGTCATTATTTCTTGAAAAGTATTTACAGATTTGCGTCATATCTCACATGTAGACGCTCCTTAGTCCCTTGTTTATAATTAATTTTGAGAATAATCTTTAAAACAATATGATCAACAGGTGGCTATCTTGAATTTTATTATGGTTATATTTTGTTATCAGTGTTTACGGACAAGTACAAGACATATTTTTATATTTCATATGCCAATTCCTCTTTGTCTCAGATCATGTATATTGGAGTTTGTGACTGATTAGAAAACCAACATGACTGAGAAACAGCCATCTTGAAATATTTTGGCCATAGTTTATTTTACTTTTATCACTGTTTCTGAAGAAGTCTTGGATATTTCTTAAACTTACTATAAAGATTTACCTTGGTCCCTAGCCCTGTGTGATCAGCTTTGAGTCTGGCTGAAAAAAGAATAAGGCTGACAAGTGGCCATTTTGTATTTTGGTAATTGAAGTTTTCTGTGCAATTTCTCATTATATACTGTTTGGATTGTGGTGTAGTATAGATTTTAGAACACATTGGGGGAAAAATGATAACTGAAATAAGGGCTGAAATAAATAGGAAAGAATGGAAAAACTTAAATCTATGAAATATCAATTTTAATGTGCCCATACATAAACTTCACAACTGCTTGGTTTATACATTTGAACAGGTGACAGCTATTAACTTTCGGTTTTATTTTCCTTCATCTGCCTCTTTTTGTATTTATAGATAAAGTCATAAAAAATTCCCCAGTTATACCAAAACGACGCACATCCAGTCTTAAACAGTTGCCATCCTCACAACGCCGTCGCTCAACTAGACGCAGTGTGCACTTCTCAGCTTCCCCGGCACAAGAAAATGCAGAAGTGGTAGAGGACGTAATAAGTGGTAAGCTGTAGTTTGGTCCTGGCTCTGCATAAACAGATGAGATACAAGTCTGTACAAGAAAAAGCTGTCAGAATTGACCTGTTCCCTGCCCTCAAACAACAGCAGTTACCACATTTCTGTGGCAATTATCTCACTATTTCAAAATCTTTCAGTCTGCCTGAGTTTCTATCCTAATTTTCTGTCCATATTTGCACCATTTTGCATCTGTTGTTTTGTAATGAACATTGGACACAATTTACTGTAAGTTTTCTTTAATGCATGAATATTCAGACCCTTTGGCTAACAAATAAGAATAACTGTTATTTTCATTGATTTTTTTTTTATTGTTTTGTTTATTCCTGAGTTAACTCCAACCACAATTATTTTTATTGCTCTACGGATGTGTACATCATGTTATTAAAAAAAAAAAAAAAATAGAAATTTGTCAGGGGAGGGGGTTGTTAGTTTTCTCTGTCCTTCATTTATATATTCCCTTCAAATGAAGAGAGACATATTTTTCTTTTCTCTCTCGTTCTTTTAGTTCTTCTGGTTCTGTTGGGTCAGTGTGACCTTGACCTCAAGGTCAAATACCTGTGAATGTTTCCAATTATTTCTTGTCAGGGCCATTACATTTTTACTGTTGAAGATATCATAGATATCATGCTCTGTAGATATGGTTTTTTAACTCATTCAACTTTTTTATTTTGTAATGATTGCTATATCTAGTACAGAGATGTATTTGTCTATACCATAGCAACCAAATCTTAACACCATTGTTAACAGTAACACAATGGCAAATAGATAACTGTAAAAGTTTCTAGCTCTTATTCTAGCGAAACCAACCTGCTTCAAAAGCAGTAAATAAGAATTTGCTAATAAGTGGAGACATGTGCTTTTGCTTTCTAAACAAATTTCTTATTTGAATTATAAACAATGAAACTGGATTTCCTTGTCCATCATTAGAATTGATTCATTTCACATGTAATACAGAAGGGAATTGTGATTTTCATCCTATGAGAATTTATTACACCCCGCACACAATACAAAAGGGATGCGAAGGTCTTCAAAGTTTGTGATAATTCATTACATCACATATGTAATACAGGTGGGAACTGTAGGTTTTCAGTTCTTAAGAATTTATCACACCCATCTAATCATGATATAATAATGCTTCTTTGTAAATGTATAATTGAAAAATGTTGATAATTTATGACATTTTTTTATCATGGAGAAAATACCTGTGTTTGACATACTCATAACTACCTGATAGATAGGCACACCTTTCATTGGAAATTGATGACCATGTTCAATCAAGATTAATGACCAGTTCCCTGAAGTTTCCACTCTGTAAGCAACAAGCTTCAACTTCAAGATCTTGCCACAAATTTTCAATTAGATTTTGGCAAGGATACTGGTGGCCAGTTTAGTGATCTTATTACATTTCCCATACATTGGATATCTCGGTGCACCATCATCATGAAGAAAATTGTCTCGTCAACCTTTGTCCAGTTAAAGTCACTTCTTGGGATTCCTGTCTTTTTTTAGACGGTGGGCAGTTCAGATCAATCTGTATTGACGATCCTTTGTCTCTCATTGCTATGCCTGTTTCTTGCTGTATGGATCTTACTCAGATTCCATGTGAAAGTTATTCCCTTTTGTGCACTTTTGAAATTGAACTGGTCAGAAGAATAAATTTGCTGACAGGCAGCCATCATGGATGTTGACCATGAAAGTTTGTTATCACCATTCCTTGAAAAACAGAATGAGCCTTTCCCAAATTTCACCTGTGGGCTCCTCTTGGTCCCTAGAAGTGCCCTTTTGTGTTTCTTGTTTTAGTATTCTTTCGTTGTTTCAGTTATGTTTGTTGTTTCATTTATGTGTTTGTTGTCTCAATAGTGTATTTGTTATTTCAGTGCCTGATCGAGTCGGTGATGATATGTTAATCTTCACACCACCAGGACAGCAGTCTTTAATGCATCTTGGAGATGATAGCTACCTTAATCAAAATGCTGGGGCTACTCCTGCCTGTCGAAATGCGGTGAGTATGCACATAACATTTATTAGGGGATATTGAATTTTGTGTGATTAAAAAATCTATCAAATGTTTTATTACATTAGACGATTGATTTATCTGAAAGATGCTGATATAGCTGAATTTTGATATAAATAATTTCTGTTTTTATGCATTGATCATAAGCAGGTAATTCTTTGTTGTCTTTTATCCATAAAGCTCCAGCAATTTGACAGGTGTGATGATCTTGTTTAATACAGCTGTATATTGGTATATAATCTGGAGTAATGCAATGTATATTGTACATTTCAGCGACCAAGTTTGCTATTTACGCCTCCCAAGGACAGCTCTACAGTGACTGCCAACACAACTACGCACACAGAGATACCCACAGACATTCTCATTTCATTCACACCCTGAATGTAGTTCATAAAGACACAATCTGCCTTTCCTTGGCATGTGGCAACAACGTTTTAACACAAGCATTTAATTCTAGTAAATTCTTGCCTGCTTCATAAACTGTGATACTTAAAGGCATGGCAACAATTTTGTTTGATCGTCTTACAGGATGTTAGCATTGACACCGTTTCTTACTGATGGTTACACTAGCATCAAAAATGTTTCTTCTGTACACTATCATTGAAAACTTTGATCTGTATACTCTTCTTGTATTAGTACTTACTATGTCTATCAGTATAATGATCTTAATTCTTTACATTCTTTTCTGTCTTTCATGCTTCATATTAGTTTTGAAAGGGATCAGCTCATACAATAAATTACAGTGCTGTCAAAAAAACCTCATACTTACATTATATAAACTTTGGTACACTAATATAGATAAAATTGCATCAATGTAATGGCTAATGACTGACAAAATCCCATATAGGGCATATAGTAATATCATTTTTTTTCTTCTCATTATTTTGCTTGTATCTGTCTGTTAAGAGATTGATATAAGTTTTATATTGTTTTGACTGCCAGTCTTATTCATTTTATTAATTTCTGCATTGAGATCCTCTCTGAAGAATGTGATTTGACATGTGGATATTTTCATCTAGAAGATTTGTCATGATAGTTCATAATGTTTCATTTTGTTACTTGCTCTTCAGATTGCAAAAACTGCATATCAGAAAAGACACTGTTGATAAAAATGTGTTACTCCAACTTTAGTTGATGATTTTAGACTTGTAAACATTGTAATTTTTTGAAGTAATGATGAACTAAAGCTGTTTTAATATGTTTTACATTGTGTACAGTGAATGTGTTAGCATTTATGTAGTTGATATATTGAAATTGTAGACAGGATATCATTCAAGTTTTATACATTCATTTGAAACCCCATAAGGGTGCACACTCGAGTAGAGATACACAGGAACTATCAACAAATTTTAAGTTAATTCTTTGTAAAGATGTACTTTTATTGTCAAGATATTTGAGAAATCAGGGTGTGTGCCATTGTAAGGAAAATGCTGTGGATGTTTTTTGGATGGTTTCATCACAGGTCAGTTTGTCATGCACTGATCAAATAATCACAATCACCTTATTGATAAAAAATAAAACAAAAAAAACCCACTTTTGCTGTTTTCCTTAAAGTAAGTTTCCACATACTGAATGTGGGTATTTTGAAGAGAGAAAAAACCCATTGTTTTTGTATGGAGTATTTCAAAAACTTAATTTTGATGACAAGTCTTCTATCTCTAGACATGTTAACTATTAAAATTCATTTTCAAAGTGACTGCTTCCTTTCAAGAAAACAGCTTTCTTTTTTTTCATGTATTGATTTTGTTTATATTAGTCTCCTAGGTACCTGTTGAGCTATGATTAGGTTTGATAGATGAATGGATTATATGTATAATTTGATGCAGCATTTAACATTGTATTGAACTATTGGTTGGGTTCTACATTGATAAAATCAAAGACTGAAGTATTTTCATTTTGTATAACAAAAAATAAAAAAAAAATGAGATATTAAAACACATCCTTCTTTAAAAAAATACTGTGTTGATTTATTAATATCAGATACCTTCAAAATCTGTATACAAACTACATAATGTAGTCAACTTAACATTCTGTATCTTCTGTTGGTGGTGTTATAAGAACACCGATTCTAGATTTGGTTCTTATTTGCCTCATAGTATCCTTACATTGCATTTGTCATTGGCCAAGGTTTAAAGGTCAAAGTTCACCCTTGGTAACTTCATACATAATACATGTATTGACGCATGTGGAAGCATTCATGTGTTACAGACATTTTCTAGTTTTGTCATACCAACATATTGTGCAGAAATTATGTATATTTTTTTTATTGTAAAAAGTCACAAATCAAGCTTCAGTTCCTTATTACCACTTTTTACAGAGTTATGGCACTTTGTACAAAGAAATTTTATAAGAGTTCTATTTCTTTCCTCTGCAAAACATGTTTGCAAGGGATATTAAATTGGGCTCCATCTGTCCATCCAATCAAGGTCATTTTCCAGACCAGTACTCTGAAACTATTTAAGATAATTACTCAAAACTTTGTATAATTATCAAGCTCTTTTGGAGTGTGAATATATTTCACCCCTTTCTCGGACCCCATCGGCTGTCAAGCTTATCACTGTACCATCTGATTGAGTGAAAGGAAGGGTAGTAACTCTGGGATATCAGAATGACTTTGAAAGTTGTTTGTAAGACAACGTTACAGTACACAAGTGAATATGTCTTGTACCTTTCAATACAAATTTACAATCAAATACAGTGCAGTATTGTCAGTAGAGCCAAATGATCTCATCTTTATTTCGGGCATGTTTAGCACTATATCCCACGTAGACTTCCTCCTCAAGTATCAGCATCCAGTTCCTTATATTTATCTAGATTTAGGATTTTTCATTTTAAAATTTGGCGGTTGGATCGACAAGAGTCAATGAACTCTTTTATTTTGAGGTAAGAAAGTAATATAGACAAAAATGAAAATCGGCAAGATTGTGTCAAACATTAAGTTAATAGAAATTACATGTCAGGAAGTCATAAATAGTATTCGAGACGACGTGCATAAACACAAATTACTCATTTTTAAAAACCAGGGCATTGTCAGTGGTGACAAGCACGTTGAAATCAGTAAATGGTTTGGAGAGTTGGAGTCGACGTTTTACAAACATCCAAAATCTCCTCATCCCGACGTTTTCCGAGTATCGAACGATGAATCGGAAGGCTGTACACGAGTGGGACGCACTGGTTGGCACATCGATGGCAGCTTCATGAATAAGCCATTCTCATATTCCATCTATCATATGGTATCCATACCTAAACGCGGAGATACGGGTAAGCTAACGCACTGGCACATCGATGGCAGCTTCCTATTGATATTGCACTCGTCTAAAGGCAAATAATTCTATATTACATTGACAATCAAGTATGATCGTCTATTTGTAACCTTTTTATGTTCAAACACTTTTCTCTATTAGTCCATCGCCAGAGTGTTGTGTTTCGCGTTGTGTCCGTCCATCCTTCTGTTCTTCAACTATCTTGTTCGTGCCTTGTCCAAAACTAATCACAGGAATTTACTACTTGTGATATGGGAGTTGGTGTGTCAACGTATATTTGTTCAGGTTGGAAATGTCAGCAGAATAAAATTCTTATAACGCAACCAGTAGAAGATGAGAGTATGACGTCTCGATGACCACATGGTCACCTTCATCAGATCACTTTGACCTACATTATGACCTTTGATCTACATCAAAGGAAAAGTTTGTCTGGGCACTACCTCCAACAGTTCTATTTATGGAAACTTAATACTTAGGATATGGGTTCGCTTTGAGTCATGTATCAAAAGTAAATCATTGTGACCTACATTTTGACCTTCAACCTATTAAAAAGAAAAAGGTTGTTCAGGTTCAATTTCCAGCGCTCCTAGTAACTGATACTGCATACTTGAGGGTATTGGTTCACCTTGGTGAGATGGTGTGGTGATGGGGATTATTATCAGCTGAATTGTCTGTTTATTGTAGATTATGAGACATTTAAGTTAGATTAACTTTTCTTCATTACTCCTGTCGGCTGGAATAAAATTGCACTGCCTTGGACTTTTTATGGGAAGAAACTGTGACATGCAAAGAAGACGCATGTGGTCAGGCAAGTGATTCAGGTTGTAACAGGGAATTGAACCATAATCATTCAGTTGCAAGATGAGTACAGTATTCTCTTTGCCAGTCGCATTGACCTCCCAATCAACATGATGAAGGTAGTTGGCAAAGTGTTGATTTACAATAAGACCGGTCTGTCCACAGGTGTCTGAGTGTCCGTCTTTTAACACCACACTAGTGTGCATTTCTACTACCGTTGAATTGTTTCTTTTTGTAGCTTTTGTTTCGCTGTCTGACTTGATTGAGAGTTTATCACCAGAGAAACGTGCTCTTTGGGAGAGATTGTGGATGATTAGTGACCTCAGAGAAAAGGCTTCCAAACCTCTCATTTACTCCCACCCTGTTACCAGAGCTCCAGTAAGTTAACAAGTTCATTCATCAGGGATAGAGTGAGATCTAAGCAGTTTTGAAAACTCCCATTCAGTAACCTCTCATTTACTCCCACCCTGTTACCAGAGCTCCAGTAAGTTAACAAGTTCATTCATCAGGGATAGAGTGAGATCTAAGCAGTTTTGAAAACTCCCATTCGGTAACCTCTCATTACTCCCACTCAGTAACCTGTCTTTACTTCCATAAAGTATCATAATTTGTTGCTGAATAAAGTATAAATTTGTTTGTTCTGGTTCACGAGTGTCAAATTTGTTAAAATACTGTAATGACCTCCTCTGGCTGATCACAAAAATTAATGCAGATTTGTCTATTAGGAAGTGGTAAAAATCTTTACTTGCAGAATTGTGATATGAAACATGGAATTTCTGTTCAAAGTTCAATAACCTGATATTAATTTCATTGGAGTTTTCCAGAATATCATCCATCATTTATAGTTGGATTCTATTTCACTTTGCAAGTTTTTTGAAGTTGACTTCAATAAATTTGATATTGACCCACTTTGTATTGAATACCAGGTAAGTGATGCAGGCCCATTGAGTCTTTTGTTTTAATTGAAACAGTAACACCATACAGCAATGATATAAGTTGAAAGTTTAAGATTTAATAGACCAATGTAGTTATATGAAGTTAAAAATTTTTAGTCAGATATTCATCGCTTGACCAAGTACTAAGTTTATTCTGTATTATTTGTGAGGTTTCAGCTGTGACACACTATCTTTGGTTGTAGACATTATGTTTCCATCTTGGTATGACTGAGGGGTTTGTTATGGACAAAGGTACAAAAGAAGAACGACTCACCACTGACATGGAGACAATAAGGATTCTTAAGGACATACATCAGGAAATTGTCAAAGATGATCGACGTCTCATTTATTCCCACAAGGTTAGTCAGCATGGTTGTGTCCACGCAAGAGTCCTCTCTGCTTCTGAACATATGTTTATTGGTCATACATACACAAGAAACACAATATACATTGTGGTAATATCCTTACAAAATTCTTCCTAAGTGTTAAGTCAGATCACCTTTAGTGTTCCAGAGAAGGTCCCATCCTCCAAAAAGTCATTAACCATGTCTCCTCTTTTAGTGAAGGGAGAGAGAAATACTGTTTTATTACTGGACTTCTGGATCTTCTAATTTCTATTTGAAGACAATACATTTTAAACTGTTAAAGCCAATGTGCAGTGCACTGCAGTTATGTCACAGTTATTTTGACCTCTAGATTAAAGGTCAAATAAGTGTGAATTTTTCTATGACATCTTTTCTGGGTGAAAACATTTAAGTTGTTGAAGATGTCTCACTGAAACTTGCTGTTCAATTCAATCATCCAAAGTTGATGTCAACTACTATGCTGTTAGGTCACCGTGACCTTAATTTCAAGATTAAAGCATGACCCAACTTGGAACCCTGTCAATCTCATTGTCAATTTTGTCTTCCCTTTGAATGAGGAAAGAAAATTTGTTTTACAGGTTCCTTATTATGATTATTTTGATCATTTCTTGTCCAGGCCATTGAACATATCTTAACAAAACTTTATATTTGAATTACCAAAAGCTGATGTGCAATGCACTGCCATGGGGTCACTTGACCTCATTATTAAAGGTCAAATAAGTGCAATTTTTTCCAATAATTTCTTGTCAGGTGTTATTAAGATATCATCACAAAAGTTGCTGTATATCATCACCACTCAATTATATCTTGTCTTGGTGATTACTTTTAAGCTGCTGAAGATTTCTTTATGAAAGTTACTGTACACCTTTATCACTTGCTGACAAAGTGCAGTGCTTTGGTTACTCTGCTTTGAATATCAAAATTACCAACATTGTTATCAGTTTATAAATAGCAACAGTTAAATTAATATTTTTCTTCATTTTCATTCTTGCACACACAACCTATTACAAAAACAGTATATATACATATTTGCTACTTGTAGTAAGGAAGATATATGTTTTTGTTTCCTAAAACAAACCTCTTATTTCACATCCAAAGTTATTTCTTAAGTAGATAAACAACTGTCATTTTTATGACAAATCTTTGCATTGATTATGCACATATTAAATTCATTTTGCTGTATTAAGGATATTTTTACAGTTATTTATACATACTTTCCAGTGGGAGGAGGGAGATTTCATCATCTCTGACAACTTGGCTGTAGGACATGAGGCAACACCAGAGACACAGTACCCCGTGTCTCAGGTGGGACTTCGAATACTTCATCGGACCACAGTTAAAGGCACCACATTTCCCTCTAAATCCTGACAGGAACCAGTGTGATCAATGACTGGAACTTTATTTGTGTTGGCAATCACTTGAATTGAGCCTTTTCTTCTAGTTCTCTAAAAGACCAAGATGAGAGGGAATGTTCTGTGTTATGGTACTGCATGTAGCATTGATGGAATCCATCACATATTTATTTTAATTCTATAAAAAAATTTTTTATCAGAAATGGAAATGCAGATTAGCTTTTGTAAAATCTTAGTAAAAATGGTAAATTTTTCATTTTCAATGTTTAGCCCACCATCATCAGTAGATGGTAGCTTGTACCATTTAGACAAATTGCCATGGTCTGTCATCCATTCTTACACAATATTTCTCATTGCTATTCCTTGAGAAGCACAGGACAGATCTTTTTCAAATTCCACTTGGGTGTTCACCATGGTCAGAAGTGGTTTCAGCTTAATCTGATCATGACTCTATAGATGCTTAGTGCTTTTCCTTGAAAAGGACAGAATTAATCTGTTTACAAATTTTGTGTACGTCCCTTGTTGTGTCACATGCTTGACATATCTATAACATTCATTCATGCTTTTAAACTATACATTATTTTATTTACCGTTGTAATTAAGAGATGTAAAGAGACAATGTCAATCAAAATACATGACCATAGATCAAGGTCATGGACACATGTCAGAAAATATTTCCCAAAAAGACGACAGATTTGGAGATTAATTCCTGCATGGTTCTCAGAGCCATGTGTTTGATTTTGAATATTTAGCAAATTCATAATTGAATTAATTTATATTGTTGGAAAGATCCAGTGATATTGTTGTAATTGAAAATATATACCATAGGTGTCATGGTATTTGTGATTTTCTTCTATGTAAAAATATGTATCAGTGTGTTACTAATGTGATCAGTGCTGTTTATAGTGTATACATGCTGTTGATAAAATGTTTTTTTCTATCTATTGTTCGTGTTATGTATAATCTTGTGTATCATTGGAAGAGAGGTAACAGGTACTGGAATGGAGATCACATAGAATGAGGTGCCTTTGTTTATTTCCTACTTAAATGCCTTTTCTTTCTTTCATCTTTCACCAGGGTCAATTTTTGCCTTTATACAACTAATTTTAACAACATTTTGCAATTAAAAGACCTCTTACATTATTTTGGGCAAGTAGCCTGCTGGAATATAGGAATTACAAGTGTTGTTTCATTAAATAATGTTAATCTGTTTTTTGTGGACACAAAGGTCAGATGGTTAAACCTTTATGGGACTTTATTACATACTCTGATGAAGGTCAAATTTAGTTGGGATAATGTTGTAAAAATAATTTGATCTAACTTCTAACTCAGAAAAGATTCCAGGGTCACAATATTTGACCAGTGTTTTGCAGAGGTGAAGGGCTTATCAAATCTGTTAAAATGAATTGCCTTGATCCACTTTAGAGATTAAACCAGTTAAGCATAGTACAATTAAATAACCACTATGCCCAAGGTCACGAAATTGGGCCACAATATCCAGGATATTGGTGTTAGTTGAGTGGTGAAGGATCTAACTGCATTTTCGAGGTTAAAGGGAGTTAACATTGTAGAACCTTTAAGCAGTTTTTAACTGTACATTGCTGCTGATTTGAAAATCTATAATTCACTAGACTACTTGGGCAAACTTTTGAAAATAGTTGTAATCGTCCAATACTTGTAAAGTTAAGAGCAGTAAAATCTTCAGATCAAAGTTCTATTGGTAATTTGCAGTTATTATATACATGCAGTCTCCTGTTCAAAGTATGTGTATTTTTTGTTTTGTTTTTCTCTCGTCTTATAGCATCTCCCTATTTCATAAATGGCCATCAAATATTTTATATGACCTGTTGTTTATTATTGAAACAAAAAATAGGTCAAACCACCATGAAATGTATGAGGATATCATTTATCTTCTATGCTCAGAAAGTGCTACCTGACTGATGCCCATCTCTTGTGCTTTATACACTGTTGCTGTCTGGTGACTTATTATGGTTTCCAGTTTTCTATTCCATCCTACATACACAAGGTGTGGAGAGTTACTATATAAGTCAGTTTTTATGTCTGATTTTTATACCTGGGCTAACTCTGGTCCCTAGTTGTGCAGAATAAACTCAAGAAACTGATCTGAAAAACAAATTGGCATCAGTCATCTCGGATTTTGAAGTAAAAGTTTATTGTCGGTTCTTAAATGGTGCACCGAACAGATCCTTCTCAAAATTGTTAGTGTTGTAATCAAAGTTGTAAAAACCAGATGGCCAATTGGCAACCATCTTGGATAAATTGGTTTTAATGAAATTTTTTTGATAGAGATAAATGACCCATGTTTACAAGGATTTTCTGGACAGTGATCAAGTGTCCATGTTCCAATAATTGTAAACTTCACTTACTTGAATCAATAAATAACAAACACTTGTAACTCAGTCCATAATTTTACTTGTACAAACTGAAGACACTGTATGACTTGTGGACAATATCTGGTATGGTACAGACCACACAGCTAGTGTACACCAGTGATACTTAATAACCACACACTGGTGCTGACTGTCAATACATCGACACACAGAGAGCTTGCTGTCAATACACAACACACAGAGAGCTGACTGTCCATACACCAACACACAAACAGCCCACTGTTAATACACTGACACAGCAAACCTGCTGTCAATACACCTACACGCAGAGAACCCACTGTCTATACACTGGCACAGCTAGCTGTCAATACACAAAAACACAGCAAGCTGGCTGTCAATACATCAACACACAACGAGCATGCTATCAATACAATGACACACACCAGCTGGATGTCGATATACTGACGCGCAGCAAGCTGATTGTCAATACACCGACACACAGCAAGCTGGATGTCAATATACAGATGCGCCACAAGCATGCTGTCAATGCACAGACACACAACGAGCATGCTGTCAATACACGGACACACAGCAAGCTGGCTGTCAATACACTGACACACAACGAGCATGCTGTCAATACACTGACACACAGCAAGCTGGATATCAATATACTGATGTGCAGCAAGCACGCTGTCAATACACTGACACACAACGAGCATGCTGTCAATACACTGACACATAGTGAGCTGGATGTCGATATACTGATGCGCAGCAAGCTGGCTGTCAATACACTGACACACAACGAGCTGACTGTCAATATATCAATACATTGACAGCTGCATGGCTGTCCATAATATGACAAATGGAGAGCTGGCTTTCAACAACAATACGCTGAAAATTGGGCCCACATTTTCAAACATTTATCTCCCTTGCAGAAAGAGTAAAAATCAAACCATTCTGATGTTGGCACATTACTTGCACAACTTTAATCTACATTTAATCCAGGATATATTTGGCAGTACATTTTCATTTTACACTGAAGGTTAAAAGCTCTGTGATGATTTCATATCAAACAAAACATGGGTACATGCATTTTGAACAAAAAAGTCTTGTCCCCAGTTAACTACACTATATATCAAAACTCACCTTTAAATAAACGAAAAAAACCCATCATTATCAAAGCTAATCAATCTTCGTATTTTAATGAAATGTAGGGCACTTACAATAAGTGCAAATTATTATTAATAGAAATAGGAATCGATTCAAACATCATGTTTTGCAACATCATAAAATTTGTTTCTGTGAATGAATCAACAGAAGACTTGGTGCAAGACCAAGCACTGTTTTGACAATATGTGATAAACCTCAATACAAAGGTTGAAATAAATTCAGCTTTTGACAATTAGGTCATTTTATACAAAGTGTTAATAATGTTGTTCATATGTCTGTGCATACATATCAGTATAACAGTTACACCAAGTCATTGCTACATTGTTAGGACATTATATGAAATACCTAAGTTTTACAAGGTCTAATGACCAGCAAATTCACATAAACTTTAAAAATAAACAAATGAATTTTGTACTAAGTACAGGTAAAAACTTAATTAAAAAATATTGAAGTTAAAAAAAATGGTTTGTTGTGGAGATTGTATTACTACAAATGGGTACAATTGGCACAACTCTATCTGGACTAGTGAACAGGGAAGGCTGGAGGTAGGTAGTACATCAGTTACTACGGTAACAAGACTCGACAATGTTATATCATCAAACATCTGGGGGATTCAGATGTTACTGACCTTGTACTTACTTAAATCATCAGTATGTTATGTACATTTTATAATGATTTTCTTTTTAATCAAATTAAAAATGAGTATTACTCAGGCTTATCAGAATTCAAAAGGAACACTAATTAAAACTTTCATCATGATTATACCCTGTAGACAATTTAACATTCAATTTATACCAAATTCATAAAATAAAAAAACCCAGCTGGAATCAACATATATCATAAATTAGAATACTGAAAATTCTGTTGTCAAACAAGATCTGACAGAGAAGCAACACGTCATTGACTACACCTTATGTAGAACGTGCAATGAATTTTGCAGCTCTACACATCGGTGTTAAGTGAGACATCAGTGTTGATAAGCTTCCTGGTGATCTACTTTGTATTGTAATGTACAAAGGCACATCAATTACAGTGCTAAATGAGCTGCTACTTCACTACCGGAGCCTCAGATATGGGAATGAACATAAATATCAATACATGCAACAAAGTATAAAATGACATCTGCCACTAATCATTGTTACCATGGTAACAAGTCATGCAGTGACAGCACAGACATAAGACTGTAGCATTCATATATGCATTAACAAAATCCAACCAGGGAATGACCTAAAGTATAAAAAATATCCCAATCAATCAGATATATAAAAAAAATGTCTATCTCAAATACAAAACTCAATAATATGATGAAATCTAGCACCAAGACCACATACAACATCAGTTCCTGATTTTATCAACAAGTGTATGTCCTATGTAGTATTGAGAATAAAGGGGGTTAAACAAGCTGTACTACATAAAATTTCCTTATTCCTAACATGAACACGTTGAGGGGTAATGTACCGATCTACAGGGCTTTACTGACCACAGTCATTGATTTTGGGTATAAACAATACTTACAGTTGGAATTTCATGTACAATACATATTACTGAAGTTTAATTATGTATATATATTTGGGAGACCATAGTGTGTACCTCTCTTTAACCAAATGTTAATAATCTTTTTAAAAATAATAATAATGAAATTGATTTAAATCTGTTACAAAACTTAAGAAATACTTTAATATATATTTCAGATAACAATTAACTGTTGACTTTTTTTCTGAGAGACCTAATAGGTCACAATACACCAATACCTGTATAGTTTACCTGATGTTTCATAACAAACTACAATAAAAAAACTTCCAATAAAATTGAATAGTACATCTATTTAATACTGAAATTGTACATTTGCCTTCCAAAAAGTTGTTTTCTGTAGCGAAACATATCAAAGGGAGAAAATCCTACAGCAAATATCAAAACCGACCTTAGTTGGTTAAAAAATTATAAATATTTAATAATATGTATATAATGACATGCATAAAAGATACTTAAAAGAGCTTGTGATAATAAAGAGTTGGAATACAGTTTTCCTACAGGAAGGTGCTAGAATAATACTTAACATTCTTAAAGACTCATTAACATGGATACAATAAATTGTGTTCTAAAGGAAATAAATATGAGATTCAACATCTGAAAATAATATTGTCATGTATTTCAGTGCAGAATTATAAAAGGGATCAACGACTGATATAATATTCCTGTGTATGATCATTTGTTCAGAAGTGTGGTAGGTATATATATATTGCGTTCAATGCCTGGTATTTAATAGTGTTGTATACTGATCATATACATTTTACTTACAAAATGATTGTATAATCTTCTTCCTGTTTCTTTGTATGAAGCTTCATATAATAAGTTATATTGTATAACAGACAATACATTGTTTTAGAAAACCTTTGTCACAAAGTTTCAGTCAGACTCCTTCCTATGCGATTATATGCTTCCTTACTCTACTCAAGACAGTTTCCTGTTGGTACTAGTTAACGTCAAGTCGATAAAACTTCATAATAATATGATGAAAGTTAACATCCAGTTAATAAAAAATTAATATCTGAGTGATGTACGCTAATACTGCACCCAGTTGCTGAAAGCTTACATCCAGTGATTAACAGTTAGTACATGTACCGTTATATCAAATTTAATATCAACTTTATTACAATTAATCTCCAGCATATTAAAGTTAACATTCAGTAATATTTAATATATTAAAGTTGATATCCAACATTATCAAATTTAAAAGCCAGTACATTCAAGTTAATATCTAGTATATTTAAGTTGATATCTTAGTATATTTAAGTTGATATCTAGTATATTTAAGTGGATATCTAGTATGTTAAAGTTGATATCTAGTATATTTAAGTTGATATCTAGTATGTTAAAGTTGATATCTAGTATATTTATGTTGATATCTAGTATATTTATGTTGATGTCTAGTATATTTATGTTGATATCTAGTACATTAAAGTTGATATCTAGCATATATGAGAGTTAGATCTTTCAGGAAATGACTAGATAGAAAATGTTACAAATCTTAGAACAATGGGCTATTTCATCGCAATTTTTGCCTTATTTATACAACCTTGTTTTTTAAGAGAGAACAAATTTTACCAGCTGTCTCACCTTGTATAGTTTGTATTACCCAGGTACCTGTCTTACATATCAAATGGTCTGTAGGAAGTCCTAACTGATATATATATTTACTGTATCAAAACATTCATCATGGTTAAGGTAATGTTAAGTTCCAAGTCACAATGATTTTGCTTCCTTTTGAACTATCATTTAAACTATCAGTACTGAACACATTGAACAATATTGGCATAATGTAAATCAACTACGGCAAGACAGACGACTAGAGGTATAACACTCTAACTTGAATCTCTTTATACAAAACAAATCTCTTTCTGGCAAGAAACACTAATATATAGATGACAACATAAAGATTGCACCTTCAAAACGTAAGCAAATTTTTCAAAAATATCATGTTAAGTTAATATCACTTAAAATCATCTTTCTGGCATATACATAAAATGAATACTCATTTCAGCACCTTTAAAACATATAACAATCACTTAAAACACACTTAACAATCGAACAAGTCCACTCAGCAGACATGCTCCTTTCTCATTAAGCCACAATTAAATGTGACTGTGCACTGACCCAGACAATCTCCCTTCTCACCAAGTCAAAAATAAAGTTACCGCACAGAATCAATGTAGCAATAGAAACAGACTTCACTTCAAAGCACTCACTTAAGTTAACATCTATGGAAAAGAACAGGAATGGTGTGAAAGTTTTATACTGGTCAAGATTTAAATGAATGATGATACAATTTAAGCAGACATCTTAAATTTTGGCAACTTATAATTGTGGCGTTGAAAGATAAATAAAATAACTAACTAAACAGCCAGATCATGCTCACTTTACAGAATATACATTGTTGATTGTTTTAGTTTTGAAAATGGCTGCTCAGAATTGAGTCTGTCTGATATAATAGCCATAGAATGGCATTTAATTCCAAGGAATACTTAAAATTTTTTCTTTAGATGTTAAAAAAGTTTATATATGGTTCTTAATAGATATTAAGAGCTGTACTCGGAAATGACAAATTACCCTGACAAGGTGTTGCACATCACTAACAGAGAAATGTCACATTACATCTGACAATCCACATCCATAAATCCAGTGATAGTCTAATTCGCTGAAGGCATGATCATAGCCACCAACAAAGTTGCCATGGTGATCAGAACAGTCACAGACAATGTTGCCATGGTGATCAGAACAGTCACAGACAGAGTTGTCATGATGATCAATAAAGTTGCAGATAATGTTGCCATGGTGATCAGAATAGTCACAGACAATTCTGCCTTGGTGATCAGTACAGTCTCTGAAAATGCTACTGTGGTTTTACTGCATTATGTAGACCTATAATTAGATTTAATGGTTATGAGTAAAGAATCTCTGTCCTTGTATCGTCATGAGGATGGCTTGCTGACGAAGGTGCACGGTTTCCTTTCAATCATAATCTGCGTTTGTTTGGAAGCATCCTACAACCTATAATCATTAACTGAAGCATGGTTTTGCATGAAGTGAATCAAAACTTATTTCCCTTGTGCTACACTGTTTGTTTTGTATGGAGTTCTTCAACGATACCACCCCAGCGGAGCCGGAAACGTTTTGTCCTCCAGACAATGGTTGAGTCCCAATGAGAGCGAATTATCACACACAAATAGGTACACTCATTTATTATCCATCCAACCAGGAATTCAAATTTGGAGAAAGGAAGTGGTCCTCCCTGAAATGAAAAGGACAAGTTTTTATCTTCAGATCTAGGAATATTTTTTTCAATATGGACATCAAACACTTGACAAGTTGGATTTCTTATAATAATCACATGGACATAGATTACAAAACAATCCCTTTCCTAGGACAAAGTGAAATAAACATTGAATCAAAATACAAGAAGAATTATGAAGCTATTCAGGAAAAAACAACTTCATGACATGGTCATAAGGCATATTAAGTTTAAAGATAGGTGAATAGCTCACAGGAAGAGATAGATCTTGACGAAAATAATATGACAGAAAAAAATAAAAACATAGCCACAACATATTAAAGAAGATTTCTTGACAGGGTACGATTAAAACATATCCTCTCAAAACCGTTTGACAGGCATTTACAAAGATAAATTTTGGCAAAAAATCAATCACTAAATCAGTCTTACTTACCTCTAAAATCTTGATGAGAATGTAGTCTAGGAGAAACCAAATCAAACAGTGCACTAAAAAGATGACAGAAGCTGTCCAGTTGAAAAGATAGGCCATGGATAAAGCATTGATGACACCCAACACTAGACACTGAGATACCGGCTCCCAGAATATCAGTGAAGGGACCATGGCTGTTCGCAGCTTAGCCCATCTACAACACACAAATTGTACAGCTGAATTTCCACTAACAGCCAAACACAAATAGTACAGCTGAATTTCCACTAACAGTCACACACATAGCAGAACTTCATCATCCAACAGCTACACAGAAATCATACAGCTGAATTTCAACTGAGTCATACACAAATAGTACAGCAAAACTGCCACTAATGACACACAAAAAGTACGACTGAACTTCCAGTAACCCTATAACAGTTTCACAGAATATTGGGACTTGACCTCAGGAAGTTTTGCTTACAGATATTCCAATATAAAGGTAACTGCAATGTTCAGTAGTTCAACTTTCATTCCAACAAGTTTAACACAGAAGACTTGAGATAGAGGCAAATGCTGCTTTCTATTAGTGAAACAAATACTGTATTAATATATTCTTTTTATAAATATCAGAATATCTAAGCAGAACATATGCTTACCTTGTCAATCGGTTATATAAGTATGGCATTGAATATGTTCCTGAATTCTGTTTTGCTGTTTGGTGTGAAATTCTAATTTTCCATCCCCTGAAAAAGAGAGAGGATGTGATGTACATCATGGTTTTATCATTTATTTCATTTTCTATCTACTTCAGTCAAAATGCCTCAGGGGAAAACAGTGCTGCATGTTTTACTGATGATTTGTACAGATCAGTCAGAAACTGATGGAAATGCTGAAAAATGGAAAGGGCAATAACTCTTCCAAAAATGATTGAATTTAAATACTGTTTATCACAGTTAAAAAGTTTATACACACCAAGAGACAGCATCTTTTAATGCAAATTCTGAATTATATACAACTGAGCCAAAAACTAACTAAACTACATCGTACAGCTGTTTCATCCTTCTTGGACTCGTCTGTGATACCTAAGGGCTTAAATTTTGAACCCTCGGAGGCAACTAACAAAAATCCAAAGTGATCGAAAGAAAATTCTAGATGGGAAGGTGCACTAGCCTAATAAATCAATGAATTTGGTAGTTTTCATATATCTGTTACACGAGTATATTCTGAACCATGCCAAAAATCTTAATGAATTAAAATGTGACATGCAGGTTACAGCAAAACTTGGGGACTGAAATCCACCAGCAGTGTCTACCATTTTTTTAATGGCACAAAACAGAATTGCACCATTTCAAAGAGATTTAGAGTTAGATGAAATTTCCAAAGAAATTCACGAAAATCTTATCGATCTCCATTAAAAATTGAGATGTGGAGAAAAAAGCATCCTGGATAATTCAACTTCATGTCCATGTAACTAAGCCTACTAAATTTAAAAGTGATAGGTGGAAACATGTCAGTAGAGATTGCAAGAGAAATAAGAATTTGCAATGCATATATGGATGGATACACAATGTTTCACTAAAAATGCTGCATTTTCCTGATAATAAGTCACACCTATTTCCTCACGAGTCAGGCATGTAGCTTATATATGGATGAAAAAAAATATTGGCAGGATGATTTTCAACTTTTAAGGTGTGTCATTTGAAAATAAATTTTTCACAGCACATGTCATGTAAAGACAAATTACTATCATCAAAATATCCATACATTAGCGAATTATCAAAAAACTGTCTAAGTTACTTTTTGAGGAATGTCTCAGCCAAGAAGAAGTCTTCTGCGAGATATTGTGAGTAATGTGAAAGCCCTCCTGCTTCTTCAATCACCTCCTTCCTCATGAGGGATGACATCCCTGTAGCACAGTTGATACCCAGCAGGTTAGCTACTAGGTACATTTTGGCGTGCTGAGTTCCAAAGAAGATCTGTAAAATGTCAGAGTCATGTGGGTAATGTATGACATTTTCCATTATACAAGCATGTATACAAAACAGTATTTGAATAAAGATGACTATCACAACAGACAAAGGAGTAATAAATGTATATTCTCCGGCAAAAAAAACGAGGTAAATGTGTTTTACTGCTCATGTTTGTTTCATTACCAAATTAACTTAAATTGGTTGACATCCTGAAGTATATTTTACAGATATGACTGGTTGATAGCCTTCAATTAATATAACAAATTGATGATGTATATATATATATACATAGGGACTCAGCATTCTTTGCTCCATGTACATAAAAAATACAGTGTTGCAACATATAAAAGTAATTTACATTTTTGAACGACATAACTTTCTTTGGTCAATAACTTCGTTAATTTTTACAGTAAATACAAATAAAAATAGAAAAATGAATTACGTATGGATACATTCAATCAAACCTTCTATGTTAGGACTACACATTTCTGCAGGTTTTACAAGCTAACAATCCAACAATATAATGTAAAGATAGGTCAGGGAATGGTGGAAAGGATACAATTTCTCAATTGACATCAGCAGCAAATTTATTAACAATAATAACAAGTCAATTTTACATCACAGATCAACACAGGAAAGGAATCTACTCAACTTGTTGAGCATCTGTTGTGACACAGATCAATATGTGATAGGAGAGTAAATGTAATAGGTGAACAATATTTCCTCTCCCAAGGATCTGACATGTGACCAATGCCTACTAATTATCTGATAGGGTACTATATGTCATGTCTACAATAACCTGACAACTGAGTACGGTACAATGCATATTCAAGCAGGCAAATTATATAATACATTTATAGAGGGGATCGTACAATGTCTAATGATAGAGGGAAATGTGTAATGTATATCGATAGAGTGGAAGTGTACAATGTCTATTAAGAGAATGGATTTGTACGATGTATTTTGATAGAGTGGAATAATACAATGTATTTTAATAGAACGGAGTTGTACAATGTATTTTGATAGAGTAGAATAGTACCATGGATATTCAGGGATGGGAATAGTTCAGTGTACATTTATGGAGGAGTATGGAACAATGTATATTAAAAGAGGGAGTTGTACAATGTATTTTAATAGAACGAAGTTGTACAATGTATTTTAACAGAGTGGAGTTGTACAATGTATTTTAACAGAGTGGAGTTGTACAATGTATTTTAATAGAGTGGAGTTGTACAATGTATATTTATAAAGGGTTATGGTAAATTGTACTTCTGTTGAAATTTTCATATAGGAACTATATGAAAAATCAAAACATAAATTCATATAAGGCTTTGTTACAATGTGATTTTAGAAAGAATGTTACAATGTAATGTTAAGATGAAAATGTTGAAATGTATGTATTGCCAATCGTACATGAAGATACATTTGAAAACTTGGTAATGAACAAAGATAAAACATAAAACTAATGTTTAAGAAGACCCTGTTTTTGTGTTTAAATCTACAGACCAACAACATACAGCAGGTAAACATTGAAAAGTATTGATTGTATATCTAGAAGTGAATAGGGAATCTGATACATAGACCACCAGTCTAGCTAGGTAGAGAATACCTCTTAATTGATAAAGTAAGGACTGTCATACCACAACATGAGGTACCTTAACATTCATACAGTATTTATCAGGTATTCTCAATAAATTTGTCTGGCTTTTATTTCCAAATATATGACTAATAGGATAAGTGAAGCTTTTTAAGTTATATTTGTATCTGACTTTAGATACTGTGAATGTTATGCTAAATGATATTTTTACACTGATATCACACACTTTAATTAGTTATGGTGAATTTTAATGGCTTAAAACACAGCCCTACACATTCTATTGATGGCTATAAATAAAGCCGGTCATTTGATTACTATAAGCACATTCTTGGAGTCTATGTACATGTAAGTGACTGGTACAGCCCAGTACATGAACATTTATGTGGCCTAAATAAAGCTACAAACATATATTTTTTAATGACTCTAAGTAAAGCTCCAGAAACATACATTTTAATTGTTATACGTACACTGCCGAAAATGTGCATTTAAACAACTATTGAGTAGAGCCCCTAAGTATATATTATTATTACTACAGGTATAATCCCCGACATGTGCATTTCCACACGCACGTTTTAATAACCAGTTGTTTTGCACTGCCTACACCACTGCTTCATTAGTTTGACACCCATGACAGCTGATGTTCACATATGCATTCTACTTTTCTCCCCTGACAGTAATTGTGCAGTCTTATTAACGGTGTTATTAAAGAAGAAGAATATCAACTGCCTGTTTCATAACTGTTGTATCCGACACCCAGTGTTACAAGATTCTATGGTATTTCTCTGACATTGAGTCGATTCAAACTAATGCCATTAATGCCCCTGTATTTCCATTCATTGAATTATCAACACTTGTAGTGTCATTCACTCATTACTAAAAGGTAAACGTATCAGATGTGTGGATAGTTACTGGCACTATCGAATGGCAGTAAAAAGTTATTCCAACTACTTAATGATATAATAAAATTTCCAATATCTATATCTTAAATATGGGAGTAGTTCAAATTTCAGTCCTTTTTGTTTACCGGGTCCCTCCTCCCCATGAACAGCCATAATATTTTTGAGGATGGGTCGTGCAGTAGCATGTGGCTACCTTACTGAACAACATGTGAGAGACTGGTCACATGCCATTAAAAGCATGTGAACTAAAGTGATCTGCTCTTGTACACACCCATGTCAGCACAGAATGGTCAATGATTTCAGTTTCCTGAGAAACACACCTGAGGTTGTGAAATAGATATTCAGCCAATAAGAACTATTTATGGACTAAACACAACTCATTACTGAAAGTACTGTCTCAATATGAAAGTAATGGTGGCTATCATGGTCATCGTAAATGTGGTAGCGATTTGAATTACAGAACTATCAGCAGATCAAAATAACTCCTTACTGACAGACCTATCTCATTATGGTTTTCTGCTCATCAGAAGAAGAAAAGTTTTGTTAGGACTAACAATGAACTATTTACCAATGGAAAGTCCTGTCTTTGTAGTTTCCTCCATTCTAGGGTAGAAATGAATAGATGCCAGACAATAGGTCATGACACAAACTCTACAGGTTTTCAATCAGTAACACTCTTTGTCATGTGTGGCATTAGATACTGAACCAGTTATTTTGTATTTGTTTGTAACTAAAACAAGATCTATTCGCTGTAACACAGAATAATGCTGGAATGTTTTATTGTGTGTCTAAAAATGTTTTATCCCATTAATAATAATTAAATGTCACAACACATTGCATTAGGATAATGGATTAGTACAGTCAGGTTACAACAAGGCAGTTCAATTTCTCATCTCACTGCAATATGGGCAACATCAAATATCAACGTTTTAAGACTTATACCAGAACATTACAACAGTCTAAGATTCTACTTTACTAATATAAATGAGTGCTATATTTATTGCAGTGTTGAAAACTCTGAATGACAAGGTTTTTACCTTCTCCATGTGTGAGGCAAATCCTTTCCTTGTGCAGGCGTATGGCATTTGATGGACGAGGCCTGTGTTTTCTGTCAGTGTTAAAACCATGTCTAGCACTGCATCCTCTGAGACTATAAAATACACATAAAAACATCATAGAAGTGTTGGGGTTGATGCCATTAGATGTGGGCCTTACCTAAATTCTCTTAAGAAATACCTCTATAAAGATTTTCATCTTCAAGTGTGATGATGGGATGAAGACTTTCTCTATTAATGAATTGGTTATATCATGGAAAGGCTGGGGTTGATGTTGTATACTGTACAGCAGGTTACATCAGGGGTGTGTGCGTACAGTACAGCGACCTACATTGTAGGGAAGAGGAGATATGTACAATACAGTGGACTACATATCTGCGAGGGGGTTGTGTAACTAACTGCACATTGGCCTACATCATTGGAAGATGGTTGTGCAACTATACATTGGCCTACATCATCGGAAGACTGTTGTGTACTGTACATTGGCCTACATCATGGGAAGAGGGTTGTATACTGTACAGCTGGCTACATCATTAGAAGAGGGTTGTATACTGTACAGCTGGCTACATCATTGGAAGAGGGTTGTGTACTGTACAGCTGGCTACATCATTGGAAGAGGGTTGTATACTGTACAGCTGGCTACATCATTGGAAGAGGGTTGTATACTGTACAGCTGGCTACATCACTGCGAGGGGTGATACTTATGTATCAGTATATTTTTAGTAAAATCTAGTGCATATTTTTGCATGGAAATGTGAGTTATCCATGAATGTCAACAAATCTAATCAACCTTTTTATTCCTGTGGCTGCTAGTGAAGATTGTAAGTCATTCATTTATTACGTAATTTCTATCCTTTTTTTCACACCAAAGCTAGAAATTCCATGAATCCCTTCCTCCTCCATAATTACTGTCATTGCTGATTCACGTCTCCCTACATTTTTTTTACATCAGACTCACCCTGGTAATAGCAAACCCATTTCAATTATTGCCACCTGAGTTGCCCAGGAAATGTTGCCATGACAACGAATGCAAGACAAACCTTTGTTTATTACAATCCATGATAATATGCCTGGCATTTTCTGCCGACATAAGTTGTCTAAAAACAGTTGTTATTAGGAATACAAAACCCAAGCTATCTATCTAGAATATCTCAATCCCTATTTCAAAAGTGAATGGAAAACGTGTTTTTTTCAGTTTCTTTTTAAAACTGGGAGGAAGGTGGATTGAACAGCTCTGAAATAATGTGATGCAGCATCAAACTCTTTCCATCCTCTTGTGAAATGTGAGATTCTCTCCTGGAACTGAAATTATTTGTGTGTGTGATGATTATTTTTTTGTTTTTGTTTTTTGATGGGGGAGGTGGGGGGGGGGGGGGGGGGGGGAATGGGGTTTTATTTTTTGACACTTTATTCAATTTTTGCAGTTTTGTTTTTTCTGCTTACATTACACTATCATGTTTCATGCAAAACTGCCATTAAATATGACTCTAATAATATAATGACCATGTTCCTTTCCTCTCTCTCTCTCTTCTTTTTAGAAACCTCATTTAATGACAGATAAATGAATAAAAACATTTTATATATTTATCAGTTATATAGTATAAGGAAAATACATCATGATTGTGCTATTCTCTTGATGCCTCGCAATGCTTTATATAAAAGTTGTGGATTGGAGATTAAAGAAACTAAACCCATATGAGTGGGGCCATACCCCAGGGCCTATCTCAACACCATGATCTTCTTTATTTTTTGATGCCCGGCAATGCTATAAATGGTTGTGAGTTGAAGATCTCAAATGTTTAAACATATAATGAATTATATAACATACAATACTGACTCCAGCCTACCACTTAACATCTGGAGCCCAGGGCTGCAAATTAAAAAAGTTCCAGAGGACTAATTGATGATTATAATTACTGTTAGTCTTTCTTTGCTACTTGCAGGAGTAGAGAAGAAGATGACCAAATTTTCAACTATTTGGTCCTGCCACTCAGGCCCCTGAGGTAGTAAGCCCATAAATTTCATAAGTTCAAGTTCCTATGTTCTAATGATATGCAATCTTGAATGTGGTAAAAATGGGGCAAGTAGTTTTGAAGAAGATAATTAAAATGTTACAAGTTGACAGACGACAGACGCTGTAGTATGCCAAACATAATCTCACTTGGCCCTTAGAGTCAGGTGAGCTAAAATTGAAATCTTAATTTAAAGACCAAGCATTTTTCTCTTGTGATAGCAACATCTTGAAATTATCAAGCATATGAAAATAACTGCAGCTCCTCATTTTTCAGAAGAACACAAACTCTAGCAGTCATTAAAACATAAATCAATGAGGCTATATGGAATTCCTAGAAGTTCAAGAGAAAACTTATATAAGGTAGAGATATCTTACTGTAGATGGCGCTGTCACTTATGAGTACCAGGTCGTATTTAGCTGCCTTGTAGCCTGATATCATGTTGTTTATCTTAGGGTTAATACCTACAGGCTTTCCTCCTGAAATACAAAAAAACCAAAAACATCAATCAATTAATTGAATTTTGGTAAATTTTATTCAAATTTACTATTCATAATATATTAGATAACTTTACTTAAAAACCGTTTTTCTAGTCATTTCTACCAGATTTCAAACAGTGTGCTTCCCTAGTGTTGTGAAGTGTATGATCCCGGAGGAAGAACATAAAACAGATTTAACAGCTCTCTCAGAAAAACACTGTATTGATTTAACTGCTGCTAGTGATGCAGTATAAAACTCACTCAAGTGCTTTTCATGTTTTTTAGATTCAATTTAGGTTGTCAATGATTTATGCATCACAATGAAATTTGATGAAATTCCAATAGCATTTCCGAGCTACTGACAAATCAGAAACATAATTTTGTTATAATCAAGTGAAAAATGAAATCTGAATACTGTTAAATGATTAAGTATTAACTAGATTTTTTTAATAATAAAATTCATTGAAACACAGCTTGTTTGCCATAATTTAACATCAGCTTCCCAGCAGAAATAGGGAATGTGTTTCGGCTTCAACTCTGCAGAAATTTACCAGATGTACATTACAGGGACTCCTTTCAGTTATGTACAGAACTATAACTGTTATTATCTTCTAACATAAAGGAACAATTAATTACAGGTGTACACTGAAACTTTTCTACACCTAGCTAGCTAGTCAGTATTACAACAATGTATTGTAAACATATTGAAGTACAATCAGGACATTATGTTGTCTCAGATTCTAACACTTACAAGTCCTTACACTTACTGCTTATACGTGCCAGGTCCTTACACTGAGGACTTCTCTTATAAATGTTCTTTGGGTTATCATTCTAATTGTAGCAATGAAAACATCTTAGTATATTTACCTGATGTAATCAATCTAAAATGTAAATGTAGAAGTCTCCTTATATGGAAATATCTATTTTATCTGAGAGTTATATACTGATATCAAGCAGACAAATGGTATAATTTCTATTACAAAAGGGAATTACATTAAGCGACTAACAGGAAACTCACCTACAAACACTTTAGCATCAATGTTTGGATATTTTTTAAGAAGACTTTGGACAATCATGATGGCAGCGTCCATTTCATCTTGAATGCAAAATAAGAGCTCATACTGAAAAAAGAAAAAAGAAAAACACAATTCAATTAAAAATATTTCAATTATATATCTAACAATGGAAAGATAATGGTAGGTTAAAAGTTCCCTTTCCCTATATTAAATCCATACACTATCTTTATTAATTTCTAAGAAGGGTTTATTAAATCCATACACTATCTTTATTAATTTCTATGAAGGGTTTATTAAATCCATACACTATCTTTATTAATTTCTAAGAAGGGTTTATTAAATCCATACACTATCTTTATTAATTTCTAAGAAGGGTTTATTAAATCCATACACTATCTTTATTAATTTCTAAGAAGGGTTTATTAAATCCATACACTATCTTTATTAATTTCTAAGAAGGGTTTATTAAATCCATACACTATCTTTATTAATTTCTAAGAAGGATTTATCAAATCCATACACTATCTTTATTAATTTCTAAGAAGGAATTATCAAATCCATACACTGTCTTTATTAATTTCTAAGAAGGGTTTATCAAATCCATACACTATCTTTATTAATTTCTAAGAAGGGTTTATTAAATCCATACACTATCTTTATTAATTTCTAAGAAGGGTTTATTAAATCCATACACTATCTTTATTAATTTCTAAGAAGGATTTATCAAATCCATACACTGTCTTTATTAATTTCTAAGAAGGGTTTATCAAATCCATACACTATCTTTATTAATTTCTAAGAAGGGTTTATCAAATCCATACACTATCTTTATTAATTTCTAAGAAGGGTTTATTAAATCCATACACTATCTTTATTAATTTCTAAGAAGGGTTTATTAAATCCATACACTATCTTTATTAATTTCTAAGAAGGATTTATCAAATCCATACACTGTCTTTATTAATTTCTAAGAAGGGTTTATCAAATCCATACACTATCTTTATTAATTTCTAAGAAGGGTTTATCAAATCCATACACTATCTTTATTAATTTCTAAGAAGGGTTTATTAAATCCATACACTATCTTTATTAATTTCTAAGAAGGGTTTATTAAATCCATACACTATCTTTATCAATTTCTAAGAAGGAATTATCAAATCCATACACTATCTTTATTAATTTCTAAGAAGGATTTATCATATCCATACACTATCTTTATTAATTTCTAAGAAGGAATTATCAAATCCATACACTATCTTTATTAATTTCTAAGAAGGAATTATCAAATCCATACACTGTCTTTATTAATTTCTAAGAAGGGTTTATCAAATCCATACACTATCTTTATTAATTTCTAAGAAGGGTTTATTAAATCCATACACTATCTTTATTAATTTCTAAGAAGGGTTTATTAAATCCATACACTATCTTTATTAATTTCTAAGAAGGATTTATCAAATCCATACACTGTCTTTATTAATTTCTAAGAAGGGTTTATCAAATCCATACACTATCTTTATTAATTTCTAAGAAGGGTTTATCAAATCCATACACTATCTTTATTAATTTCTAAGAAGGGTTTATTAAATCCATACACTATCTTTATTAATTTCTAAGAAGGGTTTATCAAATCCATACACTATCTTTATTAATTTCTAAGAAGGAATTATCAAATCCATACACTATCTTTATTAATTTCTAAGAAGGATTTATCATATCCATACACTATCTTTATTAATTTCTAAGAAGGAATTATCAAATCCATACACTGTCTTTATTAATTTCTAAGAAGGGTTTATCAAATCCATACACTATCTTTATTAATTTCTAAGAAGGGTTTATTAAATCCATACACTATCTTTATTAATTTCTAAGAAGGGTTTATTAAATCCATACACTATCTTTATTAATTTCTAAGAAGGATTTATCAAATCCATACACTGTCTTTATTAATTTCTAAGAAGGGTTTATCAAATCCATACACTATCTTTATTAATTTCTAAGAAGGGTTTATCAAATCCATACACTATCTTTATTAATTTCTAAGAAGGATTTATCAAATCCATACACTATCTTTATTAATTTCTAAGAAGGATTTATCATATCCATACACTATCTTTATTAATTTCTAAGAAGGAATTATCAAATCCATACACTGTCTTTATTAATTTCTAAGAAGGGTTTATCAAATCCATACACTATCTTTATTAATTTCTAAGAAGGGTTTATTAAATCCATACACTATCTTTATTAATTTCTAAGAAGGGTTTATTAAATCCATACACTATCTTTATTAATTTCTAAGAAGGGTTTATTAAATCCATACACTATCTTTATTAATTTCTAAGAAGGATTTATCAAATCCATACACTATCTTTATTAATTTCTAAGAAGGAATTATCAAATCCATACACTGTCTTTATTAATTTCTAAGAAGGGTTTATTAAATCCATACACTATCTTTATTAATTTCTAAGAAGGGTTTATTAAATCCATACACTATCTTTATTAATTTCTAAGAAGGGTTTATTAAATCCATACACTATCTTTATTAATTTCTAAGAAGGGTTTATTAAATCCATACACTATCTTTATTAATTTCTAAGAAGGGTTTATTAAATCCATACACTATCTTTATTAATTTCTAAGAAGGATTTATCAAATCCATACACTATCTTTATTAATTTCTAAGAAGGAATTATCAAATCCATACACTGTCTTTATTAATTTCTAAGAAGGGTTTATTAAATCCATACACTATCTTTATTAATTTCTAAGAAGGAATTATTAAATCCATACACTATCTTATTAATTTCTAAGAAGGGTTTGTTTTGTTAATTTTCATGTTTTGTTTTTCCTGCTGGTGATTTCGTTGACAAGAATACCTATGACACGATTATTAAACTACAGGTCATGACAATATTTTTATTTACTAGTCCTTGATAAATAGATTGTATTGCTGATGTTGGTTAATGTATTCATCTAGTACAGTAAACTAAGTCATTGTCCCAGACATATGTGCTGTTATCTGGTAATTAATGTAGTCTGTTTGACCTTTTACTGTGATGGCCATGTGCTGTATATATAAAAAGATGACCTTGACTTTATTTATAAAATGTAACGTTATCTCGAAGTCCTTTAACTGTGAACATGTACAGTAATCATAAACATTATAGCAATTTCAACAACATGCACACATGGATATTTTCAGGGGGAGGGGTTACTTCATTATCACATTTCAATAACATCCATACATGGCTAATTCCACAATACATTAAGATATAATACATGTGTGATTTCAGGGCTATATTGTAATTATAATGTCAATAACTTTTATTTTAATTTTTATTTTTAATTTTATTTATATTCATTGATTTTATTATTTAGGGAATGATTCATCAATCAGGATTTGTCTGGTGTGAATCTATCACTGTGGTTTTCCTATTTATTGCCTTGTATTGTAAATCATGTAGAGGAATGTACTATGGAATGTTACTGACCAAGACTGCGCCCAATACACAATACATTTGTCATTTCCCACATATGACAATGTGTCCTACTTGAGCCCATCCCACTATTAACTAGATGTTGGACAGATATCAGATTAACTAGATGTTGGACAGATATGATGAGGTGACCAAGGGATGATGTCCACCAAGGAAGAATCAAACCTTGGTTAATTCAGCACCATCATCAGGTGTCAGAATCAATCAGATCCTAACACATAAAAACAATGGGTGATATTTCTACAGGATTGTTATATCTGAAGCTATATGCCCCTGTATCAACAAAGACTCTCAAATCAAAACACAACACACACAACAGTGGTCTGGAAACAATGACTCAACAACTGCAATTCAACTCCCAATAACATCAAATTTGTTTATTTTACAACAATTGCAAAACAAGCTATCAGCTTATATTAATCACTAACCATAGCAGTTAGGCAGGTGACCCCACACTTTTTCACGTCCTCCCAGGAATTGAACCCCAGATGGCTAGGTGAAAGGGGTTTGCGTTACCACTGTGCCACCAGTCTAGTACCTGATACTACCTATATCAGACTCAGTTCTCCCAGTACCAACCCTCCTAATGACACTATACAGATCCCATGGTAAAATCAGTCATTGTTAACATCTAATATTTTGGATGTATAGTTCATTAAGGCTCTAGCTTTTCTGGCAGCAACCCAAGGTTCCTCTAACAAGCACATAAGATAACCTCTATAATCTAGTTTCACTACCTTGCTTAATATATCTTATATAACATCCATGTATGAATAAATTCAATCATTTTTATTTTTGACTTATCAGAATACCAGAAGCACTAGATCTGAACAAGAGATCCCAGAGGGATCTTGGTGCTCACCATTGTTTGATTTTAATTTGTTCTTTAAAAAGCTGTACCTTTTCCCTTTATCTTCCCTTCTCCCTCGGTTTTTCTCTTGATTATACAAAATTTGAACATTTCTCTGAAGAAATAGCAATAATAATCTGCCCAATCTAAGATGGTCGCCTGTGAGCATTTTTTTTTTCCTGATCAGTCCAAATATCAAATGGGTAAAACTTGGAACCAAGGTGAAACTACCCATGAACTTTGAGAAAGGTCTATTCAACATTTCCCATGATACAGTAATAACAAGAATTGTTTACAGACAGATCACGGCCTTGGACATAGGGTGATTTGAACAGCCCACCACCTGATAATGGTAACTGACATGGAAGGTGGAGTAAGCTGTGTCTGACTGCATACACGAAAGAATTCTGTAGTAAAATTGTAAATTACTGTCACAATTATGGTTTTTACCAATAATGTTAGTGGATAGTATTTCAATTACAGTATTTTCTGCATTATAAGCTGCTTTTTTCCCTTGGCAGTCGGGTGTGTGGACAAAAACAAATTGACAGAAAAAAAAAAAGTACCAGTGTACATACCAAGTTTTTTTTTTATGAGAACCTGCCCCTCACATGTTTTTGACTGAAACTGATCATCTAGATCCGTCATTTGCACATTGTTTACAGGATTAGTTTAAGATTGCAAAAAAAAAAAAAAAAAAAATCATTTTCGTGGATTTGATTTATTATACCTTTTAATGTGAATCACAA